GATAATTAAGCGAAAGAGCCATGTTTGATCAAGATACAGCTATAGAGAGACTCAATAAACCTTCAAAACCAAAAAGTACTACAAAAATAGTTTTTAAATAGACATTGTACTTGAGAAACATGATTTAATACTCGGATGGCACTGTGCTCACAAAAAAAAAATACAAGTTTGTCACCTCCAAACACTAAAACTATAGCTTTTTCTCTGAAGAAATAATTTATTTTCTCTAAACAGCAGGGTTCTTGCCACAATGGAAGACATAGCAGCATCAATAAATACTCATCTAAAAGCCTTATTCCAAAGGATTCTGGTAATATAAGCAGATTTAGATTTGGGCCCATATTAGTAGGAACATCAGGAATCAAAGGTCATTTACCATCACGAACAAGCATATCATATGGAGCCAAACTCTACATATAATTAAACTAAAATCTCTCTTCACAGGTATGTTACCAATTGATAGAAATTCTAATGCGCAATAGAATGGTGGAAAACAGATTTGGAAATGAAAGACTGAAGCGCTTGTTAAACTGTAATATCTATATATCAGATCTACGAAAGAGTTTTAAGACACTCAGCCAGTATAACAGTAAAGAATAGCATGGATGACACTGGATTAACATGGATAAGCAGAATAATAGAAAAGATTTATGTGCTTTGAATTCTCGAAATTTGAAATATTTTTTTAAAAAAAAAAGAGTTAAAAAAATATATTTATACAAAAAAAAATGAATACATACAAACACTTACACATTAAAATAGGTTCTGTCAACTGCAGAAGCTTACATATGAACACTAATCAACAAACCACAGACGATTTTATTGCTTTACTGAAGAGCAAGAAATTGAATGTGCTTCTATGTCAAGAAACCAATATACCAACTCTCACCTTTGAAGAAACCATAAACAATATGAGATTCAAGTTCAACTATCATCAAGCAATTTGGACAAAACATTGCTCAATAATCAACTTCAACAATGCTCTAAATCTAGTGGAAATCAAAGTATCTAAAGATGGAAGAATGATACTAGCTAAGCTAACAACGGTTGACAACTCTACTCCGCCTGCATACATCATGAACCTATATGCACAATAAGGTCTAAAAACTAAACAGGTGACTGAGAGAAACAATTTTTTTAAAGCAATAAGCAATCTACTACTCAAGACGCCCGAGATGATTCCCGACCTAATCATGGCTGGTGATTTTAACTTTAGTTTTGATAGCGCAAGCAAACACTCTACAAGAACAAAAGCTAAACCTCAACAACTGATCGAATTCATCAAGGGTCATATGAAAGACTGCATAAATCAACAAGGCGAGCGATACGACTATACTTGCATCCAAAAGCGAAGCGACAAGGCATCTTTATCAACCATTGACTACATATTTGCAGGACTCAACACTTTCAAGCAAATGTCCGATGGCGAAGTAGAATTCCTGAGTGACAAATACACAGATCATGCACTACTAAAAAAAACTCTGACTATTGAGCTACAGAACAATGGGAAAGGCATATGGAGAGGCAATCCCTATCTTGCCAAAAATGAAAGATACACTAACAAATTGAAAGGTGAACTTGACAAATATATACAACATAAGTTAGACCCGGCAATGTCAGCACAAGACAAGTGGGATTCAATTAAAAATATGGTTAAGAAAGTAACAGTCAACTTCTGCCGTCACCATAACCAGTGGAGAGAAAAGAGGTTGAAAGAACTGAATGGAGAACGAAACAAGTTGCTACGACTCTATGGTCAAGACCCTGTATGTTTAAATGCACTACTACCTCCAGTCCAGAATCAAATCACCAAACTACAGGAAGAGAAAAGCAATACAGATAGACTCAGAGCCGGTCAGAGATGGATGGAAAACAACGAAAAGTCTCCATCCTACATCAAAAGCACTATCAAGCGGCGACAAGAGAAAAAGACAATGGGCATTTTGAAACATCCAGCCACTGGTAATGAATGTACAGACACTAACGCCAAGCTAGAAGCTGTCCAATCGTTCTACTCCAAGTTGTATACAGAAGAGAGAATTGACATAAACAGTTTAGAATCTATGACGAACCAAATTAACAAAGTCGTGTCTAAAGAAGAGAGCGACAGATTGATTGAAGAGATTTACTATGAAGACATCATACTAGGTACACAACGAAGTCCACGTAAAAGTAGCCCAGGGCTAGATGGCATCCCATATGAGATACTCAATATCATCGTTAACCAACCAAGCTGTCGAGATATCATAACACAAGTCTACAATGATGCTATCAAGCTAGGAAAATTTCCAAGATCATGGCAGCAAGCGTGTGCTGTATTGCTACCAAAAAAAGGGGACTTATCAGACTTAGGAAACTGGAGGCCAATCACGCTGATAAATACAGACTGTAAAGTTTTCACTAGGCTAATGAATGCAAGAATAATGGAAATCACCAATCGGCTTATCACCAAATTCCAAACTGGATTTATGCCAAGGCGCTTTATTGGAGACCAAGGTTTAGCTCTTAGAATGATGATCGACAATGCCAAAATGACCAGAGCAGGAAACAACCAAGAATTTGAAGAATACGTTGGAGTGATGCTTGATAATAACAAAGCTTATGACAGTGTTCATCCATACTATCTTACACAAGTACTATTGAAGTTTGGCTTTCCTAACGAATTTGTTAGATGCATACAGAACCTTTTCTTTGACAATGAAATTTTCATCAATATGAATGGGTTTCTATCAAATCCAGTGAAACAGCGAAGAGGACTAAGACAAGGAGACTCTATATCACCAATACTTTTCAACTTTGCCATTGAGCCATTCCTGCTAACAATTATTAACAATGACAGTATCTCAGGATATTCAATTCAAGCTACCAAACCAGCAGATCAAAGAACAGTTCAACTCACTCCTCCACCACCTGTCAAGGTCTTAGCCTATGCAGATGATATTATCATATTTGTCAAATCTAGATCGGAGTATATGCAAATGGAAGAATGTCTCAAGACATATAGTCAAGCGCCAAACTCCAAGATTAACTACGAAAAGTCCCAAGCCTTTCCACTACATGGAGGTAAAATGAATGGATATTTTGGGGTAAGATTGAAAACGTACATCCAACAACGTATGAAATGGTACGACTACAACAGTGCTGATTATATCAAATACCTTGGATACCCAATTTACGTAACAAAACAACAGAGAAATGTGTTTATGGCCGAAATGACTGGAAGAATCAGAGCTCAAGTGGCCTTTTTCAAAACAAGAAATATCTCTATGTACGGTAGGGCAAATATAGCCAACACAATAATACTCTCCAAACTATGGCATGTGCTCAGATTGACACTACTACTCAAAGCTGTACTTTCGACCTTGAACTCAATCATTTACCAGTATACAGTCGATGAGAAGAAATTGCAAATCAAGAAGGATGTCTTTTACCTACCTAAGGCTAAAGGAGGTCTGGGACTGTTAAACTTGTTTGCCCAACAAGGATCTCTACAGATGAGATATATTGAAGCTCTGCTCAACTATGAGCAATTCAAACGAATCCCAAAGTACCTGTATAATATGATGGTATACATTCTTCAAGTTGAAACAAATAACCCAAGCCTTGAATCCATTGTGCTCTTCCCCGACTCTAGATACAAAAGATCTGTGAACAAAGAGGGTGCGCTTAGACCGATCTTTGAAACAATGGATGTTTTGACAAAATTCTGTAGACCAAAAGACGAAGCCCAAATATCATTATCAGCTATCGATTGTATGACCCTACCACTTTCAGCTGTTTTCAAAGACTGGGAAGACAACGCTGAGCTGACATTCATTGGCAGTCCAACCGCAAAGAAAAGCCTAGTTCAACATTTTTTTAACCTTGACTTAACAACCAACCGTATTGTCTTCAAAAGCAAACTCCATTGTAATAGACCAGTAATACTAGCAAAATTGAAGAGATACACTTCCTGCAATACATTACAGTTCAAGCAATTCTTTCTGCGACATATCGAACAAAATACCATAGGAGAGACTCAGCACTGCGTGGGCTTTAAGAAGTATCTAAAGGAGCTACAATATGAAAACAGTGAAATTTTGTCCCTGAACAACCAAGGCGTCAGAAGAATAATGCTGGAGAACATTCCATTGCAAATGCCAAGCGACTTCAATGCCAACATCAAGTCCCGTCAATGGAAACAATTCTATAAGGCACCAATGCATCAATCCGTGAGGAACATCTGGTTCAAAATGATACACAGCAGAATCCCAAGCAGAGAATTCCTATTCCAAAGAAAAATAAAAGACATCGAAAATGATCGATGTGTCAGTTGCAATGAAATAGAAGATGCCAAACACCTACTGATCTCTTGTGGTAATAAGGCAATGATTTGGCAATATATATTCAACAAGTTCCTTGGCTACCCAATCGAAATTGATTCAGATAAAATATTCCAAGATCTTAAAAATCTCACACTATCAAGATACCTCATTTACAACTTAGATGTCAAGATCAATATATTTGACTTCTTTGCGACAATTATCAGATCAATCTGGGGCGGTCATTTCCAACAACATTTCCATGGAGTGTCCTTTGACCCTGAAAGAATTTCCAAAAGAATCACCAAAGAAATACTCAAGATATCAAAAATGAAGAACAAAACTGCTTAATAGACAATACAAAAGATAATTATATGGCAAGTCACTTCACTCTGTGTACACTTGACCATCCTTCAATGTTTTTATTTTTACTAATAAAATTTCATTCAATACAAAAAAAAAAAAAAAAAAAAAAAAAAAAATGAATTTCAAAGTACCTGTATGATATGATGACATACGCCCTTCAAGCGGAAACCAACAATCTAAGCCTAAAATCCATTATGTTCTTTCTTGATTCGAGATACAAAACATCCATAAGCATAGATAGTGTCTTTGGATCGATTTTTGAAACTATGTAGACTAAAAAAAATGAAAGCAACTTGAAAAGAAACACAACAAATGGTTAAGTTGTTCTTGATTATAAATGATAAATATAAAAGTAGCTTTATTCTATAATGGTATTTGTGAATTAGCAGCAATAGATGCCATTTGTTTCCATTTTCCATCGTATCCAGTAGTCCATAAGCGCAATTTTCCATCATCTCCTGAAGAAGAAAGGATCGTGCCTGTAACATTCCATTCGACTCGCCAGACTTCTGCTCTATGATCATCAAAACAAGCAACAAGCTCAATATGAAAAGACTTATTGTTTGGATTGAGTTGATTTGGTGTACCAGCTGGAGAAAGAATGGATCTTCCTCTTTGCTGTTGCTGTTGCTGTTGCTGTTGCTGTTGCTGTTGTAAGGGAACTTGCTGTTCAGTTAATTTAAAGACACGAACCATATTGTCTTTACTGGCTGTGGCAATCAATTGGTATGATCTAGCCATACTAGGTGCCCAGCTCACATCATGTACTTCTTCTGTATGCCCAGGCAAAAATTCCCCTGGTATCCATCGATTATGGCCATCATGCTTAAATATTCTTGCTCCAATTTCTTTACCAAGACCAACAACCATCATGGCAGTAGGCGAACGATTTGGGCACCAATCAATACAATAACCACTGTCGGCATCAATAGGTTTATGGATATTATTGGCTACTGCCGTTTGACCACCACCAATGTTGGCAGAAGATCCAGGCGATATACCTTGTACAAAGCCTGTGGTAGTGGTGCTTGTCATGGTTGGAATGTCTGATACTCCTGGTGTAGAGACACCATGGCTTGCTACAGAACTAGCACTGGAACTTGTACTATTCGTATGTGTAGGTTGCTGTCCAAAGGCATGATTTATGAGTGTGTTTTGCGCTGCATTGTATGGATAGTTCATGGCTGATTGCGATTGTTGCTGCTGTAACTGAGGCTGTGATTGTTGTGATTGATGCAATAGTTGTGGTTGTTGGGTATTGTTTTGATAGATTCCGTACTGATTTAGCTGCTGTTGATGCGATTGATGTTGCTGCAATTGCTGCTGATGCTGTTGTTGCATTTGTGATGCTTGTAAAGATAACTGAGCCTGTAAATTACCATACTGCATTGACTGTTGGTGAAGCTGAAATGATTGTAATTGTTGCTGCTGTTGCTGCTGATGTTGTTGAGTCGCTTGTTGTTGTGGTTGCTGTTGATGTTGATGTTGATTTTGCTGCTGATGCTGGTGCTGATGTTGTTGTTGATTTTGTTGTGGTTGTGATTGTGGTTGCTGCTGCTGCTGCTGTTGTAGTTGTTGCTGTTGATTATGTTGCTGCTGCTGCTGTTGATTTTGTTGTTGTTGTTGCTGTTGCTGCTGTTGTTGCTGCTGTTGTTGAAGTTGACTGATACCAGAAGGTGTATTTTTTGAATCATTAGTATTATTACCATTACTTGTTATTTCAAATTCTTCCATTTGAGACCATTGGGCAAGATTAGTAGGTTCTAACGCTTCATAAATACGCACAATGCCATCTGAAGAACAGGTCGCTAATCGAAGCGAATTTTGTGAAGGCGAAAATGCAATATCCAGCACAGCTCCCCTTGATTCCACAAGCCTAAATCGTTCAGCCCATCTTTTCTGGCTGTTTCTTGGCTCCACAGATTGTTCTTCCCATATTTTTACTTGACGATCAAAAGAGCAACTTGCGATTACTTGGCCGTATTCAGGTCTAGCCCAAATAGCTTTCAAGATGGATGAGTCGTGTGCTTTCCAGGCATCATTAAGTTCCCACACAGAAGTGTCGAGTCGTTCTATAAAATCCCATACTTTGAGTCGCTGATCAGACGAACAGGTAACAAGCCGCTTGCCATAGAAGTCATAGGAGACACCATGAATAAGATCTTCATGACTTGTATCAAACTTTGTTAGGCTGCCTGTCATGAAGAAAAAAAAGGGAAAAAAGAGAAAGTGTGTCGGATTTTATATGGGGTCTACACGCTGGGCTTTAATTTTTCTAAGCTTCCCTCAAATACAATGGTGTACGACTTTGTTAGCCAAAATTCTTGACACCACATAGCAGCCAGGCATCTTCTTGCTAAGACTTCCAATGTCCATGTGCTTTTGCTACTTGTTCATCCTGACGAAAATCAATGTTGTTAGAGATGTTGTCTTTAGAAATTGTGTTCTCCCTCTTGGAGACCAGCTTCTTTATCCTTCAGTACCCTTTGACCCCTTTACACGCTTTTTGACATTGTTAGTAGGCCAACCAACATTTGCGTACAGTCTCAAGCTATCAGATAATAGTAATAAAGCAATCGAGTCTGCAAATACGGATCAAAAAATGGCATCTTTTTTTTATTTGGTATGGTTGCATTGCTATAGACATCGCCTTTTTGTTACATCAGCATTCCAAGATAAAATGGGAATATGATGTGCCTAGTATGATGCTGATGTATTGTCCTAAATATTACATTTGGACTTAATTCGTTGGAAAGAATAAAAGAGGCGGATAAAGAAGTCAATTTCAACCGTCCTTCAGAACTATGTTTGTAGCTGTACTGTCTAATCTTTTCTTTGCCTATGTATGTAGAGTTGTTTGTGTACAACTTCCAAAGCCCTTGTCAGCACATAAAACAGATGTAGTATTACTTGTTGTCTTTTTTGTAGCTGTTGTTGTTGTTGTTGTTGTTGCTCTCAGACTTTTTATTTATTTATTTAGAGTTATGTGTTAATCAGGTTGTAACGCAGAAAAAAGATATAAAATTAACTAGTTGGAAACCCCTGGCGGGCTGCTAAACCGCCACTGATATTTTTATGCATACTTTTGATTTTCTTCTTCATGGCAAAAGCTTGAATAGCAATTTTCTTTGATAAGGGGATTGTCTTATCAATTTCACTAAATTATCGCTTTCTGTTGTAAGGTCAGTAAAATCGATTGATACTAGATATATATATCATGATCGCAGGTATTTACATATTCGAATAGGTCTTGTATATCATTATTATTTTGACAGTTGGTTTCAAACCTTGCTTTGTAAAAGACGTAGACGCTCAACTTGACATAAAATATATAAAAAAAAAGGATGTAGGAAAAAGAAAATAAAATAAAAACTGTAAAAAAGAAATATTTTGTCAATTGGCCAAATTTGAAACAATAAAAGGATGGTTATCTGCCAAGAACGCTTGTACTCACTAAAGGATGAAGGCTATAATAAGATGTTTCCTTTTACGATGATAAATTTTGGCTAGAAAGTTAGAAAAAGGAGAGCTTCTTTATTGACGTTATAAATAATAGGAGCCTTGAAGGCTTGGTCTCATATTTAAGGATTGTACAGAGATATTACTTAGACTACTATTATGGCTGTACGTGGGGTAATGCTACCATATCGTATCATTTCTGCTTTTCTTCTTAAATCGGTACTTGTCAATTTCATACTGTTTTGTGGTTTTTTATAGGGTTGTCTATGTTGCTGTTGTTGGTATAAGAACTGTTGCTGTTGCTGCTGATAAAAGAGTTGCTGTTGATAATAAATAGGGTCCACCATCATCATATTATAAGGAGAGGTAGGAGTTGGTGGCATTTGATAGTAAAATGGATAATATGGTGGACTGTCAGCCACTGGTGATTGATTATGTAACCAATTCGTTTCGTCTTTAATTCCTTCTTCTTCCATACGAGGTGTTGTGTTGCTTGAACTGGAGCCACTGGACAAGTTAACCATAGACTCTATACTTTTTGAACTACTGGTTTGGCTCAAAGATTTAGGAGCTTCTTGCACGTATGGTTTATCTGTTGTCTCTTGGTTCATATCCTGTTCTAGACTCCGGCTTTGACATTCTAGATCTTTTTCTGGTTTCTGGTCTTGTTGTGGTAGCAAAGGACTGTTTCGATGTTTGTCCAAGTCTATTTTGAATAAGTTATATGCTACATATTGGAGCCAATCTTTACCTCTAGTTATCACAAATGAATCGCCGTCGTCTTCCGAGTTTTCCTCTACTTCTTCCTCGCTATCTTCTTCTGAGTCACTCGGTAAACATACACGTTCATATTTTCCTCTGACTTTATTGTGATCTACATTGATATTCAGCACTTGATTTTTTAAAGAAAGAGGATAACCACTTACCTAATCGAGAAGGAGGTAATTTTGAGGGTGCAGAAAGGCCTTTGTTAGATTGTGTTTTAGTGGCATTTTCTGGCTTTTGAGGGTTTGTTTCTTTGTTGGCATCTGATACCAACACACTGTTTTTTCTTCTTGTGAACAAACCTCTGAGGCTAGGTTGATGACTAGTTGATTTTTCATCTTTTGGTTCTTTGATGGATTTTGTTCGAGTGATTTTTGACAGGCTGCGTTGTATTTTTAGCATAATAAAGAAAGAAGTTGAGAAAAAGAGAAAAAGAAGTGTCGAAAGTCGAGAGAAACATCTAGCATCTTTTTATCTTGTTTAAATGCCCGCATAGTAAAGAGCACAGACCAATCTACTTATTTCAGTGTACCCCTTGTACTTGCTTACCACATTGCTCTCTTTTCTCTTCACCGATCTTTTTATATTTGCATTTAATACATGAATTTAGAATGGAAGAGCAAAGTCTATCGCTTTAATTAAGCACGCATATCGACTCCGATTTATAGCTAAATGCACTTTTTAGAGTAGAAATAGCTGACGTCTGATTGCATATTACAAACTGACTATGATTGATAATTGACATCATTTCTTTGAGCTTTTCCTAAACCATAATAAGATGACGCTCTCATTTCTCTATCCTTTTGATTTATGCTACACTATCAATACGATACCCTTCTAGCACTGTTTACCACAAACAACAATGATTACTATATTACTTCATGTTTTTTTTAAAAAAAAAAAGCTCATATAATTGTTGCGATAAAGTTTGGCCAACATGTATCATTTGATACGACACTTTTATAGTGCCATGTTTTGGTTTGAACGTGTATCACCATGTAAAAGAATCACCTTTTTCAATCTTATAATCTGCTCAGAAAAGAAAGTAATGGCTATTTCTTGGTGTGCACCAGCAATAGAAGGGGCTGAATGCAAAGGATTGTATCATTATCTGTAATAGAGAGTTGAAATTTTCAGGAGAAAAAACCCGGTCTATAAGTAATGATCCTACCCATGTGCTTAGCTTTTTAAAGATACTCTTGTTTCAAGCATGATGTGCTAGCATCCATGATTAGCTTTCTTTTTTCGTTAAATAGAATTAAAGGATTATAGGGTAAGACGTTTTTGAATACTTTTGATTGGAATTATACATCCTAGAGTTCGCAAATAAAAATAAAGCTGCATTGTAACCATATAACCGCCATTTGACATTTGAATATACTTCAGCCATTTGTATATGATGTTTATTTAACTTGCTCTAATGTATTTGCACACAATTTGAGTATTTCTTCTGTCTTTTTACCAATATTGGCTACGTCTTTAGCAACAGACTGCCACACCTCTCCATGACGAGGTTCGGCCAGAACACATCGTTTGATACAAGATTCTTGTTGTTCTTTAGTACCATGCTGTATCTCGAACTTGTACCACCATGCAAATGAATCGCCTTGATCAGGATCGATTTGTATTGCCTTTTGAAACCAGTTGCGAGCCTTTTCAATCTTACGATCAGTCCAGAAAAGACGAGCTACTGCTGTCACAACAATGGGGTCATGCTCACATTTCTTAAGAGCGTCTACACTACGTGCTTTTCTTTGTGGTCTTGCTTCCATAAAGATGACTTCAACCCAAATAGCACCAGAGGTAGGACATTCTTGAAGTGCCTTTGCTGCTAGAGACTTGGCTACTGCCACATTGTTGTTGTTCTTTTCCATACGGATAGTCTCTAACCATAGTTCTGCTGTCTTGGGGTTGATAAAACGAGCTTTTTCTAAAGAAGCACGGGCTTTGGTCATCATACCCATCTTGGACTCCAAGCGAGCCAAGAGCACCCAAAGCACAATACTCTTGGGACAGTTCTTGACTGCCTTAATGTATGCTTCTCTGGCCTTGGCATCGTTATTTTGAGACTCTTCAATCTGTCCTTTAATCATCCACAACTTGTCAAATGTAGGAAACTTTTCTAGTGCTTCATTTAACAAGACATTACATTGATCGTAATTCTTCATTTGTCTCTCTAACATGATAGATTTCATCCAAACACGCTCTGTGCCTGATTCTTTTCTAGCTAGTTCAAGTAACTTTCGAGCACGATCATATTCGTCATTTTCGCTTTCTACCTTGACAGCAGCAAGCCAGATTTGTTCACTGTTGGGGTTAGCTCTAAAGGCTTCTTCTAAAATGGCTCGAGCACTTTCTACATCACCAGCAAGCCATTTCTCTTTGGCGCCCATAAGCCAAAGAACTTCAGCTTGAGGACAATATTTGACAGCACGTTGTAATAGCTCTTCAAGACTTTCTGGTGTACCATGGCTCTTTTCAAGATAAGCAGCTTGTTGCCAGATAGAAGGCTTGCCGGGAAACACCTTGAGTGCATGAGCATAAATAGCACGGGCTGTTTGAATCGCACCATGAGCAATACAACTCTCTGCATCTTCCATCCAAGTTGATTTTCTATCTTCTTCTTCAACACCCATACCAATTGTTGCCTTGATAATGGCTTGACATGTCAACACAGATCCATTCTTTTCACATTTCTCTGCTTCATCAATCCATTGATCTCTATCTAATAAAACACCAGACTGTGCAAGTGCTTTAGCAGCCATTGCAATGATACGATCGACCATTTCAGATTTACCATGCTCTTCTTGTAAACGAGCAGCAGCAATCCAAATTTCATGACTTGTTGGTATAGCAGCACGGGCCTTATTGAGTACCTTTTGAGCATTTTCGTAGGTCTCAAGACGTGCAAGAGCAAGCCATAAATCGACACTTAGAGGAACAAGTTCAACAGCACGAGACAAAAGGACTTTTGCGTCTTCAGGATTCTCTTCCAAATTGACAGCAGCACGCCATAATTTGACTGAGTTGGGGATAAATTCAAGTGCACGACGCAACACCTTCTTTTTGGCTTTGTTTTCTGTCTCGAGTGATACAGCCTTAAGCCAGATTTTGACAGATTGTGGCAGGTGTCGCACAGCATCACCCAATATAATCTTTGCATTGTCCACATTGTTTAATCTTGCAGATTCTAACCATACATCTTCATTCTTGGGACATTGTTCACAGCCCTTGGCAATGATATTTCTAGCATGTATAGGTCTTCCAGCAACTTCTTCTAAACGTGCAGCAGCAATCCAGCCAGGAGCATGCTTTGGATTGGTTGTAATGACAGAGTTTAACAAGAGTCTTGCTTTCTTGATATCACCAATCTCAGCATCACTCTTGACAACGACACTTTGTAGATCTGTTAAATAACCCTTAGGATCAATTGTTGTTTTGCCTGAGGCAGAATCAGAAGAGACTTGATCCAATTTAAGACCTAATACTTTATCTCTTGCTTGACCAATCTCTCTAAAGTTGGTGACCATGTCTTCACCACCTACAATAGGAGCAGTGGATGCAATGCCACCGTATTTTTGTTCTGTTTCATCGACTGTATTGCTGTATCCTGTTTGATCTCGAGCTGCTGCAATAAGTGAATCTGGCATGGGTGTAAATCGTTCAGGTGCTCTGCTTCTCTTTCTGTTCTTGCCGACCAAATCGCTTACGTCGGGGATAGCAGCCCATTCTGCTTCGTTAATAGTCGTTAATTGTCGCTTTAGGTCTGCAAATTGTTGAGAAATCTTGGGTCTCTCGAGTCGATAACGAGCTAATTCTTCACGTTCTCGAGCTTCTCGACGAGCTTTACGACGTTCGTCCATTTTTGCATCAATCATATCCCATACACGATCTGCTTCTTCGTCGTCTTCTTCATAAGGTGCAGTAGAAAACAAGCCAACTTCATTATCTGGATCTTGATATTGGTCTTCGTCTTCTTCACCTTCTTTTGCTATCTTTGAAAAATCACTGAAGAGAAAATTAGAAGGATTCAATTTAAAATAAGACTTACACTTCTACACCGGATTCTCTTGCAGGACCAATATCAGAACGGGTGGTAAAACCAGTAGCACCACGACCCAGACCAGCTACATAATTAGGAGGGGCTGGTTTTCCCATAAAATCCTTAACACCAAACATATTCTATCTTTATTTTTTTTTTTTTTGAAAGAAAGGAATAGAAAAAGAGAAAAAAAAAAAGAAGCTTTGCTTTTTTTTTAAAATTTGTCTTGATAATACGCGTCACAAAGCTTCTGACCTAAAGTGTAACCTATTTGTGTGCATATTGTTGATGATCTTGTAACAAACATTTTTTTATTATTATTATTATGGATAAACATGAACGCATCTTTTTTTCAAGTGATTTACAGAATGAGAGGCTTAATCAACATTGTCAGTACCAGTGTATTTTGCAACTGAATTCATGCTCAAAATTTTGAAACCACTACCGTCTCCCTTTAGACGAACAATACCATCATGACTATCTACACCAATAAGAGAACCCAGTTCACCACGATGTTCACCCAATATGATCTTGACGTTGTCTTTTTTGCTGGGTCTAACAGGCTCGATATGTTCAAATGCCACATCAACCTTGGTTTGGCTATTGTCCAGTAAACTGACCAAACATTTACGTGCATTACGGTTGACAGTGACAATTTTACCATATTGTCCCTTTTGTGCTTCACCTTGGTTCTTTTTCAATACAACTTCAATTTCTTCAATAGGCCAGTTATCTTCGCCTTGATCAGCTAAAATTAAAATCAGTAAACCATGGTGTGAAAGAGAGGTGTTATTTACCTTGATCTTCTACATGACCATAGTCACCACCACTTGGCATGAATGGTGTTTGAGGAACACCAGTGGCTGGTGTAGTAGGCATAAAATTACCTGGTGTGGTCGGTAAGTAATTGCCTGGTGTAGGTGCAGACATCATAGCAGCTGGAGTAGGAGGGATCAAGCCAGCACCTGGAGTAGGCGCAGCTTCATATGGTGTAGGTGCATCATAAGGTGTTTGCGCGAAATTAACAGCAGGTGTTGGTGCTCTTGGTTCATAGCTAGCAGCAGGTGTTGGTGCAGTCCATGAAGCACCAGGAGTAGCGGCTGTATCTACATCTGAATATCGACTTGTGTTGTTGCTCATACTAGAATAACTAGGTGTCTTTGCAGATTGAGCGTTGTTATAATGGGATTGGCTACTACTGCTACTGCTACTCGTATTTGCCTTACTGCTTGAATGGCTATCATAACTAGCACTCCAGGCAGAGGATGGCTCTTGGCTCCACATGGGGGTTTTGGATCCAGAATCCCAAGCTGGTGTACGGCCACCGTCATTAGCATAAGGATTAGGTGTTCGAGCACCTGAATTCCAAGCAGGTGTCTTAGATCCAGAGGCATTCCAGGCAGGTGTGCGAGATCCAGAAGCACTGTGCATAGGTGTCATGGCACCGTCACCATATCGACTAGGTGTAGCCATAGGACGGGCAAATCCACCATTGTTGGCAGGTGAATCAAAGCGATCAGGAGCAGCTTGACCCACAGGATTGCCTTGAGCATCGAGGATCATTAAATGTGCTTTATCAATACTGAGTACGCGAGAATTGGTATGCAGTTCAACACGAGCTTGTGAGTCGGTGGTTTCCTTGACAATACCAATATAGCCTTTGTGTGGACCTTGAGAGATACGGACTGTTTTGGACACCAGGTTGTCTCTACCACCACGGCCACGTCCTGCAAATCCACCACGGCCCATACCGCCTCTACCACCTCGACCACCTCTGCTGTCAAATCCGTTTCTATCATCTCTACCACCATAGCCACCATTATAAGGAGGGTTAGTGACCTTGGGCTGAGCTAAGCTTCGGCTACGTGTGGTTGCGCTCATGATAGAGCGGGTATTGGTCACCCAAACACCAAAGTTTTCTGAATGTTCTCGAGAATGCAAAAAGGCAAGGTGACGATAGAGATGGAGAATAGAACATGTACGTTTATCACCTACTTCCATAACAGTATCGCCTGAACGAATACTATTACCATTGGCATCAGTGGCTACTGCCTTATTACTGTCTCGCTTGTTGGTAATTTGATGAGGCTCCACAGTGCGCATTTCACCATTTTGAGTCAAGACTTGGAAGGAATCACGATTGACCTTGACAATCACGCCCACAGTGTAAAAGTCAAGTTGCACCAGGTCATGAAGTTCATAGTTGCCAATGACAGTCTTACCAAACATGACTTCAGCAGCTTCTCTCAAGTCCTTAGCAAACACACGCACTTCCTTTAATGATGCATCAGATAACAAGGTAACAATGTTGTCTTGGATGTTGAGCACCAAACCACTTTCGTCCTTAAAACGACCATTGATGACTTTGACATGGTCACCTTCTTTGAACTTTTTACGTAATTGTTTGGCAGGTAAAGTAACACGCTTCTTCATACCATCAACTTCCAAAGAGACAGTGACTTGTGTATCATTCACACTTTCAACAGTACCCCAACTATGAATCATATCACCTTCAATCACACTCACAACATCACCATTCTGAAAGACAGTGGATGCTTGAGCATTATTGATAGCCATACTGGACAACGAAGTCAAATCAATGGAGCGTTCACCATCTTCCCCATTGAGCTCACCATTACCAGCAAACCGAGCAATTTCATCCAGCGTAGGATTCACGTCTTCGATTTGTAATGTGGTGATTTTCATGTATTTTTCAAGATAACCATCACGGTAATGATCGCCATTGTATACCCAGTAAGGTCCCTTTTTTTGAAGGCTTGAGAGGGATCTGTTGGCCAAACGTTCAGGATTGAATAGTTTAGGTGGAGCACGCACACCCTTTTTACGCTTGTTACCTTGTTGTAAATCATCGTTGCTTGAGTCCGTATCTAAACGAGGGACCACCTTGACACGAGCAGAATCTTGTGAATCAGAAACCTCTAATACTTGAGCCAAATCGCCGGCATAAGTACCACGTTTGACACGAACCCAACCACCCAAAGGAATCTCCACTTCCTTTTTTTGGACCGTAATGGAATCAACCATATCTTTAATAGGCACAAGCATGAGCGTAGACATGTAGACATTGGGAATATTAGTGAGTGTTTCTTGCACATGTGCTTGTCTACGTGCCTCAATATAGATATAGCCCTTGAGTGTTTCTCTTGCAAAAGCAGAGAAGGTATCAATAGGATGAGAACCATTTTGTCTATCAAAGTATTTTTTCATTAAGCCAAAAATAACGTCTTTTTCTTTGCCGGGCTATAGACAGAAAAGAGAGATTAATACAAGACAAGGCTGATTCATTCATTTACTTTGCATTTCACCATCCATAAATTAGGATCATTGACACTAGGAAGCAATAATTGTTGTGGTACTTCTTCGGTATCTTTAAAGCTTTGAGGTTTACTACGTCCACCATACTTTTCAGCGTAGAAAGCGGCTACTTGTTCATCATCCATGCCTTCCATTTCTCTTCTTCTGCGGTCCAATTCAAGGTGACGACGAGATGTTGTCTTTGTGGTGGTGAGTTCTTCATTTTCTTCTTCAATGAAACCATCTAGAGAACGTGTTTTAATGACAAGTCGTGATCAAATCCGTCTTCTTTTTACCTTCTTTGCCGTATTCTTCGTCGTCTTCCTCATCGTCTTCGTCGTCATCGACAATGGCCATTTCATCAATAAAAGGATTGTACTTTCTTTTGGCAGGTCTCTACAAGATCATTAATTGGATTGCATAGAACAATTTAAACGTACATCCTCGTCGTCTTCTTCGTAATCTTCTTCGTCATCTTCTTCCTCATTAAAAGGAACTTCGTCTTCTTCTTCTCTTCTATCTGAACGCTTAAGGGCCATGGTTTATGTTGTGTGAAAGAAAAAAGAGTGTTAAAAAAACTTGGTCTTTTTATTTATTTTTTTTTTTTTGCTAGCATCATTCTCCGGTAAAGACTTGGTGCACCCCACGTTTCATAAAGAAAAATAGTCACCGGGTCTTTCCTTTTGTTATTCATGCAAAAAAAAAAAAAAAAAAAAAAAAAAAAAAGGCGACCTACAATCTAGAGAGAATTGCTGTAGCTAAAGGTTAACTTATCTTTCTCGAGATTTACAAAAAAAAAAAAAGTAGGGAGTTCCATTGAGTTGTAGTTATCCATTGAATATCGAAAAGATATTTACCAATATCTCTGGTTATTTCTTGACTTTAATGATCCAGAATGACGAATATATCTTTCTCTTTCTCTCGTTGTGCTGCGTGATCACTGCTCACAAAAGTCGCACAGGGCTATTTGTGCCTCAAGAAGATCACCTGAGTTAGAAATGATTAAATATCTCTCTCGCTTTTTTTTTTCTGTCTTTCTTCTTTCTTTCTTTCTTCTTTCTTTCTTTCTTCTTTATATCTTCATCATGTCAGACACATTTATCTTTCATGATAATTCTCGTTTAAGACAGAGTGATGACAAGACAACATTATGGTATAGACAGCCTTGTAAGAAACATAAGCTAAAAAATCTCTAGGATGGGCGATTTGGATTATTGGATGGATGAGATCTTTCTCAGACAATTATGGAGTTCTTTATTTGGAGACAGTATTGTGGTCAAATTGATTCGAGATAAAAGAACAAAGTAAGCAAGACAAAATGAAAAATCAAACTGATATTGTTAGTGCAAGTTCGGGTTATGCTTTTATAGGATTTGACTCTACTCAAGCAGCCCAAAAAGCACTCGATACATTTCATGGAACAAGAATACCAAATTCAAGTAAATTGTTTCGACTCAACTGGGCATCTGGTGGTGGTATTTGTGATAAAAAGTAGTTTGTCGATATATATATATATATATATATTTTACTTATTCTTACTAGAGAGAACCGTGCACCTGAATACAGTCTGTTTGTGGGTGATTTGAGTAACGATATAGACGAAACTTATCTATTGGTAAGCATGTGAAGGGATAAAACCTGCTTAGTTATTGTTTTATTAGGCATTATTTCGTGCTAGATATCCTTCGTGTCACTCTGCCAAGATCATGACAGATCCACTTACAGGTTTATCAAGGGGCTACGGATTTGTACGATTCTTAAACCAATTGGAACAACAGGAAGCTGTTATTGAAATGAACGGTGTCTTTTGTGACAATAGACCCATTCGAGTATCTTTTGCTACTCCTAAAACAACCCATTTGCATCAGAAATTGGAACAACCCTTCTCCCCTCCTTATCAATATGAACAGCCCTTATCTCCACTTTCACAACATGATGCCAGATATATTCAACTGTCTTTGCAGGCACCTGCTCTTGTTCATCAACCAACAGATCCCAATAATACCACTGTGTTTGTAGGTGGTTTGTCTTCTCCTGTGACTGAAGATGAATTAAGACAGTATTTCTCTCCATTTGGTGAAGTGGTCTATGTCAAGATACCACCAGGCAAAGGCTGTGGCTTTGTACAATATGTTTCCCGTATGTCTGCAGAAAAGGCAATTGAAAAAATGAATGGGTTTATGATTGGAAATTTTAGAATACGTTTGTCTTGGGGTCGATCTCAAACAGATAAATCCAACCAACATACAGTGATTAAAAGTCCTCCTCTTCCTCCTCCTTCTTTGGAAAATAATAGCAATATGCGTTTACTGACTTCTTTTCGTCCATTATCCCCACCTATTTCATCTCAATTCAACTCATCTTTCCTCTCATTAAATCAACCGCAGCAACAGCAGCAACAAGATCAGCTGTTTTTACGTTCCGCAATACATGATGATGATTGGCTATTACAGTTAAATCAACAACAGCCACACTACAATGATAACTTGAATTGGGGCATTTGGTAACCTCTTTTTTTTTGTATTTGTTTAATATTTAATATCTCCTTATTGTATGCTTTCTATATCTTTATATATATATATATTTTTTTTTGCTTCATTCTATGTTTATTTTATTATTGCTATTGTATGCTTGTTTATTTATTAAAGATTTGCTGTCAGTTTAAATTGCCTTTTTTGTTCAAGTTACGTATAGCATTTGCTCGTTTGAGTCAAAAATACGATTCTCCTTTTCGTTTCCTTACGTATTTTGCTTTATTAAGTAATTGGATCCTTCCGCTGAAAATTCCGCGATGTTTATCCGAGCCATATAAAAAGATTATATTTTTATTTTATTATTTCTTTATCCTTTTTTTTAATGTCCCAATCTGATTTTGTCGATAGAAACAATCTTTCTATCGTTAGTTCTTTGCCTGCAGTGATTCCTCCAACAACAAAACTCAATTTTATCAAGAATTGGTGGCATAGGTCTGAAAAGACAGCCAGTATTGCTGAAGCTCGTATTATTAAGCGTATTTATGGTGCTTTGCCTCTCGCCGGTCCACAGACACCTATTTATGCTCGAATAGGCCGCATTTCAATTGATAGACAAACATTATTGTCAAACAAGACAGCAAGACAAGTCAACACACTCTATATTTCACAACAACACCATCAATCGATACCCTTTCGCTTTGAAGCTGAGCCAAGACAAGACTTATTAGAAGATATTCAGCATGAAACCAAAGAAAATCATGGCATACGCAACCTTGTCATATGTCATGGCTACGGTGCAGGTCTAGGCTTCTTTTATCGAAACTATCAGAATTTATCACAAGAAACAGGTTGGCGCTTGTTTAGTTTGGATTGGCTTGGGATGGGCAATAGTTCTCGACCTAAATGGACGATATCAAAGCAATCAAATCAAACATGGGATGAGATTGTAAGCGAGGTAAATGTGAGAACAAGGGTGAGTGACAGTCGACTTACGATGCGTAGGTGGAAGATCATTTTGTTGAATCTTTAGAAGATTGGAGAGATAAAGTAGGATTGGAAAAGATGACGTTATTTGGTCATTCTTTAGGGGGTTATTTTGCTGCCTGTTATGCTCTCAAGTACCCTCAACGTGTTGAAAAACTGATCCTGGTGTCTCCTGCTGGTATTCCAGAAAACTCTTATGCACCAAAGAAAATCGAAACCGAAAACCCTCAAGAAGAATTAGAGAGAGAAGCCAATGAACTTGGGGCTTCTTTACAGGCAGAAGCAGCAGCAATGGAAAATATTGCTAAGCAACAACCTGAACCACCCAAACGTAGAATTCCTGCTTGGGCAACTTATCTCTGGGATCGCAATGTAACACCAATGTCAATTGTTCGCATGATTGGTCCATTTGGTGCTAATTTGGTCCATAGTTATACCTCTCGACGTTTTGCTCATTTGGATGAGGATGAGCAGCATGATCTTTATGATTATTTGTAAGTGATGAAAAAAAAAAGTACATTGAAGAGTTCTAATGTGGGCTTATAGGTATAATATTACTTCCTCATCAGGTTCAGGGGAATATGCTTTAGCTGCTATTCTGGCGCCAGGTGCAGTAGCTCGTAAACCGTTGTTTCATCGATTGGCAGGATTAAAAATGCCTACTGTGTTTGTATATGGCGAAGTGGATTGGATGGACTACAAGGCAGCAGAGAGAGCAAAGGAACACATGAAGGTGCCTGTCAAAGTGATCCGAGTTCCTGAAGGTGGACATCATATGTACTTGGACAATCCAGAGTATTTTAACAAAGTCATTAGAGAAGAAATGCAACAATCATAGAAATAAAATATAAGATGTTCCCCCCCCCTTTTTTTTGTATAGAGTCCGATTGAATCTATCCTTGTCACACAGCTTATTTTTCTTGGTGCACTCCAGAACGTGCTTTTATATTAAATCAATTAATGAATATATTTAATCTTTTTTTCCCCCTTTTTCTTTGAATTATAGACATGTCAAGACACACTTCCCCTTCAGACGCTTTAAGAGAAAGATATTCAAGCTCACGTATGCAGCCTCAACAACAAACATCTTACGCTTCAGAGGACAAATTGAATTTAAAGCATTCAACCATGATAGGCTCACCTGTGACTACTGTTTATGAAGAAGAAGAGGAAGAAGAGGAAGAATTTGAAGACTGCAACCAAGAAGAGGATGATGCGTCTATGTACTCTTCTTCCTCTAGTATTCCCGATGAAAATATCAATTTCGATCTTGTTTATGCACTTCATACATTTGTGGCTACTGTAGATGGTCAAGCATCTGTTGTGAAGGGAGATGCTATGACTTTATTAGATGATTCCAACTCTTATTGGTGGTTAATCAGAGCATTAAAGACATCAGAAGTGGGCTACATCCCAGCCGAGAATATTGAAGTAAAAGATCAAGCGTTTGTATTCTTGTTAAACTGATTCTTAGTGTAAATTTCTTTCATAGACTCCATTCGAAAGATTGGCTCGACTAAATAAGCACAGAAACATAGAAGTAATAGTCCAATACGATTTATGTCATCTAAACCTTGTATGTATGTGTGTTTTTTATAGGTAACCTCACTAGGTCAACTACAACATTATAATACAGTCACCAAAAGTTCCCGCATAAAAAAGAAGGTTAAGGTTTCAAGAGAACTTGCATGTCAGTTACAGATCATTATTGGCAACGACGAAGACGAAGACGAAGATGACAACAGTCCTTATGAGGAAGCTTTTGAACAATGGAGTGAAGAAATGTCTTCTGAAGCATACAGAGACCATGAGCCAGATGAAGAAATAGAAGAAAAAGAAGACGATAGTAGATTTGCTCCTATATTGAATCCAGACTTCAACAGGCCTATTGACGTTCAAGCTACATCGCCTCTAGCCACTATTGCAAATCATAGTTCATCTCTTGTGGCTCAAACTGCAGATAAACCATTGCCTGAATTAGTAGAGAGCCAGAAGGATCAACAAGTCGATACCACTCCACCAGAACAACCTCCTTCCACAGAACAAGCTTCATCTCTAGAACAACAAGGCGTAGTAACTGGTTTGAAGAGATTATTGTCTATTGGCAAAAAGAACAAACCTGTTCGTCCTGAGCCAATTGCTATTGAAAATTCACCCATGAATAAGAGTCTAGATACACAATACCATGTTCTTCGAATTTTTGCCGGAAATATTAACGTAGGCGCCTTATTCAGTACAGTGGCTGTAACCTCCGACATGAATGCAGATCAATTAGTCAAAATTGCTTTGGAAAAGTTCCATATTCCTTTACTCGACGAATCCAACAAGGCAAATGAAGGCATTGAGTATTATTTAACCGTCAAATCGATGGACAGTGGTAAAAGTATATTTTCATGTATGACATTTCAAATTAACATTTACCTAGACGAAATTACGCTTTTACCACAGGATAAACCACTCAAGATTTTTGAATCATTGAACGATCATCTTACAACACCTATGCCTTCATTGACATATATCAAGCGTTTATCGATGGAGCAACCATCTATCAAAGTCACTCGTGTTGGTGTGTCCAAGGCAAGACAACGTGCCAAAGCGCGTTTTGGTGAAGATTCTGTTATTCGATTTGCGTTGCACAAAAGGATCAAAAGAACCATTGAAACAAGTGGACAAATTTATGTTAAGATATCTTACCATGTTGACAACAAAAAACACCATCATCGCTTGCTTAACACACAAGAAAATAATCCTCACAAGATGTCTACTATGGGTTTGATTCGAAAGAGTAGCTTACTTCGAGTAGATCAACAAATCCAGCAACAACAACAGTCATTACTTCAACAAAAAGCCAAACAGGAACGCATTGACAAGTTGGTGGCTGTGTCACTCACTACAGAAATGCTGGCCTTAACACATATCGCACTTGAAAAGTTCCATTTGACTGAAGAGGATCCTTCTCTTTATTATATTTCACTGTCTGTGAATGGAAAAGGTAATTTCATCGATTACAGAGATATGCAGCTAACACATTGTAAAGAAACGCCATTAAACTCAGACAGAGTCATCTCAGATGTGCTGGGTGATCCTGATCTCATACCTAAAGGTATCACAGAGAAACTGTTTGTACTACGCAAGTCATCCGATGATGCTACCAACAATGGGGATTCAAGCAATCGTCGCTTTATGCGTTTCTTGAAACAAGACAAGGAAGCTGTTCGTTCTCCTGGAACTGAACAGGCGAGTCCAAATGAGACAAGTACAGGCAATGTATTAAAGCGACTAGACCATGCTATTCTCTCGCTTGAAAACGACAAACGCCAGTTGGACAACAACGCTAGTCATGGTTCGCCTCATTTAAGGTCTGTTCCGGTAAGGTCAAATAGTTTATCATCCATGAGTAGACATAGAAACAGCCCCCAAGAGTCTCTACAAAGCAAAACATCAGTAAGCTGTCCTTGTTTGTTGATGAGTATACTGACATAGCTGTCTTTAAGTTGAAAATAGAAAACCACCTACTCGATCTTCTTCTTTAAAAATCACAAACAATGATGCTTTCGATACTGTAAATAGAAATGAACTTTCTAATATGGAAGACTTGAAATTGGTAAGTAGAATATACAATGATCACAACGGATGGACTTATAATTTTGGTTAGGAATTGAAACGTATTGCTTCTTCTCATTCAAGCCCTTCAGTTCCTTCATAAGTGAACTTGAATTGTATATCAATGAATGTTAGGTTAAATTAGAGATGATAGAATACCCCGCCGCCCTTCTTATAATAAAACCAGGTTCTTCAATAGCTTTAATTTAGACATTTATTTTTTTTCTTCCAAGTATCTCATTAATAAGACTGATTTGGCTGTGTTTGTGGTAAAAAAAAAAGTCTTAACCACCACTGAAAGAGAAAAAGTTACTTTAGTTATATTAATAATAAAGGTTGAGAGTATCCCCTTCAAGAAGAAGAAAGATACAAAAAACAAATGCTACATATGAGAGCCAATGGATACTGTAGTCAAAGTAGAAATATTAATCAGAGAAATGGTTCAAAAGAGATGCAATAACAAGGAATAAATGTGCTAAATTAGCTGCATGACTAAGTATTATTGATTGGAGTTTTACTCAAGCGAGCGTGTCGCTGATTTCATTAAATCATGCAGATGACATTGTACTTTTTGAAATGGATACATCTTTTACGATAAGAAAAGCGAGTAATTAAACTAAAGATGAGAATATATGGTAGTTTATACCATACTTAATGCGTAGGCTAAAAACCTTTTTTTTTTAAAAAAAAAATGTGTTTATTAATTGAGCCGCGTACACTAAAAGTAATAGTCAAAGTGAAGAGGCGGGTGCAATTAAAATGAAATTTAATAAAATAAAACGAAATATACTAGACAAAATAAACTAAACTAAAATAAAATATATAGAAAGAAAGAAAAAAAAGTTACATGATTGAATGGCATTGATCCTCTTCAATGGTCTGACGAACATTGAATCGGATGCTTGCTAATATGGTCGTGGGTACAATAGGGGTCTTGTCAAAGATAAATCTCATATGAGCAAGCCAGGTTTGTGAAAGAGTAATTATGAGGATTCTGTATGGTTTGATTCCTTTCCGTTGGCAGTACCAGATGTACGAGAAGTCCAGGGACAGAAGAGCCTCTTTGATATCAGATATTGAGGCGGTAGGCCACAGGAGCTCGAAAATTATTTCCTGTCATACCTTTTCTTTAGTTGGACAATGAAAGAGCATATGGCTAATAGAGTCAGTGGTAGTTAAGCACACCGGACAGAAGGGAGAGTCAAACACATGAGGCATAATAAAATGTAAGAATCGACGATGAGGAATACACCCCAAGATATACCGGTATGTCACATTACGTTGAATGGTGGTAAGAGACAGAGACCAAAAGAATTTCCATTTCGCTTCTGTAATATTTCTCAAAGCCAAAGGAGGAGCCATAGACGAGAGAACTGACTGACGAAATGTCTTAGCCGATGCCTTGACACTACAAATACCTTGATCAACTTGAAACCGAAATTGGTTGATCAAAGGCGCAAATGAGACCGTCGAGTCTTCAAGTGGAACAGGACTACATACAGAGCTAAAAAATGGCTGAAGTTTCAAACTCCCAGATGCAAGACCTTTGAAGACTGTGGAGGGAGTACGCTTCCAATGAAGTAATGAAGGATCACGAGTATCTTTTCAGTGAACAAAGTTGAGTCTTGCATCAACTTGAAAGACATCTGACTCCATTATTTTCTTGACACGTAGGGGGACAACGAAGGACGAAGAAGGAGGAACGTAAAGCACAGCTCACAAAGGTAGGACCATAGCGGTAGCAGTATTAAGGCGAGCATTAGCAAATGATCGAGGAAGACAATCAATGGCACGATATAGCATATTAATAGTGCCAGTTCTTTGTCTTTTCAACCCTTGTGTACGAGAAGAAGGAAGCAACAATGGAACCTGATGATATTTGCAGTCGTTGATATTACGAATATGAAGTCTAAGTAAGTACGAGACCGGATGAGCATCAATAGTATCTTAATCATACGCCAGCGAAAACAGAAAGCCGAGGCCTAAACCTAAATATCAATTACTCCAAGTCCAAGGAATAACAGGAAATATATTCTTACGCAAGAATCGAATGGCCAAAGATTTCAATTGTTTGAAATCAGCAGGTGTCAACGGAGTAACCCGCAAGATATACCATATTTTAAACAATATCAGTGAATTCAAGACAGTGGCTCGGCCAACCACAGACAATAAACGTGTAGAGTGGATTTGTATGGCAGCCTTAACCTTTGTTATCATAGAACCCATAGAATTGACTCTTTGAATACGGCTTTGTATCAATGGAAAACCCAAATAAATTAAGGGTTCATCACCTTCGACAGAGTGCAAATGCTTGATAGCCATTATGTAGCCTTGAAATTGACGATCATGGAGAATGGAGAGCAAGAAAGGTTCAAAAGCCAAATTATACAGAATAGGAGAGAGAGGATCACCCTGTTTCAATCCGCGTAATTTAGCAACTTCGGAGGAGAGATGACCATTGATGTTGATTCGGATAAGACTATCGCCCATTGACTTGTAAATGCATTTGATCAGTGGAGAAGGGGAGCCAAACTTTTTCATCACTTTCTTCAAGTAGTGTAAATTCACTCTGTCGTAAGCCTTTTCTTGATCCAAGAGAAGACCAATATCAGCATTCAAGGTACTAAAATCAGAAACATTATCCAGTTGTTCAGCGATCGACCATTTCCTTTGAGCGTCTTCCATTAGCAATTGACATATCATACCATTTTCAGCGATAAACCGCCCAAGAATAAACCCCAATTGATGACGGCTAATAAGATGAGAAGATACCTCCATGATTCGACGATTGACGATACGTGTAAACAGTTTGTAATCCGTATTTGCTAAGGACAAAAGACGATAGTTCTTCATATCTGCAGGATCACCTTTCTTGTACAGCAGACACATGACTGATTCATTCCATGACTGAGGAAACTTACTCTTCTACAAAGCGTCATTATAGACAGTCGATATCAGATCATGATATAGAGGGAATTTTATAACCAAATACAAAATCTCATATGGCATTTCACCTGGTCCTGGACTACTCTTATGAGGGGTACGCTAACTCTCTTGGAGTATGTCATCAACATCAATAGGCTGCATAAGTTTCTCCTGTTGTTCTGATGAAATCTTCAAGTGACTAGGAATAGATCGAGTCATAGCCCTAAGAGCTACAGTGTCGGTGGGAGAAGGAGTAAATAGCGAGGTATAAAATTCAGTTGCTATACGAGAAATATGATGTTGCTCTTGACAAAACTTTTCAGTCACTGGATCTCTCAACTCAATTATGGATTGCTGATTTTGTCGAGATACTCGTGTCCGCTTCAAAAAGCCTGCAGATTTCTCTCCATGTTCTCTCCAAAACTTTCCAGACTTCAAAATCTCGATCTCTGCTATCGACTGTTGTAAAGACTGGATTAGGGAATTGATATGATCCAAGCCTTGAAATATCAGTCCTCTATGCTTCTGATGCCGCATTGCTTTGTTCCTCCTAGATTGCAATTTATGCAATTGCTTTTTCCTTCAGTTCAGATCTTCCTTCTGATAGGATTTCACAAAAAGCTTTACCTCTCCTTTAATCCAATCCCATTGCTGATGCGGTTTAGCAAATTGTTTGATTTCTGTAAAACTTTCCATGCATGATTCTAAATGAAGTGCTAATACTTGCCTGAACTCTTTGTTTCGAGCTAAGAATGGATTCGCTTTCCAAGAAACAGTTCCACGGTTAGATGAGTCTTGATACTTGAATGAGAGCCCTAAGAAGTCGTGGTCCGTCCACTCTGGTGACAAAAATTGTTGATTGATAGTAGTGATCTGATGATGAGCACTTGAACTACAAAAAACATAATTCAAGATTCCTGATTTGCTGCCACTATGCCAAGTAATCTACTTTTCATTCCTAAAAATATCAATGTAATAGTCATCCAGTAAATCTGTCCATTCAGGAGGTGCACACAGTAAAGTACCATCTAAACGGCGATCTTTATATTGATATTAGAAATCGCACATAATGAATATTGTGTTATGTTTATTGATAATAGTGTCCTTGACAATTGGAATATCAAGGAGCTCAGTATAGAGTGCTGACCGATCAGAATGAAGCGCTGAACGACCATAGATATTTAAAACTGTTGCTATAGGTGCCATAGTAGAAGAATGTTCCAAATCTCGAGTTAAATGAATACCAGCCAATATATATCGGCCATTGCCAATTCCTTCCGAGACAGGTGTAATTGTAAAGTGATGAGAGAATGATATGATGTTGCAATATTGAGTCCAAATGCTCGACTTGCAGTTAAGATGATTGTTAAGTAAATCTATAGTAGTAGTATCTGAAGCATGAGTTTCTTATAGCACCAGGATATCATATCTAAGTGCTCTAAGGTATCTAATGAATTGTTGCCTCATGGCTCTTTCCAATTCCCAACACTTTTCTCGGGCAGTGGAGTTATAAATAGCTCCTAAGCCTAAAAACACTAGCAAACAACGATCGTATGCTCAAGTAGTAGCTGCGAAGACTCGAATGTCCTTGATGCACAAGGACATTACTGAACCTCATCCCGACGACTCTTCTTCACTAAGTGAAGTACAGTCGAGAATTTACAGATCATCTAGATCTAAGAATGCTTTTCTTCTCGACATCACCAAGGTCAAAGCTCAATACACAGATCTTCTGTGTTTGCAAGAAATCAAAGAACAGTATCCTAACGTTCATGCTTGTTTTTTTCTCAATGACGATACCACTAGATATCTCGAAATCTACGTTGAACCCCAACATGATGTCAACGATCTTGGCACTAATGGTGTTCAATTCAATGAATCAAAGCTGCGAATTATTCCTTGCAAAGTCACCGATGACAGTTGGATGGTTATCAATATCAAACTGTCTCATCTACCAATGTTGCCAAGATCTGAAGTTCTTGAAGGCTTAAAGGTCAGTTTATCCCCTTTTGGCCAAGTTATTGACGTCGGCATTATAACCGAACCTAATACTGGGTTTTTTATGGGATCCGGTTATGCTATCATTGGTACTCCCAGACAGTCAGGAAAAGACCAAATCAAGTATCAGGAGCTAGCCCACAATATCCGTTGGCTGGAGGAAAAAGATGAGATTTTCCATGCTACATGGAATAACATGCCCACTTGGTGCCGCTATTGCCATCAGACTGGCCACACGAAGTTTGAGTGTGAAAAGTCCAAAGCACGAATCATTTGCTATCACTGCCATTTATTTGGTCATCGATCTTTTGAATGCCCACGAAAAGCACCCATCAATCCATCAAAAAAGCGCAAGACCCCAGCGCCTAAGAATCAGACTTCTCAGGAAATGCCCCAACCTGCTTTTAAAGCGGATCAACTGGCCTCTTCAACCGAAGTACTAAAGTCCAGGTATGCTCCAAACGACAAACGTGTTTCTTTGACTAGGACCAAGAAAAATGTGAGACCAAACTCAATTAAAAAAGGAAATGATAGTAATGATGATATGTCTGAAGATGGTGAGAGTGACGAGGAAGGTTCAGACTATGTACCAAACAATGGTCATGATAGTGACAGTGATAGTGGCAGTGACAGAGACGAATCTGAACAAGAAGAGAGTGTTTCAGCAATGGAGTTAGATGGAGTCAAGGGGGACGCCATGATTGATTTAAAATATTACTACCTATGCAGATGGATTGCAAACGGGCATTGGCTCAACAGATCCACAGAAGAAATATTGAATGAGGCTGATCAAAACACTTTAGCTGAACTCAATCAACAATTGCTCCATTTAGAAGAAAGTATACATTCGACGGGCCCCGCTGCAGGCCATCAATAAGTATATCTCACTATATCATCATGACTAAAGAACTCCAACTACACTATGCGTCACTAAATGCAAACAGTTTAGTGAAAACAAATCAACCTAAAACACAAAAAGAATACATTCGATACTTAAGACTTTTAAAACTAGACATAATATACTTTCAAGAAACCCACGCGGATACACAATCCCGCATTGATACACTTGATATACTCTTCCAATCCAGTCAATCCTTTTAGACCCAACATGTGGGAATCGTCTGCTTCTCTTCAGATTTTACTATCTCTGTTGTAGATGTCTCACACTCCTTTTCTTCAGATCGATTTCAACTCTATAAGGTGGAACACCCTCAACAATTCTATGCACCTTTTTATATTCTTAATTTGTACGCACCTGCGTCAAACAATTCCGAACGTCGATCCTTTTACTGTCAATTACACAATATGCTGAATGACTTCAGAAACATTATTTCCCTCGACCAATTGATCATCTCTGGAGATTTCAACTACTCTCATTTACGAATTGCTGATCTACCCTATGCTACCTATCCTCAATGGAGAGCTCGGCTAGAACAGTCCTTCACAAATGCTATGACTATTAATAATTTAGAGGACAATCCCACGTTTCAAAGACGATCCAGGGATAGTTTCTGTTTCTTTACCACTGACTATATTTTGTTGGCGAAGATATACGACAAGGACTGACAAACTCCAATATCTCATCATTACCGGCTTCATGGTCAGACCACTACATATTGCAAGTTGAGTTTGTCCTAGGTATGTCAAAATTTGGACCAGGTATATGGCGAGGAAATCCAACCTTTGCTACACACAAAAGGTTACGCAATTCCATAGAGAAGCGTATCAACAAGCTGGTAGCACAATGGACTGATGATGATACACCTCAAGAACGATGGGAGCAGGTCAAGCTGACAACTAGAAAAGTTGTTAAATAGTATGCAATCAATCATAACAACTGGAGAGAACAGACACTTCGGCGCTTAGAAAAGAAACGCAATTGTATTTTACGAACGAAGCCGCCTCTAGCACTCAAGCCACAACTTCTTCCTCCCCTAGACACTCAGATTCACAAGCTTCAACAAGAGATAGCTCAAATTGCTATCATCAAATCTGGCATCCGGTGGCAGGAAAATGATGAGACCAACATTCCTTTTCTGAAGCAAATGCATCAAAAACGAACGTTACAGCAGTATATGTCTGGCTTCAGAGATCTCAATGGTCCCCATCCTGAGATAGTAATGTCTGAAACGGCAAGCATGAAGCGCATTGCTCAAGACTTTTACCAACGACTATACACGCCCGACACTGTCGTTCCTGAAGACATCAACCACTACTTAGGGCTAGTCAATTTCGAACGTAAACTTAACAAAGACGATACTGATCTCCTGCTTGAACCGATAACCATCAATATGCTTCAGGAAATGTTTACACGCAGTCCAAAACAAAGTAGCCCAGGCAGCGATGGCCTAGGTTATGCGTATATACGCCTGCTTTTTGAACTTCCTGTTTTGGAGCAATTACTAGAACAACTGTACAACGATGCTCTTGTTCATGGTGTTGTTCCACCATCTTGGAAAGACATTCGAATAAGACTGCTGCCAAAGAAGGGCGATTTGAATGATTTGAAAAATTAGAGACCAATTTCGTTAATCAACTGCGATGCAAAGATCTTTACAAGGCTATTGACCAAACGCTTTGGCCCACTCATGCAAAAAATTATCAGTCCTTATCAAACAGAATTTCTCAATAACAGATTTATTGGCGATAATGGAATGTTGGTGCGTCTGATACTACAACAAGCAAGATACCAAAAACATACTGGTATTGGCCTACTTCTTGATCAAGAAAAGGCGTATGATCGAGTTCATGCCGGATATCTTACTCAGGTGCTACGTGCCTTTGGCTTTCCCCTTTCACTGATTGATAGCATTAGTAGTCTATTCTTTGATAATTCAGTGTATATTAATATTAATGGATTCTTCACGGAACCAGTCAATCAGAAGCGAGGTCTACGTCAGGATGATCCTCTTTCACCAATACTGTTCAATCTTGCTTTGGAGCCACTATTATTGTCTATTCTTCAAGATCCATTGTACCAAGGTTATTCTTCTTCGAACTCCTCAAGCAACCAACAGATCAAATGCCTAGCATATGCGGACGACATCTGTGTCCTTGTCCACGACCAAAATGACTTTGTACGCCTTCAGACTCATTTGAACAATTACGCTAAGGTCTCTAATGCAATTTTCAATCAGCACAAGACCGAAGCATTTTCATTGAGTGGTGATACTGTGTCTTCCTGGTCAACATTGTTAAGACAACACCGAATTGACACCTATTACTCTAAATCTTTGCCAACTACCCTGAGGTATTTAGGTTTCTACATGCCGTATACTAGTACACAGATAAATTTAGTTCAGGATATGCTACTTAACAAAGTAAAAACACTGATTTACGTTTTCTCACAACGATATTTGTCTCTTCGAGGAGGTGCAATGATTGCAAACACTCTCATCTTGTCCCAACTTTGGTTCTGTTTGCGGCTTTTCCATCCTACACAAGCCTTTTTCGAACAAATGCGAAGGTTGATATACAGGTTTGTCTGACAAGAGAAATACACTAAGATATCTTTCGATCAACTATGTCTTCCACGCCTACAAGGAGGTGTGGATCTTCTAAATCCTGCACGCCAACATTTAGTGCTCTAAATGAAATGGCTTTTTGCGATATTGTGAAAATAAAGAAAATCGTCGAGGTATCTTAAACACTTTTCGCAAAAACAGACCCGTCTCAAAAGTTATGGGTTTCTTGCATAAAAGTATTGCTATAAGCACATCTTGACTTAGAAAACTCAAACGAAGCAAATTGGAGGCCTTTTTGGATAGAAAGTCCTACGATATATGCCCTTTTTTTTATACTGTAATGATTGCCTCACTGTATTGATTGTTGACTTTCTTTTTCAAAGGCTTCACTATTAGGATAAAAGTTTGTTTGTTAACAAAATGCTTGTAGTGTATCCCTATGATAAGCATCATACAATCAAGAATAAAAATGTGGTGCCTGAACCTTGTTATTCTATTGAAACTAAAGCATTGTAGACTAACTAAACTTAAAAAGCAATTTAATTTTATGCAATAAATCAAAGTTTGAACTGACATGCAAGCTTGTGATACAATGTCCCTTAACTCATTCGTTTATCATTGAGCTTAAATTTCAGATAGGAAAACGACTGAGTCATTGAATGTCATGAAAGGTATTTAACAACCGCGAAAACTTTTTTTTTCTTCCATTCTATTTGACTTTCTTATGATCACTATACTTCCACCAAAACTCAAGATCCTCAACTTTCCAAGATCTCAAGTCAAGATCGTTACACATGCTATTACAAAAATCCTTTTGTTCAAAGACCCAAACATGCAAGTCTACAATATAATTATTACTTCTATTAACACTCTTTAAAGAGACAATTATTTCTTTTCTTTTACCGAGAATGAATATGGAATATCCATCATTGCCAATCAAGATGCAATTGAACAAGATTTTTTACCTGTTTTGGAGGCAGTTGGCTGTCTTGATTTGGATGCACCTACAGGCCTATTTCGTGTTTTGCAAGTAGACGATGAAAGGGGACAAGGCATGTATCAAGAACAACCTGAATGCAGGCGCTTATGTTCTCTTTATAGAATTAGGTGGGAGTGGAAAGAGAATTAGCGAAATTTCAGAGCCTTTGGCTGAAGGAAAATTTTCAATCTTGTACATATCTACTTATCAAACAGATTTTGTACTCATCAGTGAGCCAAAATTATACCAAGTCATGAAAGCGTTAAGGCAGCATGGGTTTGACATTGAATCAGACGATGATAGTGTAGACAATGATATTGAGCAAGATACAATCGAGGAAGGGGATGACCCTTTGTCACAAAATACGCAACCGTTGTCACCCACTGTGGATCCAGCACAATTCTTACTGGATACCAGTGTACTGGTCAATGAACTACAGTGTGTAGGACTCAACAAACATTATCGATCCAATTGGGTGCAGACTGTATTAAAGATACTCTGCTATCCAGAACTTGTTCAGTCTGATTGCGAGTAATATGTTTGCATTGTACAATGAATCATTCTGACTGTGCTTTATAGAGACGATTATAAGCGCTTTTGTTCTTTTGTCGCAACAAATGAAGACATTTCTCTCATTGCAGATACACAAATTGTTGCTACTTTTGAAGAGAGTTCTCTCATGTTAGAACAAGATGCTTCAGCTCAAAGAGTCATTCAAGTTCATTTCTCTGGCTCTAATATTGAGCGATGCGGTATTGTAAGATCCATTTCTAAGCCTTTATCAATGGAAGCAAATATCAACATGCTTTATCTCAGTACTTTTATGACAGCCAATATCATTGTCTCCGCTGATGATTTGGAAAGGGCTGTTCATATTTTATCTCCACAGAAAAACTTATTGACATGTTAACTCTTCCCCCAATATGCATGAATCATGCAAATTTGTATATAGTGTAGAATTAAAAAAAAAATGCCTTAATTGACTTTTATTTATTTATTTATTTATTTATTTATTTGCTTCCTGTCATGGTATATGGTCACTTACAATGCATAAGTTGCGGAACTAAAAGAATAGCCTGCATCATCATACTCTTCGTCATCAAATGACGACTTTTCTTGTAACTGGCTTGCTGGTTCTACTGATTCAAGCGGTACTAAATCCCACAACTGATTCAAGTTATCCTCGTATTTACGTTCATAAAGCAGTACAACAGTACCAGGTTTAGTCCAATTTCCCTACATTATCTGATAAGCTTAACATAAAATTGTATTTTCACTTACTCGGATATCCAAAACTAGATTGGGGTCTGTTTGAGGGTAAATAAAGCCATCTTCACGGTAATACCATCGTTGATTGTGTGCGTCTTCAATCATTTTTCGCTTGTATTGAATCATTTGCTTGTCGCTCTCTAGAATGCCTAGCTTTCATGATCAACTTTTGACTATGTTACATTCAGCTACTTTACCTCCTTGCACATCTAAAACTATATTTTATGGCGTCAGTAACAATGTTTTCTTCTCTTTTTTTGTCTATTACTCTACCCATGCCTGAATTCTTATTTATAATGTATCCACTGTCGTATGTCCATAATTGATTGTCATAATCCTTTGTCTTTTTTGGCCAAACAATAATTTTTGCTGCAGCCTATAGACTTTTTAGCTTCTGTATAGCAACCGTTGCTATGTACTCTACCTTTAATGAATCATAGCTCACATCAATCACCATTTTATGCGAGCATTTTGATTGAATAAAAAACCACCCGGAGGGAAAGTTGCTCATAATAAAAAAAAATCGTGTTCGTAAAAGAAAAACAATAAAATACAAAAATAAAAAGGTCTGGTTAAACTATGCTTTCCACCAATAGCAATTGAACTTGTAAGAGAAAAAATCTCTCTAAACATGCTGAGCTACTTTTTCCATCAGCATTCAGTCGTTATGAATCAATGTTAACCAAAATAGTCTACATCATAAACAAACTTTATCTTATATATTGTCATTACAAGTAAGCTTGTTTAATAAAGATTATCTTTTTCTTACACACTATCATTACATATCATATTCCGATCAAGCCAAACAAAGTCACTTATGCCCAGCAGCTGTGTTTACATCCTTTCGCTTTTAGTCTCATATCTGGAGAAGTAGACTAGTTAATTTCGTTTATCTGTTTTCTTTTTATTATTATATGTTTTACTTAACCTAGAGAAACAGACAAAGCTACAATCATTCTCATTATGTTTACGTGAGCTGTCCTTTTAATTTTAATGACTGAATCAGCTAATTGGATTTGGTATCTCTGCATTAATAAACAACATTTCAATCAATTACACTTTGAAATGCTCTGGTTGGTTTTATGTACTGTATGACTTTTGTCTGAGTCTTTTTTCTTGACATAATTATACTGTCTTTAATTTTAGCGCTAACATTCTTAAGTATGTCAGTCTCTTTGTTGCAAATTTAATCCCAATCATGCCATTCTAGGTCTACTATCTCATAGAGATCAATAGAATCCCTTTCGACATTCATAGGCTCATACTCAGGAATGTTATCGAAAATATTGAAGGAGTGCATATACTCGCTTGGAACGCCATACACAAGATATAAATGACAAAATAAACATACAATTCGCAAAGTGAAAAAAAAATGCGCAAAATAAAAAAAATGACGTTAGTTTTATTACCTAAGCAATTTGATTTTGTATTTTATACGGAGTTATTTTTAATTAAAGAAGCGTTATTCATAACAAAGACGCTTTGCTTGATATAATTGACAATTTTTTTGTAGGAATAAAGTACTTTATCTTTTAAATCAGATCATAGCCTCCTGCTATTTAAATCACAACTCTTTAATTAGTTTTGTTGAAAGGAGTCACAGTCCTCAAGGAAATGTACCTATTCGTTTTTGGTCGTATTATATCACTTGAGCAGTGTATGAAGCAAACTTCAGAATTTGAGACACTCTTGAAAAAACAAGATTCATGCATTAGTTAATCAATTAGGGAAAAAAGGGGGTTTCTTTTCAGAAGATAAAGCCAACTATTGATATTTTAAGAAAAAGAGGAGAAAAAATCAAGTGTAACTTACTGACAGCAAGATGACGGATTCTTCGATATTACTTTATTAGTAAAGCTTCTGAGCTCAAATCCATAAAAATACACTTCAAGACTATCAATGCCTTTGTAAGTGCGAGATTTGGTTCCTCATCGTCCTGTCACGTTCCTTGCAGTTTTTGAAGGTATTTTTTTTTTACGTTTAAATTGAAACAAGCCAACTTTTTTGTTTGTTTAGACATAAAGACAGCATAATGAATATCAAAGAAAAAGAATGCGCCATCTATAAAGACCAAGAAAAGTTTATATAAGCTACAAGGAGAAGCAATTCTATACTTTACCAAACAAACGATGATCATCACCCTTTTTGGCTTGATGTATGAGGTACAGAAAAAAGAACCAGAGCCTAGAATTTTGAATGCGACTATTAGTCACAATTTCAGTTGTCAATATATTATATATTGCTTATATCTGGTATATGGAGTGTCATGGAAGAAATCTTGTGTAAAAAATTTCAGTCACAGTTACATTCAGACTATAAATCAGGGCATAATCATTCAAACCGTGTGGTATTCTATCAACCAATAAAATCCAGTGCCACTGTACATAGTACCTGATTTGTCAACACAATGTCACACCAGCAGCAATAACTTCACATCCACAGTTTTCTTTTTCTTCTTTCTTTTTCTCTTTTTCTTCAACTTTTTTTTCTACTTTGTACTTGCATAAAAAAAAGGGTCAAGATAAAACTAAAATACAGTTGTAAAAAGAGAGAGCGAAAAGAAAAAAAAACTCTTTACGGTCTTTTTTCCTTTTTATCAAGCCAAGAAAAAGCAAGTTATGAAACGGTCCACAACTGGCGATTTTTCAAAGAATAAAAAACTGTGTCTTTCATCTTCACCTACATCGCATACGAAGAACATGAAACGTCTAGAGCTAACAAGCTTATTATCTCCTATTAGAGATATGGTGCTACACCTTGACAAAGGCGAAACTGAATATTGCATATCAGATCAGTTACCAACTACGAAAAATGACTCTGAAGAGGAAGAAGAAGAAGACGACGATGATGATGATGATGATGAAGAAGAGGAAGAAATAGATAATCATAACACCGTAGCACTGATACAAAAGACGCTTAAAAGCATAGCACATCGACAGATACGACTAGAGACAGAAAATAAACGTCTTCGGATAGCTATAAAGCAACAGCATCACTTGTTAACACAACCACATGACGAAGAAAGCAACAAAAATAAAGTAGAAGAAAAAGAAAAAAAGAAATCACCTGTAAATACTTATCATGGAACACCTGAAGATTGTATTTCTTCTTTTCGAACTTCTCCAATGTTAGATAAATTACAATTAACGCCCAATACAACAGGTAAAAATAAAAATAAAATAAAAAACAACAATTTATACTTCTTAATAGAAAACCAACAGCAACCAGAATTATTGGAAAGCTGTCAAAATTGCGTAAATCAAGCAATTCAAGTAGTCTCTGCTATACATAGCGGCAAGCTCGATCAACGAATTCAATGTCAACATGCAACAAACAGTGATCTCAAAAATGCTGTCAATTCAATGGCTAATCAACTGCAAAACATCACACAACGTGTTCTTAAAACTGTTCATGAAATCGCTATAGAAGGAAAACTAGGTATACAAACAGATATTGATGATACCATGGAAGGCAGTTGGAGAGAATTTATCTTGCATTTGAACCGCATGGCCCGAAATCATTCCGAACAAGTAAGAGATATTGCTGATGTATCAACGGCTATTGCTAGAGGCGATTTAAGTAAGACAATGACTGTGCCTGCAAAAGGCGAAACACTTGTCTTGAAAAATACATTTAATACAATGGGTACGACAGCATAATAGGACTTGTGTGTGTCTGTGGCATGAATTGACCTTTTTCTTTAGTGAATCATTTGAACTTGTTTGCTTCTGAAGTTACTCGTGTTGCTCATGAAGTGGGTACTGAAGGCAAACTGGGTGTTGAAGCAAAAGTCGCTGGCGTCGACGGCATTTGGAAAGAACTGACAGATAATGTAAATACAATGGCAACTAACCTTACAAATCAAGTGAGAGATATCGCTCATGTCTCAAAAGCTGTTGCCTGCGGCGATTTGACAAAGAAAGTCAAGGTGGAGGTGAAAGGAGAAATGCTAGATTTGAAGAACACAATCAATACAATGGTTGACCAGGTATATCTTGATCGATTATAGTTCTGCTCCCTCTAAACTCTGTCTTTTTTCTAGTTATCTATTTTTGCTGGCGAAGTGACACGTGTGTCCTTAGAAGTAGGTGTTGATGGTCTTTTAGGTGGTCAAGCTGTAGTGAAAGATGTAGGTGGTACTTGGAAGGACTTGACAAACCATGTCAATATGATGTCTGAGAAAATTGGTGGACAAGTTCGAGATATTGCGGCAGTTGCTAAAGCCGTAGCAGAAGGTGATTTGACCAAAAAAGTTACTTGCGATGCACAAGGTGAAGTTCTCGACTTGATTAATACGATGAATACAATGGTAATGATATGTGAAGATATAGATATATAGATATGCTTATCCTTTTTCTATACAGGTTGATCAGTTGAACAATTTCTCAGCAGAAGTGACCAGAGTATCATTAGAGGTTGGTGTCGAAGGTAAATTAGGTGGCCAAGCAGTAGTTAAAGATGTCGGAGGTACATGGAAAGATTTGACAGATAATGTCAACCTAATGGCAGCCAACTTGACTACTCAAGTACGTTCCATTGCTGAAGTTACAACTGCAGTTGCAAAAGGAGATCTTTCTAAAAAGATTGATGTCGAAACTCGAGGCGAAATTTTTGATTTGAAGAACACTGTCAATAGCATGGTAGACCAATTGAATGTGTTTGCCTCTGAAGTCTCTCGTGTGGCTCGCGAAGTAGGCACAGAAGGCAAGCTTGGCGGTCAAGCTGTTGTACCTAACGTTGATGGTACGTGGATGGATCTGACAGACAATGTGAATCAGATGGCAGCCAATCTTACGAGTCAAGTGAGATCGATTGCCGAAGTAACAAAAGCCGTCGCTTTAGGCGATTTGTCCAAGAAGATTGAGGTCGAGTCTGGAGGAGAGATCTTAGAGCTAAAGAACATTGTAAACGACATGGTAGACCAACTCCGTGTGTTTGCCTCAGAAGTAACACGTGTATCAAAAGAAGTCGGCACTGAAGGCAAATTAGGTGGTCAGGCTGTTGTACAAGATGTGGCTGGTACATGGCACGAACTAACTGACAATGTGAATCAGATGGCAGCCAATCTTACAAACCAAGTGCGCTCTATTGCTGAAGTTACCAAAGCCGTCGCTTTAGGCGATTTGTCCAAGAAGATTGAGGTCGAGTCTGGAGGAGAGATCTTAGAGCTAAAGAACATTGTCAATAGTATGGTAGACCAATTGAATGTGTTTGCCTCTGAAGTCTCTCGTGTGGCTCGTGAAGTAGGCACAGAAGGATCTCTCGGTGGTCAAGCTGTTGTGCCTAATGTAGGTGGCACTTGGAAAGACCTCACAGAAAACGTAAACCATATGGCAGCCAATCTTACATACCAAGTACGCTCTATTGCTGAAGTGACAAAAGCAGTAGCTAACGGTGACATGAGCAAGAAGATTGAAGTAGAATCAGGTGGTGAAATTCTAGAGCTCAAGAACACAGTCAATAACATGGTGGACCAACTTCGAATATTTGCATCCGAAGTGACGCGTGTGTCAAAAGAAGTGGGTACAGAAGGAAAACTTGGTGGCCAAGCCATTGTGCAAGGTGTAGCCGGCACCTGGAAAGATTTGACAGACAATGTCAATATGATGGCAGCCAATCTAACAACCCAAGTACGTTCAATCGCTGAAGTTACAAAGGCAGTAGCGAATGGTGATCTATCGAAAAAAATTGAAGTAGAGTCTGGCGGAGAAATTGCAGAGTTAAAGAATATTGTCAACAACATGGTGGATCAGTTGAGAGTTTTCGCTTCAGAAGTAACACGTGTAGCCAAAGAAGTTGGTACTGAAGGCAAGCTTGGTGGTCAAGCCGTAGTTCAAGGTGTCGGTGGTACTTGGGAGAGTCTTACAGATAATGTCAATATCATGGCAGCTAATTTGACAAACCAAGTACGTTCTATTGCTGAAGTTACCAAAGCCGTCGCTTTAGGCGATTTGTCCAAGAAGATCGAGGTCGAGTCTGGTGGTGAGATTCTCGAATTGAAAAACATTGTGAACAACATGGTGGATCAACTGAATGTGTTTGCCTCTGAAGTCTCTCGTGTGGCTCGCGAAGTAGGCACAGAAGGCAAGCTTGGCGGTCAAGCTGTTGTACCTAACGTTGATGGTACGTGGATGGACCTGACAGACAATGTGAATCAGATGGCAGCCAATCTTACGAGTCAAGTGAGATCGATTGCCGAAGTAACAAAAGCCGTCGCTTTAGGCGATTTGTCCAAGAAGATCGAGGTCGAGTCTGGTGGTGAGATTCTCGAATTGAAAAACATTGTGAACAACATGGTGGATCAACTGAATGTGTTTGCCTCTGAAGTCTCTCGTGTGGCTCGCGAAGTAGGCACAGAAGGCAAGCTTGGCGGTCAAGCTGTTGTACCTAACGTTGATGGTACGTGGATGGATCTGACAGACAATGTGAATCAGATGGCAGCCAATCTTACGAGTCAAGTGAGATCGATTGCCGAAGTAACAAAAGCCGTCGCTTTAGGCGATTTGTCCAAGAAGATTGAGGTCGAGTCTGGAGGAGAGATCTTAGAGCTAAAGAACATTGTAAACGACATGGTAGACCAACTCCGTGTGTTTGCCTCAGAAGTAACACGTGTATCAAAAGAAGTCGGCACTGAAGGCAAATTAGGTGGTCAGGCTGTTGTACAAGGTGTGGCTGGAACATGGATGGATCTGACAGACAATGTGAATATTATGGCCGCAAATCTGACAACCCAAGTGCGTTCCATCGCCGAAGTGACCAAAGCAGTAGCAAGTGGTGATATGAGCAAAAAGATTCATGTAGAGACGCGTGGTGAAATTCTTGACCTGAAGATTACCGTGAATGACATGGTTGACCAACTAAGAGTATTTGCTTCTGAAGTTACCCGTGTTGCTCGTGAGGTTGGTACAGAAGGCAAATTAGGTGGTCAAGCAACTATTATCGGTGTCGATGGTACTTGGAAGGACTTGACAGATAATGTCAATCTGATGGCAAGCAATTTGACAGATCAACTGCGTTCTATTGCTGCTGTATGTAAAGCTGTAGCTCAAGGCGATCTTAGTAAAAAGATTGAAGTTGAAGTTCATGGCGAGATTGCAGAGTTGAAGAATACGATTAATACCATGGTGGATCAATTGAGCTCCTTTGCTTCTGAAGTGACGAGAGTCGCAAAGGAAGTAGGTACTGAAGGCAAATTGGGTGTTCAGGCCCAAGTGGAAGACATTGAAGGTCTCTGGCGCGATATCACTAGTAATGTCAACACAATGGCTTCTAATTTAACAACACAAGTCCGTGCTTTTGCTCAGATTTCTGCTGCCGCTACCGAGAATGACTTCTCTCGATTGATTACTGTAGAAGCATCGGGTGAAATGGATTCATTAAAGACCAAAATCAATCAAATGGTCAACTCGCTTCGTGACGCCATTCAAAAGAACAGACAGGCCAGAGAAGCTGCAGAACTGGCTAATAGATCCAAGAGTGAGTTTTTAGCCAACATGAGCCACGAAATCCGTACTCCTATGAACGGTATCATTGGTATGACGTCCCTCACACTTGAAACTGAATTGACTCGGCAACAAAGAGAAAACTTGATGATCGTATCCAGCCTTGCCAATAGTTTGCTGAGCATCATTGACGACATTCTAGACATCTCAAAGATTGAAGCTGGTCGAATGACGATTGAGTCTATCCCTTTCTCTCTTCGTTCTGCTATTTTTAGTGTCCTCAAAACATTAGCCGTCAAAGCCAATCAAAAAAAGCTTGATCTGGTTTATAATGTTGATTGTGCTATTCCAGACCAGTTGATCGGCGATCCTCTTCGTTTGCGACAAGTTATTACAAACTTAATTGGAAATGCCGTCAAGTTCACAACCCGTGGCGAAGTATCTTTGGAAACAAGGGTTGTGTCTGATTCAGGTGATGATGTTATTTTAGAACTTTGTGTACGCGACACAGGTATTGGTATTCAAGAGGATAAGTTGAGCGTGATTTTCGATACTTTCTGTCAAGCTGATGGCTCAACAACGTATGTATGACCTGAAATGAAACCATCAATAACTTATTGTTTTTTAGTCGTGAATATGGTGGTACTGGTCTTGGTTTATCTATCTCTAAACACTTGGTTCAATTGATGGGTGGTGACTTATGGGTCACCTCTGTCTATGGTCGTGGATCTCAATTCTATTTTACACTCAACTTCAAGCGATATCCAAAAGAAAGATACGATGCTTTTGAAAAGATGAAGCGTTACAAGGGGCGCAATATCTTATTCTTAGATGGAAAGGATGATGAGATGGGTATTGAATCAAAACTTCATGAACTTGGTTTGTCACCCTTCCGAGTAACTGGTATATCTGAATCTGTAAATATGACCAGTCTTCCCGCATTCCAAACCAATAACAACAAACAACCACTTTTGTTTGACACTGTCATTGTGGACAATGTTGCCTATGCTGAAAAAATCCGTGAAGCAGTTCATTTACGATACACGCCTATTATCTTAATTGCACCAGAAATCCATCGCCTCAATATGAAACTTTGCATTGATCTGGGTATCACTGGTTATATCAATTCACCTGTTACCTTGTCTGATCTTGCTTATACTCTTTTACCTGCGCTTGAAAGTCATTCTTCGCTTCCAAGCGATGCTTCTATACCCCTTCCTCTTGAAATCTTGTTGGCTGAGGACAATATCGTAAATCAAAAACTAGCTGTACGCATACTTGAGAAGTTTGGTCATAAAGTGGAAATCGTATCTAACGGTAAACTTGCTGTTGAAGCTTTTGAAAAAAGCAGCTATGATCTAATCTTGATGGATGTTCAAATGCCAGTAATGGGTGGTTTTGAAGCTACTCAAAAGATTCGAGAGATTGAACTTAGAGCAGGCAATGGATCGCATGTTCCCATTATTGCATTGACAGCACATGCGATGATTGGTGACAGAGAAAAATGCTTGCAGTCTGGCATGGTAATGATCAATTGACATTAAGAGACTGTTACTTATTTTTTTGTAGGATGAATATGTAACTAAACCATTAAGGTTCCCTGAGCTTATTGCGGCTATCAAGAAGTTTGCACCACAATCAGCACACACAATGCTCATGAACAAACCAAACAAAAAACGATAGTTTGTCCTGTTGTAATAATTTCTTGTTTTTGATCTGGCATCAAACAAATACATGTAAAATAAAGGCTTTCAATGTATAAAGCGTATCTGGTACACTTATTGGGGGAAAAACTTCGCTGTAAAAAATAAAATACCAAATGAGCACAATGATCAAAAAGACTTCATTGAACAAGTATAAAATGAGAGAATTTTACTTTTTCTTTTTCTCTAAACAAAAAAGTAGATGTATATTTATATATAATGTCATTGTAATGAAGTGTATAAAAGAAAAAAAACTAAGTTTATATGTATAAAGGATGAGAGTTGTTTAAGCAAACTTGACATCAATGTTGGCTTCTCTGGCTAATGAGACAATTTGAGAGAACTTGACAGCCTTTTGAGCAGCAGTATCCAAATCTTCGACAGCAAAGATACGGAGACCAGATTCAGCAATCAACTTCTTAGCTTCATCAACCTTGGTACCACGGAGACGGACGATCAAGGGGATCTTGAGATCCAAGTCCTTGGCAGCAGCAATGATACCTTCAGCAATAACATCACAACGCATGATACCACCAAAGATGTTCACGAAAGCAGAGGAGACGTGAGGGTCAGATGTGATGATTTCGAAAGCAGCCTTGACAGCATCAGGGGTAGCAGCACCACCAACATCCAAGAAGTTAGCGGGCTTACCACCGTGAAGTTGAATAATATCCATAGTAGCCATGGCAAGACCAGCACCATTGACTAAAGAAACAAAGAATAAATAAACACACACACACACACACACACACACACGCGCACACACACGCAAATAGACTTACCCAAACAACCAATGCTACCATCCAAACCAATGTAGTTCAAGTGGTGCTTAGCGGCAGCGATTTCACGAGAATCTTCTTGAGTGAAATCACGCAAAGCGAAAACTTCCTTTTGCTTAAAGTCGGCGTTATCGTCAAAGTTCAACTTGGCATCCATACAGAGAACTAAGGGATGGTTAATAACAATAATAGACTTTTTTTTTCGTTTTACCTTGGTTGTCGCTGGATTCAGACAAGGGGTTGATTTCAACTTGAGTAGCATCCTTTTCAGTGAAAAGCTTGTAGAGACCAAGGAAAGTGTCAGCAGCTTGTTCTTGACCCTTAGGGGTGAAACCGAGCTTCTTGGCGAGATCCAAAGCTTGGTCCTTGGTAAGGCCTTGTTGAAGATCAACAGGCATGGTGACGATAGCATCAGGGTTGGCAGCAGCAACACCTTCAATATCAACACCACCTTGAGAAGAGGCAACGATGACGGGACCAGCAGATTTGCGGTCCAACAAGATAGCAAAGTAGTATTCGTTACGAGCGTATTTACGTTCACAGATGTAAACAGCGTTGCAGGGCTTACCCTCAGCACCAGTTTGCTTGGTGATCAACTTATGACCAAGCATCTTTTCGGCAAGTTCTCTGGCTTCTTCGGGACTACAAAAGAAAAAATTTTATTAAGCCTATATTCCACACATATCACACACATATCACACACAAAAAATCCACTTACGTGTTGAAAGTCTTAACACCACCTTTATAACCATTATCGAAAGTACCCTTACCACGACCACCGGCAAGGACTTGAGCCTTGATGACAAGGTCATCACTGCCTAAACAAGCATATTAAAAACCATGGTAAAATTATTGGAATTATGAGATAATTACCGAGACTCTTTGCGATTTCAAAGGCTTCTTCAGGAGTCTTGGCGACTTCACCCTTGGGAGCATTGATACCGTATTCTCTCAAAAGCTTAACAGAAAGATACTCATGGATGTTGAGGAAACGCTTTTGTTGTTGTTGAATAGGCTTACGAGCAACCTAAAGACAAAGATAAGATATACAATCCTCATTATTTGTGGCTTCCTTTTTCTTACCAAAGAGGCACGTTGTGCGATAGAAGAAGAGGCGGCACGCAAAGAGTTGAACAACATATTGATATGAATTTGGGAGAAAAAAGAGAGAAAGTGAGATGGGGATGGCCCACAATGTTACTTATTTTTTCGGGGTTTGTTTCTCACTCTCCAAACAAAAAAGCGGGTAAGTACGGAATAATAGTAAAAAAAAACTTAGTCACCCGAAGCCTTAAAGGCCACGTACACTCCGCTATGAAAAAAATTTCTTCTTCATCATCGATTGGTCTAAAATGACTTGGTTTTTTTTATATATGAATCGTATCCCTTCATATAGAGACTTGAGATAAGGTGTAGAAAATAGAGGGAATGTTTATAAGAGAAATGATATGGAACAGAATCACATTAAGGAGCCAAAGTGAAGCCATACTCACGTTCTCAAGTATGATTATTTGTCACATCAACATGCCCGGGTTGTCCCGTTATTTGAATATAGTCCATCAGGAACGATCTGATTAAAAAAAGTATATAAACTAGCAAGACATATTAAAATTTTTTTTATTAAGTTACTGTATCCATCCACTATGTAGAATTGGAAGAACCTATACTCTTTCTCTTATATTCCCTTCTTTTTTTTTCGTTATTGATTATTTGATATGATCATGTCTAATCACATTCCAAACGCAGCACACTGATTAAAAAAGCCAACTCCGACTACTATTCTCTTTTATATAAATATGCTAGAGGTGATTTTCGATTCGTGTTTTTTTAACAGAATTATGAAACAGAAGAAAAAAACCAAAGAAAAAAAACGAAGCGAAAGTAGCTAGATTATGTTGCTTAATTTACAAAAACAACACCATCTGAAAAGACCAACAAAGTGAAAAGAAATTCAAGTTTACAAAAAGGAGTAGAGTATATATGAGAATTTAAGATGTACTTCTCTTTTGATTTTGCGGGAAAATCCAGGCTAATTTATGGTTTTTATCACCAATCAAAATGCTTTGTATATACACGACATTTTTTTTGCTTGTTAAATGCGCTAGAAATCAATGATGAGACGCATGTTTATGTAGCCAATACTTTAAAGTTGATTGACAGTTACTATAGCACAGAAAACCCGAAGTGTGTTTGCGTGTAGAAAATGAGCGTACATGCATAAGAATGATAAAATTTGTTTTCAAATTCAGGTATACAAAGCATATGAAAAAATTCCCACCTTCAAAAAGAAGGTTCCTGAATTTGGAGAAGAGAAAATCACTTGAATAAAAAGTATTATGTAACCTGTATCATTTTACAAGTGTGAAGTTAAGGAAAAGAGAAGTCAAAAAAGAAGGCTACGTATATCTTGGATTCAGAAACTGTCTTATTCATTAGGTTATAAGAAGGAAGGGAGATGAGTTAGTAACAGATATCAACCAGTCTATGATTGATCGACAATATGACCGACCAATACTAAGCTGTGGTTGATGCAAATATTGGCTACATCAAATGTTTAATCTACACGGTTTACAGTGTTCATCTATTATGCTTTGGGGAACTTGCTTAAGGATGGAAAGCATGCAATTTTTATTTGGTTTCAAAAATCATTAAAATATGCCTTTTTAGAAAAAATATAGAAGTTAGACCTGCCATTACTTCATCATATGTTTAAACGATAAGGTGATGTAATTGGTTCCTATACAGTCCCTTGTATTTACGAGGAGAAGCAAAGACAACGCTCATTTTCTTTTTTCCCAGGACTATCTTCATATGTCAAGCTATAAACATGTTATACGAATAATGTCGAAAGCGTTCATTTTTTCTTTAGTCAATGAATCTGTATTGACGACCAAATTAAATGCTGTGAGCTTTGACTCTTTTTAGAAAACGAATTGACAGTTGACTTAAAGGTGATAGTCTGCATTGAATCTGACTCTTTCTAAACTTTAAGATTACTTTGAGTTAAATTTTTTTACTGTGCTATCTTGAGAATGTATTAGTTTATGTTTAAAAGCATTTACATATATTCTCGTTTGTTAGTAGCACTCACTACTTAATTGGTATACTATCTTTTAAACAGTGTCTTACACATGTGTTTCATTTGCATATTTGATTTAGTAGACACAAATAAAACAAGTTCTGATTTCAAAGTTAGAAATTCAATAGGCACACACAGAGTATTATTCCCTGATTTTGTATAACCCTATGAATCATTATTATTCATCATTTGTATACTTATGCCTGTGTTTGTGTGTGTGTAATTTTTTTTCTCCATAGAAAACTTTATTGCTTTTATGCATTCGTGTGTGTGAGAGCCAGAATATTCTTAGAACTCAACAAAAGTGTCGGTTTCTTCTACATATTGCCATTTCTTCAATTCGGTACCATAAGGTTTGGGGCGAAGTTCGTATACACTATGTCAAATTCCAGTTAGTGATAGCCTAGAACATTCGTGCCTTTACGTGTGAATAGGAACCATCATGTGAGGCATTTCTTCTCTTGTCCAGTCTAGCAGATAACCTAAAAGGATACGCATAACTACTCTATGTGTAATAATCAAACAAGACTGCGTCATTCTCTCCAATTCAACTATCATTGGTTGCAGACGATGAATCACGTCAATGTAGGATTCACCACCCATACCGGGATATCTGTAAAAGAGCTTGTTTTGTTGTCGAGATTTGAATTCGGAAGGATGCTTTTCTTGGATCTCTTGGTATGTCATACCCTCACAAACCTATTGATACAAAGGTTACACGTCAGAACACAAAATGATTAAATACTTACACCAGAATTGATTTCATTCAAAAAGCGAATATGCTTAATGTCGTAATCATCTGGATCAAAATGTTCTGCTGTCTGTTTTGATCTCTGAAGCATACTCGTCCAAACAGAAAACTGAGAGTTACAGAACTCTGCTGTCTTTTGTAAAGCTAGTGCGGGTGTCTGCTTTTCTTCTGGTTCCAATTCATTTGCTCTTGCAGCCAATTCACAGCCAAATCGAATGCGTTGTGTTTGTACGAATTTGGCCAATGCTTTAGCAAATTTACGTCCTTTTGCTGATAAAGGAGCATCACCACCAATTCTGCCTGTAACGTTGTCTTCACTCTCACCATGGCGAGTTACAAAAATTTGGCGTTCTACAAATTATGTCAGTCCCAGCTTAGAATGGGTCAATCGACTTGCCATTCAGATTGAAATTCATCAAATAGAATATGCATTGACCAGACAAGTAACCAGAAATGTTATATGCAATCACTTTTTTGCCTACATTGATAAGTTTACAAAATTGGATATCATTCTCTTCTTCCCAATCGCCAACAGGCTCATAAGCCTTTTCGTAGTTTGCTACACGCGACCTGAAATCTGCCAATGCTTCTATAGGATCTTTGTTTTTATAGTCCGGACCTGACAATTTCAATCGAAAGTTACGTTCAAGCATCTAAAAAAATTAAGTGACAAATGTCAAATAGTCTGACATTACCGCTTGATCTGTACAAACAGATTCTATCATTAGAATTCTGATTTCTGGCTCTTTTGCCAATCTGTCAATCAGCAATTTTCTATAGAAAAAATATATACGTCAAGCATAGTTCTGATTCATCACACATTTATCTAATTACCTTCTTTCAACTGTTGAATTAGTCGCATCATGAATAGCAACACGTCCTCCTTCTTTTAACCAGTCGACTAGTTGTTCCAATACACTTAAAGCAATCTCATCACGAATACGCTTGTTGTCTGGATTTGTTGGATCAAAGAAACTAGCACTTTGTTCTTGTGAAGACTCATAAACGCGTCTCATATTGCCCACATTAAAGACTTTTGTTTCATATTGTAACCAATTCAAGTATCGTCTTAATTTTTTGACAATATAACTTTTTCCTCGCGCAGGCAATCCGACTATGGAAATATGTCAACATGTAACATCTTAAAATACGATTATGCCTTACCCATTATGACGACTAGTTTACTATCCAGTTGACGTTCTGTTTTTAATTCTACATGATAATTGTTAGTATGCATTTATGTCTCGCGTTTTTTTTTATCTACTTGGGGTTGTGATAGTATGCACTGCACCGGGCACGTCCAAACCTATTGAGTGACGAATATTGGAAGCTTTCTTGCTTGTTTCTTCAGCATATTGTGTTTGTAGCCAGCTGGGTATAGGTTTAGGTGGGTTTGTCTTGAAAGGTTGGCTTGCTTCTTTTATAGATAGACTGGGTAATACACGCTTAGGAATACTTTCTGGTTCATCATTTTCTGGCTTAACTTCAGGTAACGTCTTGCGTCTATCGCTGTGGAAGTGGTTCATAATATAAAGGAAAAAATAAAAATAAATAAAAATTAAAAAAATAGTGCTATGAATTGTCAGATGTCACTTTTTTTTCCCTTGCAGCATATAGTCCGAAAATAAGATTGCTTTAATATATGCATTGCTTTAACAAATGTTTGTATATGATAAAGAAATACTTTCTGACTCTAAATCATACTTATCTCTTTACTTCTTTATCATCGTCATCTGTCTTTGTATCTGCTTCTTTAAGGATCTTTAGAGTTGTATCATATTACCAAAGAGTAAAAAAAAAAGCATGATTACCATAATTGTGTTTATATACACCTACAGTACGTCAAGTCTCAACAAGCGAGTTTAAAAATTAAATCAGAGGATTTTTAGAATTCAAAATTAAGAATGAATCAGATACTGGCTCGAAGAACAAAAAGCAATCGATATACAATAATAAGAATAGCTATACAAAAAAAGTCTTGTTCTAAAAGAGTCTATGATAGATGACACATATCAAACATCCTACTTTACTAACTTGGCCTAGTTCATAAACCGAACATGAATTGGAGGGAATAAGATTGAAAACTTTTGTTGAATGAGATCTATGCGAGAAGCTCTTGCAAAGTATACATCTTTTGAAATTTCAAATGTATAGAAAAATACAGCCTCTTTATAATACTTCAAGACTTTTTTAGCAATGTTTTTTCTTGAAAGTTTCTGGTTGACTTTATTTGTTTAGCCATGATAAACAAGAGGACCTTTATGATCGGTGGTTACTGAATTTTTCGTATTGATGTAGAATGGTTTTGACGTCATTGTAAGCCTCAAATAATAAGGCTTGTCAATGATAGGCATTTCAGGGTTCAACAAGTTAGGAAACATCTCAAAAACAGTTTTTTGATAGGATTCCAAGAGAAAAGAATGTAATTGAGGAGATACTGAACTTTTTCATGTATTCTTGCAATACCTCAGCAAATTCTAAAGTTGCAATAATTGTTCTTCATTAATTTGATTTACCTCTTTCAAATATCAAAGTACACTTGTTTGTCTTCTAGGATATTCTTTGACTGATGCTAGTTTTATTAAGTCAAACCGTCATTGACAAAAAAAATTGGACCTATGCAAGCTTCGTTAATATTTTTTTGATTTTTGGTCGTGACTTGATCTGCTTCACCTCAAACAGAGCTAATTGATACATTGCTACAAAATAATCAGGGGAAAATACAAAATCATTTGATATGAATAAGCTTTGTAATTCCGCAACAAAACAAGTATCATTTGTACTAAGTGGGATTTTTCGTTGATCAATATTGCTGAAGTGAGAGGTTGCTCAAAAAATTGTATTTATATTGGTGTTAATGATCCCATAATTACTACAAATGAAACTGAAAACACCCGATCTCTTACAAATGCTGCTATTATTGCTCAAAATGGAATTGCCTGTTGATGATACTACCAATATCGTAGCTAAATAAATAAAAAAAAAAGAGTTAAATAAACACTAGAAATGTCCTTTAAGAAATGCTATCGTCCGTTAAAAGCAATATATTAGAAACTGTTAAACGGAATGAGCTTATTACACTTCAAAATGTTTGGAATAATAAAATCGATTACACATAACTTATACGTAATACAAACATGAGACCCATTCCATTATTAGAATAATGAAAGCTTTATTCTGTATTATATGAAACCAGAAGAAAACGACATTATCTTCATAAATTGTTACGACTTAGTGGTTCTTGTGATTTTTCCTTATTGAATAAAGAATTCCGCTGATTGAAAATTTTAAAGCCCACATTTGGGTCCTATGCACTGTACAAACCAAGAAAACAACTTGATTTAGAAAAACTGAGTTTTTTTCGATGAATATTAAAAAGGTTTAGTGTGAACTCATTTTTTTTTTCTTATTTTCGATTTTAGAAATCAATTACTTTATTTTTGAATCCCTGTACTTTGTTGGACATTAAAAAAACACTCAAATTAGTTTATCCTCTTATGCCTAATAACCTTTAGCATGTGATATTCCTACTACCGCCTTTGAAAAAAGAAACAGTGATTGGAGCATCAATTATAGATTTTTTTATGACGTGTATAGTGGCCAATCAGTTTATTTCCCAGATTATCCCAGTGTATACAATGTTAATGTTTAGTGACGTCTGAAAATTTTAGACTAAACGAGAACCGGAGCTTTATCCTTATTACAATAAAACAGAATGAATCATTACATAACATTAAACTCAGTAGTCGTGTTTGACTTGAGTCACACAACAAATGACGCTCACACAAAAAAAGTTAGGTACCTTCTCCACATACATACACATATCAGCTCCGAATTACATTCTTTTTTAAAGTTTAGACAGGAGAAAAAAGATATAAAAACCCTCACTTTGGATCTGGAGAATAATATTTCTCTTTATATCTTAAATTGTCTTGTACATATAATTATTCAACATGGGATACATGTTAAAAGGCGCTGCCTTATTTAGAGCTACTACTTTACTAGCCGCTATTGGCTTTTTACTCTTTGGTTATGACCAGGTAAACAACTTGAAGAGATCAGATCATAGAAATATGGAATCTAATCATAAAAATCTTATAGGGTGTTATGTCCGGTGTTGTTGCCAATGATTTATTTAAAGAAACAATGGGAAATCCTAGTTCTTCTATGATTGGTGCTATTGTAGCCCTTTATGAAATTGGTTGTATGGCCGGTGCTTTGTCTACTGGTCGTATTGGTGACTGGCTTGGCCGTAGAAAGACAATTCGTTATGGTTGTCTTATTCTCTGTATTGGTGCTGTCTTACAAACTGCTGCTGTTGATGCTGGTATGATGATTGCTGCTCGTATCATCACTGGTATTGGTAATGGTATGAACACTGCTACCATTCCTGTCTATCAAGCTGAATTGTCTCCTCCCAAGTCTAGAGGTTCTCATGTTGCTTTTGAAGCTTCCTTATTAACTGTCGGTGTTGCTATTGCTTACTGGCTTGAATATGGTCTCTACTTTGTCAAAGGTGAATTTGCTTGGAGATTCCCTTTGGCTTTCCAAATGGTCTTTGCTATCATTTTGGGTACTGCTTCTTTCATCTTGCCTGAATCTCCTCGTTGGTTGCAAGCTCACGGTCATGAAGAAGAATGTAAGTTGGTTCTGGCCCGTCTTTGGTCTGACTGTGATACCACTCATCCTCGTTGTATTGCTGAATGGGAAGAAATCCGTGACGGTATTGAACTCGAACGTCGTGAAGGTGTCTCCTCTTATGTTGAACTCTTCAAGAAGGGTAAGATGAACAACCGTTATCGTGTCTTGCTTGGTATGGGTGGTCAAATCATTCAACAGTTGGGTGGTATCAATGCTATCAGTTACTATTTGACCGATGTCTTTGTCCAAGCTGGTATGTCCACTGAAATGGCTATGTTGATGGCTGGTGTTGATTCTATCATTTACTTCTTGGGTGCTGTCACTCCCATCTACACTATTGAACGTTTGGGTCGTCGTTTCCTCATGTATGCTGGTTTGATTGGTCAAGCTATCTCTCTGCTTGTTGTCGGTGGTGCTCAATACCTTGTCGAAAGAGACGGTGGTGATAACAAGCCTGCTTCTAGCTGTGTCATTGCCTTTGTCATGATCTATAACTTTGTGTTTGGTGCTGCCTGGTTAGGTTTAGCTTGGCTCTATCCTTCTGAAATTTTCTCCACTGGTCTCAGAGCTAAGGGTAACTCCATGTCAACAGGTGCTAACTGGCTTGGTAACTTTGTTGTTGCCATGATCACTCCCGTTTTGTTCCAGTATGCCAAATACTGGACTTTCTTGATGTTTGGTATTCTCAACGTTATTTTCTTAATCCCTATTTTCCTTTATTATCCCGAAACCAAGGGCAAGTCTTTGGAAGAAATCGAAGTTTTGTTTGCTACCGAAGATCTTCAAGAAGATGCCAAGTCTATTGCTTCTCATATTGGTTCTACCTCTTTGTATGATCAAAAGCAAGATGCTCAATCTCAATTGGAACGTGCTTCTCGTCCTAGCTCTCGTCGTTTCCCTAGTAACTTCTCTGGTCGAAACAGTATCATCAACCCCTCTACTGTCCACGAGAAGCCAGCAAACAACACTGAAGCTGCTAACGTCAAGGATGAATACAACAACGAAAAGGGCCCCAACTACAAGTAAAACCCTCTATCTCCCTTACCCCCTTTCTTAATCGGTGATCCTTCATCTTGTACATTAGTCTTTATCTTTTACTTAATTAATGCAGGGGGCCGTGCCTTCCTTTTTATTTTTTCTTCAAAACTTATATATATTCCTTAGTATTCTATTATTATTGCTACCCTATTGTATCCAAAAATACAAATAAAAAAAAACATCATTATAAAAAGAAGAAATTTTGATCCATGTATTAAAACTCAGAAGTATGCATTGTGTAAATCAGTAATTTTCCTCGATGCTCGTGACACCTGCTCATATGAAATTACATATTTTCTAATTTGACCCTTGAAATTATAGTGCAAAATCTCTTGTTACACGACTGTCGATGCTTTCTTTTTCTGCACGCATTATCCTCCGATTTACAGACGTTTTTCTTGATATTCTATCGCACCGACATCACAGAAAATCCAAGTCCATTCTTGGTATATAGCTATGTTACCTATGTATAATGAAAATCCAACAAAGCATTCAACCTTTTTTTTTACAGAATGCAAATGTATAATTCTTTTTTTAGAGTCTGTTGGCTTTTAAATTTATAGTACCTGTTGTATAATTTTTTTTTGGTATTGTCTATTCTTGCTTATAAGGCCATGTGTGTAGTGTACGTATGTGTCTCCGATAAAAAAAAACCAACTGGTATACATAAACAAAAGGATAAACTTGGACAAACTATCCCGCCAATTCACACGCACCCACACATATATGTATACACACACACACTCACATGTTCGGTATGAACTATATCTGTTAAGCTTAGTAATTTATTTATTTGTATACATTAAATTTTTATTTGTCGGATCAGTTTCATTATTTTCCCCGCAAGAAAATAGCTAAAATCCCCGTACACTGCATTTAGTTCAAAGTTGCCCATGAAATCGTCTTACAGGAACCAGTACAAAATTGGGTTGAACCTGGCGTCCCGTCTTTTACAGAAAAATAAAACAAAACAAAGGGAATAAAGGATTCAAACACATAGTACCTTTTAAAAGATTTCTAGATCACTTCCAAAAATAATAATAATAACAATAATAAACCCTGCTCTTTAATGCTGTATGTTTATTGCTTGATAAAAACATGTTCTCTGTAATACTTGAGTTCTTCAATACTCTCAATGATATCATCCAAAGCTCTGTGTCCCGCCTTCTTGACAACTCCTGATGCAGTCTCGGGATACCATCGTTTTGTTAATTCTTTAATGGTGCTTACATCTTATGATTTGTGAGTGAGTTGGAATATATAGTAAAAGACGGGCCTTACCGACAATACGATAATGCAAATGGTCTACTACTTTGGGCATTTCTTTCAGCAGGAACTGCTTATCGGCATGTACAGAGTTACCAGCTAAGGGTGCTACTCCTTTAGGCAAATGCTGTTTCAAGAAACTGTGCACCTTTTCCTCGGCTTCTTCAATTGAAAGTTTAGATTCAATCACTTGTTGAGTTAAGCCCGACTATTTAGTGCGAAACTTAAATATACTATACATGATATTTTCTTTATTTGTTACCTTTCCATGATGCTCAATACACCATTCTATTTATGACATTAAGAACAGAATTTCCCTTTTTTTTTTCAAGCTTACCATTCATGTTATCCATGACCTCCTTTGGCTGGTGAATAATCAGTTCAGGACCCTGTATACACAATATCAACCCTCATTTTCTTGTTTTCTTACTCAGTTACCTCCGCGACAATGTTGAGTTCACCATCTGTGATCAAGACTGCAATTTCGATCAGGTGATCTTTTGTGATGTCGAGACCTGTCATCTAAATGTTCGTTTAGAAAAGGGTTATTTTGTACTCAAATGGTTACTTCACAGTCAATCCAAACTAAAGGGTTCTTAATCATTTTGAGGATCTTGGAAGAAGCAACACGATGCATAGAAAAAAAAAAAAATTGCTCAGTTAAAAAAAAAAAGGGAGGCAAGTTCAAAGCCACAATCATGCAACCATATATTTTTCTTTTCATCTATGAGCTATGCAATATGCACTGTGTATGTTATTGAACAAGCTCTATCTGTCATAAAATGATGTTTATTTCTTTAATGCATTTTATTTAGGATGATAACTAAAAAAAAACTCACCCCTTTCCTTTTTGCGCAGTAAACTATAATTTACTTGTGCATATTACATCAAAAGACTTCAAGATACGTCCGCAGAAGTTTTAATAGTAAAAAGATCAAGTTTGACGCTTAGATAGTTGATTATTCTTATATCCATATCTTGAAACATCCTTAAAAGGCGATCATAAAAGAGAGAAATGACTATCTTTGGCACACTTGTATACATTGTAAGGAAAGTGAATGAATGGTACATGCCGTTTCTTAATAATACAAACTGGCTTGTCTATTGTATTCAATTTTCTCTACATCCTCAGCTAAAATATTGGTACAGTATTTCTACTTCAAATTCAGACGATGTTAAATTTTTTTTGGACGAATCAAAATTATTTTTCAGATGTTTAGCTTACCTTTTTTGGACGAAGTAAAAAAAGAAATTAGACAAATGAAAATTTAGTTACAGAAAACGATTGTTATGTTAAATTCAAAAGTAGGTACCTGCATTAAATAACCAAAGCGTTAACCTTGGTGGATAGTTTCGGTGTTTTTTCTGCAAAATATTGCTGGTCTTCGACCAGTTTCTCGTAAGCTTTCAACTATCTTCTTAAAGTTCAGCACTGCGGCCAAGTCCCGGTTCCAGAGTTTTCTTCTTTGTTTTTCGCCGTTATCAAGACATTTAAGATTTTGACATCTAATAATCCAGTGGTTATAGTCATTAATAGCTCCATTCTACAATTATTATTATCGTCTACCTTAATAAACCGTGACATTCAACAGTTGGTGCATCGGCTCTTTTGTATGGGCGAGGGTTGACAACAGTCTTGAATGTCTCCAGTTCGCTTTCGCAAGTAGGGCAATATGAGGACGTTTTAAACTCGTCGATTAAAAGAACAGTAAATCCTGCCTTCTTCAACATTTTGATTAGGCCTTTACTTCTTGTGGGCTCCTGGAATTTCGTATTCGGAGCAGACCAATTACCTATCACTAAAATCGAGTTTTTCCCAAACTTTAGCTTTAGCCGTTGAACCAAATTGGCATCATTTTGATCGTGATAGAGCTTGCTGTTGAATTTTATCTTTCTGAAAGGTAACAGTTGCAACTTTTCTAATTGTGTGCTTGCTTTGTGTTTTAACCCATTATCTTCATTACTTAAGGACATGTTACTAATCAGTGCATTTAGTGAGTTTTTTGTTGTTGCAGTCAGACGCTGTGCGATGTGCTTTTGTTTTAACATGATTTCCAAATAAGTCGCATACAAATTCAAATCAGTAGTGGTGCTAGTAGTGTCTTTCGGTTGCGGATAATATCCTCGAAAATTTATAACAAACAAATCTCCATAGTATAAACATCCTCGTCGTATTGAGAATTCCGTGACAGATCCAGGGAAATATGATTCATTGATCGCCATTGTTTCATTTCCATAATATCTCGTTAATACATGTGTGACAGAGGCTCTGGTTTTGATGTAATCCCTAAATTTTGTAATGTCTACTGAAGAAGATACGGTTTTAGACAAAATGAGTTGGGCGATTTTTACTGACTCTGGCGTATTTTGTTTGCTTAATATTTTGTTATGTCTAGTCAGCTTATTTCTAGTGATTTTTGTATATTTTAGAATTTGGGGCTTCTCCTTCGTACTTGACTCTTGCATGCAAAACATAAGGTCTCGTCTTCCAGGGTCAATTAAAACGTATTTGCCTTGGTTTTCCTTCAGTGTAGCAGGTAGTATATTTTCGACATACTCCTCGTCGATAGTATCTGTCTTCTTATTATTCATTCTTGGCTGCTTTTTACCCGTGGTGATATTCTGTTTTAACACCGAAGCACAAATACCATCAGTTTCAATGGTACCCTGAAATCGTAGAGATTTATTAAGTCCTTGAGGTTTGAATGATTTCTTGTTTAAATTAACGACGTTGCTCCAAATCTCAAACTTTTGTTCCGCCTTGAAGGAAGTTTTCTGCTTCAGTATGTGATGATGAACTATTTTGGAATCCAGAGTAATGTAGGATGGTATAAACGATGTTTTGATTGGAAAACAATTAAATGTTTTAGCTGCTTCAGTTTCCAGAAGTTTAGCAATCTTGTAGAAAGCATTGAAATGCTTCTCTGGGTGAGCTTTAACATCATAATAGATAGAATTCTTTTCGAATTTGTAGTTGTTTGGGTAAGTTGATAGTAAATCCCTTACAGATGATAATGCTTTTTCATCCAGGACGTCCGAAGAAGGAATTTCTTTTTTTGATACAGCGAATTTCATTTTGTTAAGGGGTTCAAATACTTCTTTTCGGCGGGCTTCTTATATAGCTTGTTTCGTGGCATTTACAGCTTTTATACGATGATCGAGACTGAGTAACTTTTCTTCTTTTTTAGAAAGCATGTTCAATAACATACGCAATCTGTTACCAAAATGTGCCTTGATATTATTGTGGTAAGCCGTATTAATTTTAGTACATTCGTACAATGCGAGCTGTTGCGCGTACTTTATCTCAAACGGAGTATTGAGCATCTTCAAAATACGATGATTTGTGACGAGATATCAATTCACGATAGATAGCGGTTCTATCTTTTACCTTTCCAGGAACATTACGACGAATGATCAGAGCCAGAAACACCTCTACGAAAAACTCCTTTGTTACAAAATCTGCCAAGCTGAAGTCAATGCTATTCTTTAGCTCCTCCAAAAATATGTATTTTGAGAAACTATAAGTATGTAAAACTAGTATATTGACATTGTCGACTAAATCGTATAAAGGTCGTACATGATCCTGATTCCAAATATTTTGAATAGTCGTTTTGATTGTGATCACTTGTTTAATTTGTTCAGAAACTGGGGAGCTTGAATTGGCAACATTTGAATTGGAGGAGCTTGATTCAGCAACTAAAGAGCTTGATTCAACTACTGAAGAACTTGGTTTGACTGCTGAAGAGCTTGGTTTGACTGCTGAAGAGCTTGGTTTGACTGCTGAAGAGCTGGGGTTGATTATTATGGAGCTTGAGCTAGCAGTAGCACTTGTATTAGAAGAGGTATGGACCACATTATTTTAGTCTTTTTATTTTCAGAACTATACGGCGTGTTTTCTTTACGTATATGAAAAGTTAGATTAGACCTGTACATAAAGATCATGTAATAAGACGTACTAGTTCTTTTTCTATACATAATTGGTTGGAAATCTTCATCTGAATTATCTTCAGTAACTTCTTGTTCAGTTTCTTCTGTTGTATCAGGAAAAAGTGTGGTCAATGGGATTTCATCTATTTACTATAATATTCGACTTTATCAGTATTGATTCCACGACCATTATCAGACTGTTTTCCACTTCTTTTCATCATTTTTTTCAATTTTTTACGTATTTGGAATATAATAGATAGTATTGGCTAGAAGAAAGCTATTACACTATATAGTATATAATTGAAAGAAATGAAAAAAATGGATTTTTTGGTTATTTTATTCATTGCCACCAAATCAGAATATAGTAAATATGAGCTTTGACGTGACACATTCTTTTCTCTCGAAAAAACTTTTTATAACTTATGTAAGGTCACAACATCACATATAAAGCACACTCTTAAGTATGTGTTATCTTTTGAATATCCCAAATCGATGATGTATTACTAACAATTCAATAAAGTTGTCTTAAATTAGGAAATATGTATATAGAATCAACTGTTTTCTGAACAAGTCAGTAATAACTGAATGTACACGTACGGTTGTATAAAGAGGTTTTTTATAATGCCCATTAGGATAGGCACGAGAGCGTTATTTTTTTTTGGACAGCAGAAATAAAAATATCATAAATATTCTTAACAGCGTTGACATGTCGAATCAGACTAAAATCCTGTATTGCAAGTGTATATGACACTGCATGTATAGCACTGAACTATATATCAACCATTCTCCACTTGTTGTTTGCTACAAAAAAGCTCTTGAAAATATACTGTATAAGCATTTTGTTTTAGTAATTTAAAAAAAACCATCAAAAAACGAAATTGTTATCTTGAGCATCCACAATTAGATCTTATTTTAAAACATGTCTTACAGCTAATTTTCATTTGTCTAAATTTCTTTTTTTACTTCGTCCAAAAAAGGTAAGCTAAACATCTGAAAAAAATTTAACATCGTCTGAATTTGAAGTAGAAATATTGGTATCAGATCACTTTTTTTCGCCGATTAAAAAAGCTCAGGGGGAATGCATTTCTATTCCTATGATTGGCCGAGTGTGTAGCTTACGTCGAGGTGGCTTATGATGAGGTAGAAACCATAGCCGTGCTTTCTTTCTTTTTTGTTATTATTACAATATGGATTTACCTGATCGCAAAAGAAAAGCAGAAGACGAGCAAGTCGAAGAAAATCCTTATAAGCGTCCTCTTGTAAGGAATGAGAACGAGACGTCAGAATCTGCAGAAACCGCCGAGATCAAGACAGAACCATTACCAGAAGAACCAGCAGTATCTTCTTCAGACGATACCACTGTCAAACAAGAATCAGTCGAGCAACAGCCTCAACAACCTCAACACACTCCAAAGCAAGATATAAACTACGTTACCAATGTACCTTTTGATCGTTTAATCTTTTTTCATTTGGAAGCTACTTGTGATGAAAACCCTACTAATCCAGCTGCTGTTCAAGTCACCAAAGAAAATTCAGAAATCATTGGTATTTACATATATGACGTGCCTATAACTTTTACTAAGCTCGCTTGATAGAAATGTCTTTTGTAGTTGTGGATGGTGCTAACCTAGAAGTATTACATAAACAGCAAATCTATGTCAAACCTGAGCGCACTCCTTTGACTCCCTTTTGTAGTGAAGTCACCGGCATCAAATGGAGTATGCTTGAAAACGCTGGTACATTAAGCGATGCTGTAACTCAACTTGACGATTACATTCAAAAGGAAATTGAAGCCGAAAAGAAGAGCTTTTGTTTCGTCACACATGGTGGTTGGGTGCTTCGTATCCAACTTCCTCGTGAAGCAAGAGACAAGAACTTGACTTTACCCAACTATTTGGCTTTTTGCCGTATGTTTGATTTAAAGCAAGAAATTCAACGATGGCAAGTGCACCACCCTGAAATCAGCTTAAGAACAACTTCTTTACGCGATTTATGTGAGATATTCGAATTAAAGCGTGTGACAGATCAAACAGTAGGCTTAAATGCTGTCTTGACAACATTGGAAGTTGTGCGCCATTTAACACGTTTCCACCATGCTGATGTGTTTGTACATCCTATTGATACGAATGCTGATCTTAAGCAGTTTAAAAAAGAAGAATCAAAAGTAATTCACTTAGCAGGTCTACCATTTGAAGTAACTCAGGGTGAATTGGAAGCATGGTTCTCTTCAAATGGTCTTCGACCTACTACGATGTGGATGATTCAGCCTACAGATAATTCAAAGCCCAGCATTTCTGGATTTGTTGTCTTTCAATTGCATGATGATGCTATGCGTGCACTCACTCTGAATGGCCGTTGCTTAGGTGATCGTCCTGTTGAAGTCTGTCCTAGTTCTTCCCGTGTGATTGAGGCTGCTGGTAACATGCTTGTGCCATTCCCTTTACAGGCTAAGAGTAGACAATTGCGTCCTGGTGACTGGAATTGCTTCAATTGCTCCTTCCATAACTTTGCTTCTCGTCTTTACTGCTTTAAATGTAATACCAAGAATCCTAATCCCGGTCCTCAAGCTGGACAAGGTCCTCCTGTCCAACCCTTTACGCGCGGGATTGGATGTGCCCTAATCCTACATGTAATTTCCATAATTATGCATCTCGCATGCAATGTAAGAAATGCGGTACACCCAAGCCCATGAATACCAAGAAACCCATCAAAATGACCAAGATGGATTCTGGTCAATCCATGGCTCAACAGCCTTACCATATGAGTATGCAAAGCAATGGTCCTCCCAGTGGCCCTTCTAATGATCCCAGCAGTGGTTATCATGGTGGCTATAATCCCAGTGGCCGTGTTCATCATCATATTTCTTTTAGACCTGGTGATTGGTATTGTCCCAACACAAACTGTGGTTTCCAGAATTTTGCTTCACGTAGTAGCTGTTTCCGTTGTCATACACCCAATCCCAATCTATCACAACAATCTCCACATCATCAGACTGGAATACAAGCACAAGTACCAACACAACATGCTCAATACTCACCTCATCAACCTGGTTATGGGTATTCTCCTGATTCAAATGCTAACTATCAGACAAATACAGGATATGTGGGTGGTAGTGTAGCTGGAGGAAATAATGGTGGCAACAGTAGTGGTGGTTATGGGTATGGTCAGCCTGGTGGTGGTTATGGTGGACAGAATAGTAGTTATGTTGCTCCTGGAGGAGGCTATGGGGGTGGAGGAAGCGGCGGTAGTGGGTATTCTTATAGCGGTGGAGGGTATGCTTATGGTGGGGCACATCAAAGTGGACCTCCTGGTGGTACACCTGGAGCTACTCAGTTTAGAGCTGGTGATTGGATTTGGTAAGTATCAAACATGATATTATGCCATCTATACTCATTGAATGTAGTCCTACATGTAGCTCTCATAATTTCGCTTCTAGATTTCATTGTCTTAAATGTAGTACCAGCAAACCTTTTAATTCAGCAGGAGGTCCTCCTCCTATGCCTGGTGCTCCTTATAAGCGTACGTAAATATTACTAGCAATAAAAAGTAATGAGTGTGTGTGTGTGTGTGTGTGCGTTTAGTTTGTACATATCAATATCCTGATTAATAAAAATCCTTTGATTTAATTTGCGGTCATGGCATTTTAAGCAGTGAAAAGTTATTTTGAAAGGTAGCTTGAAGTCATGGAGCGTTAACCTGTTAGCTGTACCTAGTTTCATAAATTAATTGTTTTGGTCTTGAAGCTTTCATGTCTGTAATTTTATTGCTATACCTCGAATTGCCCAATCTGCAACTACTGGCTCTTTGGTACGAGTTTGATCTACACCAAACGGAAAAATTATTCGCGCATTTTCAGAAAAAAGTTTAGCATATCAAATAGAAAAAAATGATGTACCTTTCTAGCCTTCTCTTCTACATTTTTAAAGACGGTTTAGGAAACCAATATGACATTGAAGGAAACGAAGTTATTGAATTCGAAATGGAAGTTGACAATAAGATGTATCTAGTTGAAAGCGTAACAGATTACGACAGATACACAGACGAGAACACAGATTCCGTTACATTGGATGATATGCCTGACGTATTGACAGAAAAATTTGGCAAACTCGATATCAGTAAAAGCGGGTTTAACAAATTTGTTAAGACCAAGTGTAAGATTACCTTCAAGCAGGCTCGTTTACAAGCATTCGAAAGAAACAGCCCTGAAAAAATCGAAGAGCGTTATCAGTGGGTAAAAAGATGGATGGAAACTGATATGGATTTCACCAGCAACTGTGTATTCATTGACGAAGCTGCTTTCCATATCAATCTCAGGCGAAATTTCTCTTGGTCAAAAGAAGGCAAGTGTGCAATTGTGAAAGTGCCAAAAACAAGAGCAAAAACCACTACCATTTTGAGTGCCATTTCTCCTTTTGGTGCTGTAAATATCAATATACGAAGACCAAAAGCATTACTTTCATCAAAGAAGAGAAAAGCAGCAGGAGGTTCGAATGCAAAAGTGACCAGCAACAATGGTACTGTTACTGGACATTACTTCAATTTCATTAGTAGTGTCTTTGATGTTATGGATCGTCATGAGGAATTTCATGGCCATTATTTGATTATGGACAATGCTCCTATTCATAAGCATCAAGACATTCAAAATCTTATTGAGAGCCGAGGCTATAAGTGCATATACCTTCCCGCTTACTCACCTGAGCTTAATCCGATTGAACAATTCTGGTCTATTTGCAAAAGCAAACTCAAGAGGGAACAGCTTTTAGAAGAGGAGACATTAACTTTGGGAATAGCCGATGCTTGCAATAGAATTTTGTACAATGATCTTAAAGGCCTCTGCAGATACTCTGCTGCTAAACTTGAAGACTGCCTTCAAGGCAGACCTATTTAATAAACTTGCGCATTTCGAGTAATTTTTTTTTTCAGATACTATGCTAAATTTTCTTTTTTCTCTGCGAGATTGTTTTAAATGATCATGTAGTTTTCGATTAATGGGGCATCAAAGTTTAGTGTATTTAAGCCGTATTTTGGCCATCTCTGCTCTAGATGCCATATATAGCCTATTAGCAATTGATCTTTCGAAAGCACCCCATGTTACTTTGAATGCTAAAAACACAGAAAGATAGAAATATAGACATTGTGTAATGCCATTGTGGGTTAAATGAACATATTTCTTGATCACTTTTGCTATTTATTTAGTGCTTCCGAAGAGGTATCAAGCAATAGACTATTTAAAAACATGAAGATCATTGATTGTTAACATACCGCTCTGATATAAGGAAGTCTTTGCATTACATTGTCAATCTCTATACAATGTTATCCTAAAAAAGATGCCCTTTTTTAAGACCTTGATTACAACGGTACTAATATCAGAGTCTTTTGAAAACAAAAAAATAATATAAAAGCAACTACTTTCAAATATCCTTAATGCTTTAGATTGAACTACTCTTTATTTTTGGCGAGTGAACGATGGTGGGTATAATGCTGACTTGGGCTGAGTTCAGCATCTTCTTACTCAGGTCGTTTGGCAGCTTTTTGCTATATTCTAAGTAAAAGTACTGTGTATTGTTAGTTGTTTGTGACTCAAGAAAGAAAATTATAAAACATACCTTGAGCTCGTACAACGAAAGTATAAGCTCCTTAGTATGATTGGATAGGAGCTCATCTTTCGTGAAGGGGAGCTTCAAGTCTTTTACTTTTTTTGCCACGTAAACGCCTTCGTATTCTCTTACAATATAAGTGTATCCATTTGGACCTAATACTATGTTGGTTGTATTGCACATGGAATAAGTATGCTATAGACTTACCACACCAATCCATTCCCATGTGTGTGTTGATTTTGCCACTAAAACAACGCAAGACCTCCTCAATAGAAACATTGATTCGGACACTCTTACTCTCTTGGTATATTGCGTCTTTTGAAGTGTCCGATTTTTTCTTGAATTCGAAGGCCGCGAGTTCAACTTCCTTGTCTGTGGCAATCATCATATCGACTTCGCATCCACAGAGATTATTTGTTGTTGTTGTTGTTGTTACTCTTCCATTTGGGTGTGAGCCGTATAGAGCTTCGTTTATTGAGCGGATGTGTTTTGTTGAGTTGCTGCAATTTTCACCGCTATTTTTTATGCATAATTAGACATGCTAGAAAGAGAGTTGAAAGAAGTCAGCATACTAACCTCACAATTTGTAAATTAGTATCATCAAAAATAAAGTTCATGATGATCTTGACAATTTCTACATAAAAGGCTTCTGAAACAATTGTTGTCTTTTGCCAGATGCGCAGACTCTTGTAACTTATAACTGGTTAGTTTTTGCTTGTTTAAATTGATTAGCTTATTCTTACATGTGGCTCATGACATTCTCCACTTGCTCTTCTACGCTGCCTTCATCAGCTTCATATGCAATTCTTTTTGGCTTTTTAACAAGCACCTGCACATGCATATTATGTCAGCCAATGTATAAACAAATACAAACAAACATAAGCTTACCTCCTTCATCTTTTCAAAAGCATGTTCGATTCTGTTTTTGTCTTCTTGGCTTATAACGCTTTCTTCAACTTGGTTATCGCCAAAGAAGACATGAAGAGGAATGGCCTGTTTGAAGAATTCTTGATACTTGATACTAACCAAACTGATCGATGAGGATAGACAAAGTCTATAATATTGGCAGTTAGTTTAGAACTCTGAAACTGTGTAACATATACATACTTCAAGACGCCCATTTGTAATGAAGACAAAGAATCGAAGTTTTTCAATAAACTAACTGAAAGCTTGTTTAGATGGTCTTTCAGGGTGGTAGCTTCTTCAGTTTCAATTCTTGAGATTTCGTTTTCAATGCTCAATTTATATGTCATTAAATCATCAGATTTAAGCACCTATAGATTATCTGATAAATTGAATTATCAAAAACAAGTCTGATACTTACTTCTTTGTAATACCATGCTGCGAGTTCATGGCGAGGGTGGTCTAGATTGGCATCATCAATCTAGTAGTTTTGTTTAAGGAAAATTAGAACCTACAAGAACGAAAACTTACTTGGTGGTAAGCGCTTTTCCATCTTTCATCAGAAACATGCAATAAAGTATCATCAACATTTGCAGGATACAGTTTCAACAACGTATTTTTATATTTTGCAATTAATCGTGACTTGAAATCATTGAAAGAGTTGGATTTTGATCTGAAGTAATCAACAATGGTTTTATTTTTGATAACTTCTTGAAGAGAGCGAGTGCTCTCGCTACTTATGGCAGCTTTTACTAATGCATTAATTTGTTTTTGTGTTGTTTGATTTGACATAGCAAGAATATATATATAAACGAAATAAATGGTTTGAAACAAGATATCAGACAATGAGCGCGTTTTATCGGCGGACCTGACGGGTACAAATTTTGAAAGAGAGATCTACTCTTTTGCTGTGAAAACATTTTTTTTTTTTTCTACTGGGTTTGTCCTTTGATTATTATTTCTCCTGTTTTTCTGTTGATAGCAGCTAGATAGCTCAGGCTATTAAAATATTTAATTGGGTCTGATATTTTACGTCTGTCTGGATACTAGATTAACAGAAAGCTTTACCTCTACAAAAAGTCTGGTGTGTTTTTAGATAGCTCAGGCTATTAAAATATTTAATTGGGTCTGATATTTTAAGTAACCACAAGACAAACAGAGTTATCTTTTCCACCATATGTACTTTCTTGGTCTGTAAAAGGTCTCTTTTTTTTTTTTTTTTTTTTTTTTTTTTTTTTTTTTTTTTTTTTTTTTTTTTTTTTTTTTTTACTGAACAATCATTTTTGGAAGTGTGTATAATTCAACAGCTTTTTTTTTTTTTTTTGTAGTTGATTGCTTTGAACTCTTGCAACAAACACTGTGGATACTTTGATATAGCCGTCGCAACTGTTGCCAAGGTGAGCAGAAAAGGTAGATACCAAGGCTTTGTATTTCAGCAAATGCAAGATAGACAAGTCTAGCATATTCAGACAATGTATGTTGCACTCTCCAAATAGCAAAAGAATAACATTGTATCATGTACTCATCATATCCATAAGCTCCCAGGTACAAATAAAAGTAAAAACAAAGGGATCGCCCCTCTTGTTAATTCAGTCTAGTTTTTTCTTTGACGTATTGTCTGTTTGTATTCTTTTAGCCCTAGCGGACTAATCTTCTGCGTATCGAGTACCAATAGCAGAATCTTCATCTGCTCTGCGACAAAGGGTAAGTGCCTGTCTTGAACCTTTGCAATAGCGTCAAAAGCTGCATCCCAGCGTTTAATGGTTCATCTTTCTTGTTTTCAATAAACCAAGAGCTGTAAGAAATGCTAGCGGCTTTTCAATAGAAAGATGATAATCAAAGAATAACCATCATGCATAAATTGGAGGAAATATTCTGAGTCGAGAAAGAGTCCTGAGAGCTCGAAAAAGTCAATCCAGTAATATCTCTACTTCGGTTGAACAAGAAGAATCAACAGTAAGTAAAGATGGTAACAATAAAGTTATCAATACTTTACTAATTGCTGCTCCAGTAACTGAAGCTGATATTCTGACATGCTCTTCTTGCGGATGAGAGAGTCATAGAAGAAGCATTTATCACGCATGCCCTCTTAACCGTGCATGTGTTGATAATGATCATTCCACAACCACAGAGCTTCAGTTGGATGTCGAAATGCTTGAGTCGTTAACTGTAACATCACCAACAGTTGAAACTGTTTTAGTCTGCGCTTCGTGTAGAGAGGAGGGCCATAACAGAAATACGCATTACGCATGTCCAATGAATCGTGCAGTCATTCACAATGATCAGCATTCGTCAAACATGACCCAAATCGACATTGGAAGATATTTTATTGACCATCTGGACGTTGAATGTAGTAGCTGTGCTGCTTTAATGTGGATTGATGAGAAGAAAAGCAATAGCAGTTTACTTCATCCAAAGCTCCGAACGTGTTGTGCTGACGGGAAAACTCTGCTGAAGCCTATTAAACCATCTGGAGGAAAAAGAAGATATAGAGAAGCTCAAGAAGAAGCATCTTAACAAAGGAAAAGATACTGTAAATGTTGTAGAGCTGTTCTTATGTGATTATGTCTCGGGCAAGTGCGATCATATTATGTCTCAGTTCTCTGATAGCGAGTCTCTTGCTAGACTTGCAAAAGACGATAAACCTAAGGATGAAGTTGGGATGTCTCAAATATATAAAATTATGTTTGAAACCGAGAGCCCTCTAAATGTTGAAGTGGAAAGTCCTCCTGACTATACAGAGTCTGCCTATGATGAACATCCTATTCTGAACACTGACAGTACTGTTTACCATTTCGATGATAAACTAAACCCCAACAATAGCTTTTCATGCTATATCAACGCTCTTTTTACACTACTACTTCGCTGTGTTATCCCTTATATCAAATATTCGTTTATTGCAAACTGTGATAAGAACAATGCTATTGATTTGGGATTATACGATGCTTTCCGGGAATATCTCAAAAGCTATGGCTCTTATGGAAACCAGATGATCAGAAACTTTGTTTGGAAAAAAGAGACTACAAGCGTCAGTTTGGCTTGGTATACGTTCGATCTTATCTTTGTATGTTGGGTAAAATTACAAAATTGCAACGGATGTCATGTCCTTTTCTCAGAAAGAGCTGCTTGTAATCGATCTAGAGATTTATCTACTGATTTACTACAATGAAACATTAATTTTGCTTTTTTTTTTCCTCTATCAACTTACATTTGTTTCGAGAGTATGTGTAACTGAGCAAGATCTTTATCGAGTTCATCGCAATAAGTAATGAGTTCAATCGTCTTTTTAGTACTTGAATCAATTTCTTGAGCCAGGTTTTTTATCGACAGTTTATATACGCTACTTGCTTCTTTTGTTGACCCTAACATCTAGAGAACGTTTTAGTCATATCTTCTATTGACTAAAAACCTACTTGTCGCAACTGTTGTTGAACACGCTCAACTTGTTCTGCAAACTGCTGCGACAGTTCTGTTGCTTTTATTTCTAGTGAATGAAGCAAGGCGAGATCAATAGGCACATCGTTTGACATTAGGCAAAATTGTTAAGAGACGAAGGCTAAAGAAGGATGAGACGCTTCAGCAGAAAGATTAGAAGTCGATATTTGAAATACCGATTCCCTTTTTGAACATGACATGTATTGTTTATTTTATTTAAGGCTGTTATTTGTAGCCTCCAAAGTGTCATGCACTATAACATATATTACTCGCATATATTTTGCGTATCTAATGGTGTATAAGTTAACACCAGCTTACTAAGCAATATCTACTGAAAAGAGCCTCATTTGTACTGATTGCTGTGTTTTGAGCATTTTTGCTTTAGATGTCATACAAAACGTGTTCCCAATAGACTTTCAAGGGTTGCCATAGGCTATCTTGATCTCTAAAGAACACAAGAAAATAGAATCGTAGACATATTATAATGTACATGTGGAGTAAACGAAGAGGACATACTAGATGGCTATGGGCTATAAGCACGCTGAACTTCAAAGTAAGTCAAACTCAACTTTCTCCACTTAATTTGTGGACTGTTGTTTTAACTAAAAGAATAATACCAACTTTATTTGTTTGTTAATAAGTTTGTAACTAATGATTGAGAATTATAATTAAAACTAACCAAGTGATGCTGGTAATAAAAGTGATAATTATAAAGTAGTCTTGAGGTTGTATGTGTGTTTTTTAGAAGTTTTAGAGAAAAATGGGGAGAAATGAAAGTGAATGAAAGAGTTGTAATTAAGAATTACACTCTTGGTTACACGTAAATTTATATAATGACAAAATAATGAATCTCAAAATAAAGGTGCAGATTGCAAAAGTTCAATATTCAGGTCATCACAAATCACACTTAAATATATTTAGTCTACAGCTATCTTGCGGAGATTGAAATGGAAGGCAGCTTGCATTTTTTCATCCTGATACATCAGAAATTAAGCCTTTGCTGAGAACTGCAGTTATTGGGCTTTGGTGCAGTGACAAAAGTTGTGAATGTTTTATTGATGAGTCGTTTGATGTATAAATTGTAGCAGATTTGCTGTCAAAATCTCGAGAAAATGGGCAAAAATGCCTATCTAAATAGACAAAATATAAGATATTTGATTTATCTGAATTAAAGAAAAAGCAATATTTGCTTATGAAAATGTCAGAGTCTTAAGAAACCTTACGATACATGGCAGACAAAAGGAATCTTGGGTATAAATATTGAGCTGGATGTATCTTTTTATTATAAAAAAGTGAATAATCAAATTGGAATTATGAATATAAGTAATTTGTAACATATTCAAAAGCTACATTTTCATTTGCATGAATTAATAAAATTAACGACACATTCGTTTCAATCATTAATGTGCATTTGTACACCTAATTCATAACATTTTTTTCTTGTTGCTGCATGTCTTTTGGACTATATAATATTTCTACTTTGACTATTATGTCCATTGAGGTTTATAAATCATCCATATCTCGATCTTTATGAATGCCAACAATGACATTCTTTTTCTTTTCTCGAGACATTGAAAGCCTAAAAGCGCATCTTTTTTAGTTTATTTTTCAAGAGAGAACAAATTAATGCTTGTTGGCAATTAAAAAAACATATTTACATTTAACAAATCATATGGTACATGTTAAGCATGATAAATGCTATCTTTTGCATTAGTAGCTGCAGGATATACTTCTTCATCGTCATCATCAATCATCCAATCTTGTGTCTTGAGAAGTGCTTCGTTGTTTCCTGCTTGGCTATTCTGCTTCTCATTTTCATCGACAAACAAGCGTTGTACTAGAAAATGATTGTTTAGCTACTAGAAAATAATGATCTTATATACTTACAATAAGGCTTCAATCCTTTACCAAAATTATGTTGAACCATAATGGACAGTACAAAAGTAGCCTAAAAACGAATTAGAATTTTATGATCCAACAAGTTTACTTACAATACACAAAATAATAGCAAGGCACACTAATACAAAAATAAGTTTGATTTTCCTAACGATTTGCTTCAACTTACCTGCCAAGTTCCAAAATACCCAAGAGCCTGCACTGTCGACCATGATCAATATAAAATCCAAACCCATAATCACTTGTGTCACCAAGAAAGCCATAATGACTCGTTTGTTCTCCGTGATCACTCCGAATCTCGCAAACAGTAAGCCCGGAATTAATAAAATGGTTAAAATGATATGAATGACATAGCCGATGAATTTTCGGTCAATGACGCCCCAAAGAGTATAGTATTTTTCTTGAGTCATAACAACAGCATAAAAGACACACAACACAAAATGAAAGAAAGCGTCTAATTTTAGAATGAGAAAGTAAATCTGAGTAAGCCTAAAACGCACTATATAACGCTACGATGAGTATTCTGATATATAAGCTTTAATTTATACTTGCCTTGTTGTTCAATATCAGCACCAATTCTCTTATAAATATTCCATCCAAATTGTTTGTATAACTTATAACATAGGTACATGAACAAGAATGATAAAAGTGTCATGATTGAAACCAAGCCAATCTCATTCCTCAGGGCCAAAATGAAGTCCCAACTGACATTGGGATCTTCAGGAGGAGGAATATCTTCTTTTACATCAGAGTGTCTAAAAAGGAGTATAAATGATCTATCATGTGGCTTTGTAGTGTATACTTTTTGATTGTGCTCCCAACTTGAATTGCGGCAAAGACAACAGCGAGAACTTGGTTACATGTATGCGCCATTAATTGTATCACACTTTGCCGGACAATCTATAGCGAAGAAGCGTCAAGGTCAATTAGGACCAAATAAACACTTACAGCATCCAAACCCAACACAAGTTGAAATAAGGAGAAAAGAATAAAAAAGACATTTTCATTTTTTAGTCTTCGTAGACCAATGGCTATTGTGATATCTGCATCGTCAGCCTCATATTTTTTTTCTGGATCCACCGAAGTGTTTGGAATGTCTCTTATTGCATTCGTGTTGAGCAGTTCGTTATATGCTGATACATGGGATGATACGATAATAGATTCGAGTACAATACATATAAGTGTAGTCAAAACAATAGAGACGGTAAAGATCTTTGTATATCTCGATTCTAAAATTCGTTGTTTCTATTATGTGTGTTAGATGCAACATATATTTTTCAAAATGCAGCATACCGATAGACTTGTTAGTCTTTCTATGAAATGTTTATGCTCAGGATTAGATGCCATTATTGTTTAATAAAAAGTAAAAAGAAACAAAGAAATACTTTTTTTTTTATTTTAGCTCGAATAAGTAACTCGGGGATTCAAGGCTATTTTTACTTTTTTTCCCCCTCAGCCCTATTTAAACAACAACAAATGTTTAAATGTGCATATTTAGAATTTTGCTTTAAAATATTGTTCCTTTATTGAATTGTATAAACATTGTAGTAAGACTATTTCTTTTTTTGTCTTGTTGTTGCTGTCAAGAAGCTCCTTTACAGAATCAAGAGGGACTGTTGACGAGAAAATCAGCTTTTCTTTTTCCCCTTCTTGCTCTTCTCTCATGCAACATTTGAAGTCAATCTGGACAATATGCGCAAATTTAGAAGCAACTCGAGAGACAAATCGAATTTACCAAGAGACGAAGGCAAGACGAGTGAAGTAGTTTCAATCATTGAAAAGACGCTGTATTTATTTCTTGTTAAATAAAAAAAACAAAGAGCTTACCACAACCTGTAATGACATGACGGTATAAATTCCAAACTTCTTTGTGGCTCTTTGAAAAAAATGTCCATCTAAAAAGTGTCTAAACATAAGAGCTACTTTGAGCTCTTAATTGTAGACTTGACCTTGTTTTCAGAATACAAGTGATCACCATTATATAAGAGAAACATTCCTTCCATTCCAATGCCCACACCAAGAAACGACCAATATTGTGTAAATGTATTGCATTCAAAGGAGTAGTATCTGTGAGTATTCTGTTAAAGAACAAAAGAGAGAAAAGACAAGTTGACTTGCTAAAGGTATTTTATCAGTTGACCACATTTTATTGTTTATCTATTAATAAATCTGTAATTCATATATGCATGTAAATCAAAGATGAAAGAGCAAGTTATGCTTTGTTTGTATCCATAAAAAAAGACCGTAAAACCAGTAAGAGGAGACAAACTTTAACGCTTGTTCCTACCTGTTCAAACACATTGTAGTTTCGCATTCTGGAAGCTACAATAGACTCTTGTCAAGTCGCCAGCTAGACAATTAAAGAAGTCTATTTATATCCACAGAAAAAGAAAAACGACTTACCACAAAGAGGCGGACGATATTCAATGAGAAAACAAAACGCAAAAACAGATACTATGATTTACCTATTCTGTGTTGTTCACTTCTCTAGCGACGATTGAACAAAGTACTTGCATTAAACAAACAATAGCAACACACATAAGCAACCGCCTTAAAAGAGAAATTTCAACTCAACTAGGATTGGCTATTCTATTAAAAATGGTCGATATCTGTCTGTATTGACATTACACCAAAAAAAAGTTATTATATAAGACAAAGCACGACACAAGGATTTTGTTTACATAAGCTCTGAAGTATAAACCAGAAGTTTGTAAACAATTCAAGAAAAAAAAACTCAACTCAAGCATTCGCAAAGGCAAAGATCCAATATACTTTTTTAATTATTCACAACATTATTATTATGTACAAAGCAAACTAATTTCAATGTGTCAAATATTTTCTTCTTTCATCAGTGAGTCTTTTTTCTTCATCACATCTCTGTACATATTCCGCAGCAAGAGCAAGAATTTCAATTGAATTCATATGAGGTGATAAATGCGGATATTGAGCCATTGTAGGCGTTGAAATATCAGAAGAAGATGTAATGCTTGATTGGCTATCATTTCCTGAATAATCATTGTAAATTGGGCTTGGTAATGCTATTTCATCATGGCTTGTTTGTGAAGGATATGAGTAATATTGTTGTGGTTGTTCTGTTGTTGTCCAGTGTGAGGGATAAATGAAAGGATCAAGCTTCTTTTGTTCTTGTATGCGGCTTCGATTTACTTTAGCACGACGATTTTGGAACCAAATCTAATTGTTTTTTTTTCACTTAAAAATATGGTTTTATATGCATATTTTTTTTTCTTTGCTTACCTGTACTTCACGATTTGTCATACTTAGCCTTTCTGCTATATTTTCTCTTAATTCATAATTAGGTGTGTCTGTGCTTTTAAACAAGTCTGAGAGTATGCTTAATTGATAAGGTGTTATTCTCTTTCTTTTTGGTTTGTTGTTGGCTATTGTATGATTAACTATTTACTGTATACACAATGTCTACAAACCTTCATGCGATTTGATTTGAAGTCTTTTATTTCTTCTTTGATGATTTGACATAGTTAAATAAATATAAAAAAAAAGAAAAAGTGAGAGAGAGAAAAAAAAAGGGAGGTTAATTATTATAGATTCAAAGTCGGAAAACTACCGCCGAGTGATTTAAATAGTGATACCAATATACACAGATTACAAAGCTGCATTTTATTGTACAAATATACACATAATTCTAATTTTGATGAAACACTTTATTTTTTTTTGTATCATTTATCATATTGAATCATGGGCTATTTATCGATACTTTTAAAGAAGCTTTTCTACATAATTTCGACATGTACTACACAGTTTTGTTGACACTCTATATAAGAGGCACTTTGCTAGTACAGTCAAACCCGAATATTCTTTGTTATTATTGAATGAGCGTGATACTGTGTAACTCTATTTATTTTTCTTTGTTTATACAATAAGTTTAATTCAAGTGTCTCAAATGTATATCTTTCTTCTTATAAAAATAAACGATTCATAAGAATCGACGGGAATGAATGATAATAAAAGAAGAATGCCATTGATGGATCCACATTTGTGCATAATTTGTGTAACAAAATGATGGCTAAAATAAGCTTGCATTCTTTATTGAGAAGAAAAAGGCTCTCTCTTTTAAAGTATGAAGCAATAGTTTTAGTAAAGAAAAAGAAAAGTACTATTATATTTTGATAAGACTTGACACAATTTCGGAATTACCTGCAAAGGCAACAAAAAGAAATACGCATCTACTTTACAAACACTTTATTTACAGCTCTCTGTAAATCAAAGTAGCACGATTTGATGGGATTCTATCTTAAAAAAGAGTAGCCATATTTATAGAGGGTGATGTCTCATTTGTAGTTGTATTCAACAACATGCCCTTATTCAGTATCTATTGACAGCATGAAAGCCTATGATTAGTCTCCCCCTGAGAATCAAATAGTTGGCCGAATTAAAAGCAGTCCTGTTTTTTTCTCTCTGTCAAAAGTGAGCCTTTTTTTTTTTGAACGCGATCTTATTTTTTTTTCGATTCCTCATGCCTCCTAAACAAAAGAAGCCTAATAACCACGATAACAGCAACGAAGAAGGTGAAGAACCTTTTCAAGCTGTTATTTTGACTGATTTTTTTGACGATCAATTTTCACCTATTTCTCATGAATTGCCTCGAGTAAGTCTCTTCTTGTTGGCAACCTGCTTATGATTATTTTAGTGCCTTATGCCTCTCTGTAATATTCCTTTGATTGAATATACTATGGAATTGTTAGCTAGTGTTGATATTTTTGAAGTCTTTGTTGTTTGCACTACACATATTGATGCTATCAAAGCTTATTTCGAGTAAAGATCATACGCACATAGCCACACAGGGAATTCTAACTTATGCTTATTAGGCAATCTGAATGGATGAAACCCAATTCTCGTCTCACAGTTAAGATTGTAGCTACACCTGAATGTATGTCTGTAGGCGATGCACTCCGAGAATTGGACGCTCGTCAATTGATCACCACTGATTTTATTTTGACTTCGGGTGAATTGATTTCCAATGTCAAGTTGGACAAAATCCTTGAAGAACACCGTGCTCGTAAAAAGACAGATAAAAACTCTATCATGACAATGGTCTTGAAAGAAGCTTCTCGTACACATACAGCAAGGTAATACTGTCCATCAAAAAACAAAGACATAGATAACTCATTCTATCCTAGACCTAAAGATGCCAGCAGTGTGTTTGTCATGGATCCTGTGTCTAGTCAATGTGTTTATTATGAATCTGTTGTTTCTTTTCCTCGTAAGCACCGCATTGATATTTCACCCGAGATTTTCGAAAACAAACCTCAGATTGAATTCCGTAACGATCTTGTCGATCCTTACCTTGACATTTGTTCAGTAGAAGTGCCTGCTTTGTTTACTGAAAACTTTGACTGGCAGCGTCTGCGTAGTGATTTTGTTCATGGTATCCTTACTTCTGATATTCTGGGCAAGACCATCTACACCAAACTTGTGTCTGAACCCTATGTTGCTCGCGTACAAAACGAGCAACTCTACAGCACTGTCACTCACCATATGCTGAATCGTTGGGTGTTTCCTATTGTACCCGAAACAAACTTGAGAGCAGGGGATGATTATGAATTCACAAGAGGCAATATTTACAAGTCTGTTGATGTTGTGTTATCAAGATCATGTATGATTGACGAAAATGTCCAAATTGGCTCAGGCACACGTATTGGCGAAAACACACGTATTGCTAATTCTATCATTGGCAAGAACTGTAAGATTGGTGATAATGTTGTATTGGAAGGTGCTTTTCTTTGGGACAATGTGGTGATTGGTGATAATTGTATCATTGAAAAAAGTATTATTGCCAACGATGTCCATATATTAGAAAACACAACAATCGCGCAAGGCTGTCTTGTCTCTGTTGGTGTAAGTGGTTATTCTCTATAGACAATGATATAACAAAACATAGGTTACACTTGGCCCTAAAGCCATCATTCCTAAATATTCTAGACTCAGCCTTGTTCCTCAACCCAAGGCAAGTATGTTTGAGAGCAGTGATGAAGAAGACGATGAAGAAGGTACACTATTGATATTGACTCTCGATATTTATTGATATATATATATATATAGAACACCGAGGACAAGTCTTGACAGGCGACCATGCTACTGTCTATTTCTGGACACTTCAATCAGATGATGATGATATAGATATCCGCAACACCAAGCTTGGTTCGTTAGCTTATGATATGGCTGATCTTGTCTTGAAAGAAGGTGATATCACAGACAGTGCTAGTGAAGTAGGTGAATCAGATGATGATTCTGATATTGGGTCTATTAGTGGAGGTTGGGCACTTGAGACCAGTATGGCTAGAAAGACAGAAGAATTCAAAAAGGAAATTGCACAGACGATTGAGAGATCTCTAAATGAAAACCACACTGTATATACAGCAGCCTTAGAAGTGACTGGTTTGCGTATGTCTAGTAATGGATCATACACAGATGTTAGAGAAGTGATGATTCCTATCATCATGGATCATATTGATCGCAATAATCCAGTCCAAAGCCTAAAAACTGTCTTGAACAAATGGGCTCCCCTTGTTGGAAAGATGACACATTTACCAGAAGATCAATTACATGTCTTACAGGTCTTACAGAAGTATTGTGCCTCAGAAGAGTATCTCGGTAAACTGTTTTTGGGTGCATTACAAATATTTTACAATGCCGATATTGTGGAAGAAGAAGCTATTCGTCGTTGGTACAATAGTAATGAATTATCCATGGCTAGTCCTGCTGAATCTAAATTAAGAGAGAAGGCCAGTAAGTTTATTGAATGGTTAGACGAAGCAGAAGAAGAGTCCGAGGAAGAAGAAGAGAGTGATGAAGAATAATAATAATAAAATAGCTTGACTGTGTGTCTTCTCTAAGCCACTTGATTTTAAATAAAGTATTTTGTTTTTTTTCGAGTTTTCTTCTTTATACTATGTCCGTACAAGGTCCAGATAATATCATCGGTTCACTTACCTTTTGTCCAGAATGTGGCAATTTATTAGATATGGCAGGTGGCGATGATGATATTCTACTATGCAACCAATGTAGCTGTGCTTTTAAGACAGCTGGTATTGAGACAACTGAAGTTGTTACTACTTCTTCAGCACGCGCTTTCCAGTCACCCCTCAAGTCAAAGCGTCACTTGGTTCAACAAAGCAAAGAAGCCAAACAAGCCAGAGCTATTGTAAGATAGATAAAATGACAAGCAAATATTGATAGTTTGTGATAGATTAAAGAAAAATGTCCTCAATGTGGTCATCCCGAAATGGAATATCACACTATGCAATTGCGTTCTGCTGATGAAGGTCAAACAGTATTTTACAACTGTAAGAAGTGCGGGTAAGTACATTGGAGAGAATGATATATATATATATATACATATACTTATTCTTTTTTTCCAGTTATAAATATTCTGTCAACAATTAGATTTTCTCTTTCTCTCTTTTTTTCTTGTAAATTTGCATCAACAACATCCATAATAATAAATAAGCATAATAATGAAAGGTCAATATAGTTTGTATGGACAGTATTTGAGATATATCATAACAAGTATGAAGAGATTTGATAGGCATACATATACCTACATAGCGTACAAGACTCTTGATATATATTTATGATGCTGAGGCTATTTTGACTATAACTATGCTTGATAAAGTTGATTAGGTCGAATTAAGCCGAGTCCACAATCTTTCGCCGCAAAGTTGGGCTTGAATTGTTACACATTGTAAATTTCTCTTGACTTTCTAGCCTGCAATCAGAATAGTTTGCTTTCTTTAAACTAAAAATGACTTCAAAATATTCTGCCTTACCAGATATCGTAAGTCTGTCATAAAATAAGCAATTTCCTATAACATTTCTATAGGATGATCAGCCAGATGTCTATGAGACACCCGACACGACGGACAACAACACTAATGTGGCATATGAAAATCAGGTACTTAACAAAACTTCATCTTGGTGCTTCTATTTATACTGCTTAATAGTCTAGTGATGATGACGAAAATGAGAATGTGATCAAGGCACGCGTCTCTATTAAAGAAGCAAGTAATAGATTCAAGGGCACCATTGTTGATTCAACAGACACAGGTACATACGAAACAAAGAACTATAGCGACTCAAGCCATTTTCTAGACTTTTCTGATAGATTAACTCGCAGAAAAAAGGCCATGTATCGTACCTATGTTCGCCGTCCTCCAGCTTTGGAGACAAGTGAATATGAAATCCTGCCCAAAGATTTAACCTTGAACGAAACTTCTTTACAAAAATTGCGTCGTCTCATGTTTGAAGTACAAGAATTAAATGATGAGATTGAGAAGCAAAAGGTTAGTCTTGTTCCTTGTCATTCTGTAGGTTGATGTATCTCTTCTTAGGAGCCTATAGACACAAAAGAAACAATATCTCAAAATGACATTTTATCGCAAATCACCTACCTTCAATCTGACCTGGTTAGACTAAACCAACAAATAGGAGATGGTGAAGACTTCAATCCTAAATCCAACTATGGAAAATCCGTGGAGGAAGCAAAAGCACTGATCAAGCAACTTGAAGCTTATAAGAATATACCTACTTCTGAACCTGTTGAAGCAGAATCTGACCCAAAAGCAAAAAATGATATAGTCACGTATGAACTTTATTATACCCCTGAAGCAGTAAAGATGCAAAAAGAATCCAAGTTGTCTGATATTGATGAGCGTATTGCAAAAATTGAAAAGTTGGTGGGTACAAGTTCTGGTCAAGCATTGGATGAATTACCTCCCAACTTGGCTTCAGCTTCATTGATCAATTCATTGGCCAAACTGGAACAACAAGTTGCTGTACTTGCTCAACCAAGACAGCTTGAAATGGTGGCTAGACGTGTCAAGGGGTTGATCAGTGATCTAGATAGATTGAATGAGCTTAGATCAGGCAGAAAAGACACGGCTGCTGCTCTGGGTTTTGGACTATCAAACGCTCTCAATGGCCAGAATAATGCCAATGCCAATAGTGATAATGCAAACAAAGATGGCAACTCGGCTGATACTGAAGCAAAGATCAACAAGCTGTTTACAACATTGGAAAAAGTGGATCCTCTTTTGAACTTGACACCTGTCTTGTTGACAAGATTGAAGGCATTACAAACCTTGCATTCTGAAGCTGCTTCTTTCGGTCAATCTGTCAAGGTCATTTCTGAAGAGCAAACTAGAATGACAGATGAATTGAAGAGTCTGACTTCTACCTGTGATTTAGTAAGTGCGTTGTATTTCTTTATCCATCTAACCACTCTCTCTCTAGTTAAACAAGAGTCTACAAGAGAACGACGAGTCTATTACAGGCAATATCAAGGTGATTGATGACAGAATGACTGAACTCATTCAGCGTATTACTGCTTTAACTACTGCCGATGCATAAAAAAGAATAGTAATAGTAGTTTATTAAAAGAAAGTTATTAGTATTATATCTAAATATATCTCTATATACATTAAAGCATTGATAAGGATTGTTCATGTACTAATTCTGCATAAACATTGTTCAATTCTAACAATTCCCAGTGAGTACCTTGTTCAATAACACGACCGTCTTTGATAACACAGATCAAGTCAGAGTTCTGAATAGTAGAGAGACGATGAGCAATGGTAATAGTCGTTCTGCCACCTTCTTCAAGAATGTTATCTAATGCTTCTTGAACAACACGCTCACTATCACTGTCAAGGGCAGAAGTGGCTTCATCCAACAGCAACACACGGGGTTTACGGATCAAAGCACGGGCAATCGCAATACGTTGTTTTTGGCCACCAGATAATTGAGAGCCTTTGTCACCTACACGCGTCTTATAGCCCTCAGGAAGACTCATGATAAAATCATGGATATTTGCTGCTCTACAAGCTTCTTCTACTTGTTCTTGCGTCACTTCTTTTCCTTCATCAACACCAAAACAAATGTTGTCAATAATACCAAGATCAAATAAGACAGGCTCTTGTCCTACAAGTGCTTGATGTGATCTCAAGTTGTTGACAGTATAAGACTTGACGTTGGTTTCGTCAAGAGAGACAGTGCCTTCCATGGGATCATACCATCGCTGAAGCATACCAATCGTCGTTGACTTACCGCATCCAGAGGGACCCACAAGAGCAATGGTCTGACCCGCTTTGCCTTTCAGGTTGAACTTGCCATTAAAGATAGGAATATCTGGACGAGCAGGATAAGCAAATTTGATATCTTGAAACTCAACATCACCACGAATACTACCGACAGCAGGCTCTAATCCTTCTAATTCAGGATCGATGTCAGGACGACGGTCAATCACATTAAAAGAAGCAATGGCAGAGTACTTAGCTTTGGCAAACGTACTGGCAAACACGGAACTTCTACCGGCCGTTTGTGCGGCTGTCATGATGACGGTCATGGCAGTAAACATTTGCTCAAAATTGATATTTCCATTGATAATCAAGCGAACACCAGCATAGAAGCCAACGACCGAAGTATAAATCGTGATACCACGGTTCAGAGCATAACCAATTGATGAAAAGTAGGCTTTACGTTGAGCAAGGCGATGAGGATGATCTGTGGCATAAAAGTAACGCTCTTCAAAATGATGTTGCTTGTTGAGGCCTGCTACAGTACGGATCTCACGAATTGCTTCACCAGCTACTTCACCACTTTCAGAATTGGCCTTCTTTGTCTTGTCTTCAAAACCACGATGGATCTTGGCCTCATAACCCGTGGCTGCCATCAGAAAGGGAGCCAAACACAAAATAATTAAAGTAAGTGCCCAAGAATACACAAAAGCAATAACCAGACCCACAATAAGCGTAACGCAAAGCTGAGTCACATCGCCCCAGACTTTAGTTACCATTTCATTGACGTTACGAGCATCAATTGCCAGTCGAGACGTGAGAGCACCTGCATTGTTTTCTTCACGATCAAAATAACCGATTTCTTGTCGCATATAAGCAGCAAAGATTTGAGAGCGGAGGCGTTTGGTATAGAGTTCACCAGCTACTTCAAACGATAAGAGTTGAGCAGCAAAACCAATAAAGGCACAGATACCAAGCACAAAGAAAAGAAAAGAATACAGGTTGGTGCCTTGCATAGGTCCTGGATTCACATTACCACCGGGCACACTGATAATCGTAATCACTTTAGCAAACAAGAAACTATAGATAGGAAAGACAGAACCTGCAATAGCAGCACCGATCATACCAGTAGCAATCAATTTCCATTCAGGGCGCATTTGCATAAATACCCTAAAGACAGGTGCTTTTTGTTTCTTCATGGATTTCTTTTCTTCTTTCTTTTGCTTGAGTTTGAGGTCGTAGGCATTGATGGTGACAGAACTATGGCGACTATGGAATGCGTTGTTAACTTCTTTTTTCTCGTCAGGTTGTTCCTGAAGTGCATTGCCAATGGTACTATGACTATGGGTTTCCTCAAGGCCTTGGTTTTCTTGTGCTTGTTGTTGTACTTCAAGTTGTTCTTGTTCCAACAGCTTTTCGGTATCGAGTTCCGAGTTATTTTGGGCAGCATTGTCTGTAACATCTTCAATCTTTTGAGTATCGATTTGTTGTTTGCGTACAAGGTTTGCATAGACACCGTTTAATTGCAAGAGGTCATTGTGTTTGCCTTGTTCTACAATCTCACCATGATCCAATACAACAATGAGATCAGCATTGATAATGGTAGAAAGGCGATGCGCAACTACAATGGTAGTACGGTTAACAGCAGCACGATCAAGAGCATGTTGTACTAGACGCTCAGATTGAGTATCTAAAGCAGATGTAGCCTATGAATCAAAAATATATATGTATATATATATATATATATGAGTTTTGTGCTATGAGACAAATCGTTGTATACCTCATCAAGCAACAATAAAGTAGGATTCTTGAGGATAGCGCGAGCAATAGCTATACGTTGTTTTTGACCTCCAGAAAGCATACCGCCATGCTCACCCACAAGCGTATCATAACCTTGAGGAAGTTGACTGATAAACATATGGCAGTTGGCTTCTTTACAAGCATGGATCACCTCTTGTTCGCTGACTTCTTTATTGGTACCCAAGAGTAAGTTTTGTCGAATGGTAGTATTAAATAAGACAGGTTCTTGACTTACAACACCTATTTGTTGACGTAACCAACGTACATTGATATGTTTCAAATCGTGACCATCTAACGTGATGGTGCCTGCCAGAGGATCATAAAATCGTTGCAGAAGCTGAACCGTGGTGGATTTACCGGATCCAGATGGACCCACAAAGGCGATCGTCATGCCTGGTTTGACCGAAAGTGATAGATCTTGAAGAATAGTCAAGTCAGGACGTGTAGGGTACTTGAACATGACATTTTTGAATTCGATCGCACCTGATAGAGTGTCTGGAACAACGCCTTGATCAGAATCAGGATCAATGTCAGGAACACGGTCAATGGTACTAAAGATTTTGTAGGCAGCACCAGAAGCAGTGGAGACAGCAGATAAATTGGAGGGCAGTTGAAGTAAACTTGTACAGCCCATGATCATGGCCAAAAAGACGACCAGAACCGTAGGCCCTGTAAGAGCACCGTCGCCCACAAGTTTAGAACCGTACCAGAGAGCAATGGCATAAATACCAAACAGAGAAAACATAAAAAATGCGAAACCTAATGCAAGACTCAGGCCTCGACGAATGCCTGTCTTACATGCACTCTCAAGTTGTTTTTCATAGCGCTCAGAAAACCGATTTTGTAGAGAGAAAGCATAGACAGTACGGATCGAATTAAAGACTTGTTCAGCTACTGCACCAGCTAAAGCGTATGTGTCTTGCGTTTTCTTGGTATATTTGGTAATAAAGAAACCCATAGCTCCTCCTGCTGCTAAAAGAAGTGGTGTAACTGCCAGCATGATGACTGCAAGTCGCCAGCCTATGAAGATACGTGTTAATATGTTTTCATTTCACTTTTTCTATATACCTTTGATAAAAGCAACGACAAATCCTGCAACAAATTGTGCTGTCAGCATGACAAGTTGACCAAATTTCTCGGAAATGCCATCTTGAATCAACTGTGTGTCTGTTGCTAAGCGAGTATTGAGAGAACCTTCTGCTGCTTTATCGTACCAACTCATGTCTTGACGCAACACAGCATGAACATAAAGAGTACGAATACGTCGAGCTTGTCTTTCGCCTGTTACGATCCAGAGACAATTGGAGACATAAGACGCAACAAGTACGCCTGTGCCGATATAGGTCATGGTATGAATGACGGGTAATGTACTAGGTAACAATGAACTGGTATCACCCAAATTTCCTGTCAAGTTAGAAATATAAGCACCGTAAATAATAATGGACACCGGATTAAGTGCACCACCTGCTGCTGAACAAATAAAAGCAACAAAAATCAAGATACGCTCCATAGGTGTTGCAAAGCGAAACAGTTTGTACATAGGAATTGATTCTTTTTTCTTTTTGTCATTGTCTGCAATGGGTAATGCGTTGTCTTTTTCTTTTGACTTTTTTCGTGCCATTTTGATTTTTTTTTTTTTTTTTACAAAATAAAAAAAATCGGCCGAGTTTATATATACGGGCAAAAAGGAAAGGGTTGCTGAGTTCGTTTTGAGCAACAGAAAATTCCTCCATATGACAGTCGACTGAAATAGCATTCGTGATTACGTTGGTATTGTATAAAAATGGGAATCAAAAAAAGGGAAGGGTACATGAATCGAGATTGAAGTCTTCTAGAAACAAAGTGCAACAAGCACCATGATTGGCTTAAAGTAAGTGTGCTAGAGTATTTTCTGCATGGAAATAGAAAATTAATCTCGATTAGGAGAAGTGCACAGAAATCCGTATCGAACATACACCCTATAAAAGGCGATTTAAACCGGTCATACTTTAGTCATCTCGATTATTCTGGTAACACCTTTTCTGAATCATTCATGTCTTGGCGTTCGTTTGCAACACTGTTTGACTACTAAATTAAGAGACAACTTGTTGCCGTGCAAATCGGAATTGTCATATGAAAGTTGGAAAATAACAATTCTATTTTATCAGATTAAAATCAAAGAATATATGGTTTTCATTGACTGAAAAAAAAAAACAAGAGTCCTTTATTTTGATATAAAGTAATGAATATAAAGTGTCATTCATTTTCTTAAATCAAATATACGCCTTTTCTATTGACAATTTGGTAAGCATTTCCAGGCCATGAATGCTGAATTAGAATTCAATGCTGTCAAAAGTCCTTTTTTATTATTTTCTTTCTCTCGTAATTCAAATGTCTTTTTGGAAACCAGGAACACTTGCACCAGGTATGTCTATCAGCTACAAACACCAGTAGAACTTAGAATGTATAGGAAGTTCTTTAGATAGAGATACAGAAAACGAAACAGGTGAAGCTGTTGTTGCTCATGCCGATAAACAATATCGCCATTTAACTTTAAAGCAACAACGAGAACGCTTGCCTGTATTCAAACTTAGAAGGGAACTTTTATATCTTGTAGAAACATATCAAACTGTTATTGTGGTCGGACAAACGGGTTGTGGTAAAACAACACGTAAGTCATCATAATTTGTTTCATAGATCACTTAATGATCATGTGTATAGAAATACCCCAATACCTTATGGAATCAGGATGGGCAACTCATGGCAAACAAATAGCCTGTACTCAGGTAAACTGCCTCCCTCTTTTTGTGTATGGCCTTATATACTCATTTATGTCAATAGCCTAGAAGAATAGCTGCTACTTCAGTAGCACAGCGTGTAGCAGAAGAAATGAATTGTAATTTGGGTGCACAAGTAGGCTATCTGATTCGATTTGATGACCAAACAAGCGATAAAACAAAGATCAAATACATGACAGATGGTATGCTTTTCCGCGAAACAATGATTGATCCTATGCTGTCCAATTACAGTGTGATTATGATTGATGAAGCCCATGAAAGAAGTCTGTATACAGATGTCCTTATTGGCGTAATTAAAAAGTAAGAAAGACAGTTTGTTGAAGCATACATTGACAGCCGTATAGGGTTCAAAGAAAAAGACCTGATCTTAAAGTGATCATTTCTTCTGCAACTATGGACGCAGAACAGTTTTATCGATTCTTTAATACAAACACAACAAGAGATCCAAAGAATGACACTGCAAAGATTATTTCATTGGAAGGAAGAATGTTTCCTGTCGATATTCTGTATGTGGATAAGCCTGTAGTAGACTATGTCGAGACATGTATTCAGACTGTGTTTGATATCCATCTAAAAGAACCTGCAGGTGACATCTTGATCTTCTTGACCGGTAGAGAAGAAATTGATAAAGTAGTGGAAGAGATATATGATCGCGGAAAGACGTAAGTATCACTCACGGTAAACTGCTTTTAACATCATGGTAGTCTCCCTAAAAACAGTCTGTCTGTCATGCCTCTTCCTCTTTATGCTGGTCTTACAGTGGAAGAGCAACTACAGGTATTCGAACCCACCCCAAAATACACTAGAAAGGTGATTGTATCCACCAATATAGCTGAGGCATCCGTCACATTGGATGGTGTTGTTTATGTGATTGATACTGGTTTTGTTAAGGTATGTTCTGTTAGTTATATCAAGGTGTGTTGATAGATTAGGTCCGAGCTAATAATCCAAAAACGGGTATGGAAGCCTTGGTGGTTACTCCCATCTCTAAGGCTTCAGCATTACAAAGAGCAGGTCGTGCAGGTCGTGTGAAACCAGGCAAAGCATTCAGACTCTATACAGAAGAAACATATCAATCATTAAGAGACACCAGTATTCCTGAAATCCAAAGGTAAAACCTCCCCTTCCTCTTTATATACAGGATTGACTTGTTTCTGTATAGGAGTAATTTGGCACCCATTATTCTACAACTCAAGGCATTGGGTATTGATAATGTACTTCGGTTTGATTTTATTACACCACCACCTGCTGAATTGATGACAAGAGCACTTGAACTGCTTTATTCTCTTAAGGCTTTGGATGATGTAGGCAGACTGACCATTCCTCTTGGTATGCAACTGGCTGAATTCCCTCTTGATCCTATGCTTGCCAGAATCTTATTGGCCTCAAAAGAATTTGGCTGTAGTCATGAAATTGTGACAATTGCAGCCATGACTTCTGTACAAAACATCTTTATTCAACCATCCAAAGTACCACGCGAGATTATTCATGAATCAAGACGTAAATTCTGGGTAGAAGAAGGCGATACACTTTCATTGATTAATGTCTATAATGCATTTATCAATAAGGGAAACAAGTCTGGCAAATGGTGCCATGATCGATTCCTGAACTTCAAGGCATTATCAAGAGCCATGTCTATTCGATTACAGCTGATCAAATATTTGAAGCGATTTGATATTCCTTTGGTCAGTGCTACTTCAAAATACCCTAATACAGCTGAAGGAAGATTAGCTGCTAGCCGAGATGTTAGAAAATGTATCACAAGTGGCTATTTCTCTCAAGCTGCTATAGCAGAACCAGATGGCAGTGGACGCTTCAGGACAGTCAGGGACGGTGTCTTGTTAAACATTCATCCTAACTCTGTCTTGTTCAATCGAACGCCTAAATGTGTTGTGTTTCATGAAGTCGTTGAGACAACACAAGCCTACATGCGGGATTTGACAGTGATTGAGCCTGATTGGCTTGCAGAATTAGCACCTCACTTTTATGAATATAGAAAAAAGACATAGGTTTATTAATAAAAAGAGTTAATTCCAACGTCTCATTTTTTTGTTATTCATGTCTCTTTGTGGAGAACCGTTAAAGGGAGGAGGAGGTCTATAACCAGGACCTTCATTGAATTGCTGATAAGGTCTCTTCATGCCATTGTTCGTATTCATTCTCTGCTGTTGGTCATTATTATTCATCATATTGCTAAATCTTGCATTATTCATCATTGGAGGTGGAGGTCGATAGCCTGGTTGATTGTTATTCTGTCTCTGTTGCATTTGTCCTCCATTGCCTCTACCAAATGGACGCATATTGTTATTATTGGGCCTATTGTTATTTTGTCGCATCATTGGGTTGTTATCCATCATATTAGGTGGTCTGAATGGAGGGGGTGCAGACATGTCAAAGTTATTAGGACGAAAGGGTGGAGGACCATTATTGTCCATGGCAGGGCGTAGAGCATTCACAGGTCTAAAAGGAGGAGGTTCAATCTTGGAGGGTTGAGATATCGTGTGAGGTCTGAAGGGAGGAGGTTCTGTAAACTGTTGTCGAGTATATTCTTCTGAGGGTTTCATGGTGGCTACTTCTTCTTCATGGTGTTGGCTGGAATCAAACTTGTCTGTAGTTAATTCACCGGGACGAGGTCGAGTCCAGAACCGAGTTGTATGATCATTGGAACCACTCACAAGTATATGGCCAACAGGGTGCCAATCCAAAGACCATACGTTGGATTCATGCGCTGTCTCTTGTTCTCCAACAGGTTGATCTTGACCTGTCATCCAGAACATCAGGGCACCATCAGAACCACCTGTTGCCAGCAATCTTTCATGTTGAGGATGCCATTTAGCAGCTATAGGATATAAGTAACAAACTTTTATATACATACAACTTACAGCAAATCTCCTTTTTATGACCCCTAAAGATCTGAAGTTCTTTCATGGTTCTGATATCGTATATTTTGACGAGTTGATCTCTACCTGCAGTGACTAACCAATTACCATTCTGATTCCATTGTAAGGCCAAGACTGTATTTTTATGTCCATGCCTAATCATGATGTTATCAACTATGTAGATACCTATGTGACTTACAATGTAGTGATATTCTTGCCTGTCTTTGGATCCCATAGCTTGATCAGATTATCTTTACTTCCTGAAGCCAATAAAGACTTGTATGGATGCCAATCAACACATTTGACATCCCAACCATGGCCTGTTAATTGCTTCTCTTCAGTGCCTGTATTGAAATCCCATATTTTGATCAACGAATCATCTGAACAAGTAGCAAACCGAGTATCTGAAGGTGCAAATGTCAAATCTCGAATAGCTTCTTTGTGTCCCTGTATGATCTTGAGGTTACTCATGTTGGACTGCCAGTACTTAATAATACCGCTGTGATCTCCTGTGACCATCCAGTTATCGTTATGAGACCAATTCATGGCACGCACTGCGGAATCATGAGCTTGTAAGATGGTCTCGAAGTTAAACGTAAGACCATTCCATAATGTGAATTCACCACTGGATGAGCCAGTGATCAAACGACGTCCTTCTGGTGTCCACTAAACGAAATCAACAAGGGTTTGTTACACACTTGTTCTACTTACACGAACAACATTGACAGGAAATCGTATTTTGTTGGTAGAGGTATGGATGAATTTCGTAGTAACTGCATTGATAGGATTGTCAAGATAAGCCACGGGTGGTAATAACTAGACAAGATGAGCTTCATTCGAAACAACACAACTTACATTGACAATAAAGTTGGGATCAGGCCTCAAATAGCGCGTATCTCTTCTGTCACGAATCCATACTCGTTCCTATAGACATAATCAATATATATACAAGCACAACAACAGCAACAACAAAGAAAAACAAAGAAATCGTGTTTGAAGATCAAGTAGTTTATTTCAAAAAAGGATCTAACCTGCATCCACCTTGCTACACTGTGATTATAATCGACGGTTCTTCTTTGGATTGCTTTTCTCATTCGTTTACCATCAAACACCATCTTAGAGAAGGGAATATTGTTCCCTCCATCTTCTCTACCAGACATTCGCATAGGACGACGATTAGCCCCATGTGCATTATCTGATTCCCAGTTATTATGAGAAGAGACGTCCATAGTGTTTCAATGAAAGAAAAGAAAAAGAAAAGAAAAAATTTCGTGACTGAAAGAATTTATTCCATAGGAGTAGAAGGTCTATGGCTAGAAGAGGATAACACAGTTCTTAGCTGCTTTACTCCTCCTTGAAGCGATAAGTTTTCTGACCCAATAAGTGAGTGATGAACATGTTCAATGGATTTAAAATATTTCACAGTCTATAGATATGAGCATAAGCATTACATGGTCATTTACCTTCACATGGAGTTCTAATGTAGCATCTTCATCACACACGATTAGACCTTTTGGATGCATTTGAATAGCAGAGACTGTCCACATATGATTGACGCCTTCTTCTATACATTTTGCTAATGCAATAGCCTAACAAACACCATAAAAGAATACGTCATAAGATATATATATATATATATATATTCGTCATTTTACCTTGTGTGCACCTGTAATAAGCACAACCACTTCACGCGCATCCATCACAGTGCTAGACAGGATGAGATATGATACTCTAAAATTATATCTACTTACGCCACACCCACAGTCAAGGCTAATTTGGGCACTTTGGCAATATCGCCATCAAAGAAGCGAGCATTGGCAATAATCGTTTCATAGGCCAAGGTCTTAACGCGTGTTCGCGAAGTCAAGGAAGACCCAGGTTCATTAAAAGCAATATGGCCATCAGGGCCAATACCACCCAAAAAGAGCTCAATACCTCCTGCACACGCTATGTCTGCTTCAAACTTTTTGCACTCTTCATCTAAATCAGGAGCATTACCATCCAAGATATGAACATTACTTGGCTGAATATCAACATGCATAAACAAATTCTTCCACATAAACGAATGGTAGGATTCTGGATGGTCACGGGGTAATCCCACATATTCATCCATATTAAAAGTGACGACATGCTTGAAACTGACTTGGCCTACCTTGTACATCTCTACCAGCCTCTTATAGACACCAATAGGCGAGGAACCTGTAGGCAGGCCAAGGACAAAGGGTTTTTCTTCTGTAGGTCCAAATTGTTTGATGCGTTCCTTGATATAGTTTGCTGTTGAAACAAGTGAGTGACATGGTATACAACTTGTCCCAGAAAAAGATTTACCTACAAATTCAGATACCTCATCATAATCTTCACGAATAATCAATCTCATCTTTTTTTTTTTGCTGATAAAGGAAATAAAAAGAAATGCTTACTTTTTGGTTACTTTTATATATGTCGGGATAACAAGTTCCGAGACAAATTGTTATGTAAGCCACTTGTTTATTTGAATGATTGTGTTACGTTGAAATGACGCCCATGCGTTTCAAGTGTATATGCCCTGACAAGGAAGCCTTTTTGATATACAAAAGAAGAGATTTAGATGAACCACCAACAAAATCAAGTAAACAAGAGATCATTGATGCGATATCATCTGATCAGATCTAGGAATATTACTGAATCGAAATGTCGTTGAACCTCTGAAAACAATTTACTAATCTTTGAGAGATAAAGAGCTTGGTCAAGTGCACTTTTGCCATCTTGAGCAGTGTTTAAGGACGATGCTTGGCTATGGAGAGGTTCCTTAATGCATGTTCCAAGTGATTTTCTGGAAGTAGTAGTCAGGCTAATTATGCAGTAATTGACTGGATCAGTCGGGTTGCCTTTCTCATGAATTGGGACTACTTGTGCGACTCGTCAACAGTAAGACGTGTATGGCCAACACCAACACAGATAAAAAATCTAACCATTAAATTTTGTGATATCTATACAAAAATTAAAATTAAAGGCATAAAACGATCATAGTAATAGCCGTAGATGTAAGGAACTTATGAATGTAATGGATTTACAGAGAAATATACCTATATTTTTCTGTAAATCCATTATATTTGTCAGTATTCCGATGCCCAACAGCGTTGGATTAAGGCCCGGAATAATCGCCAAGAAGAAGACTATGATTTAGCACTGATGCTAGACCAGGAGAAAGCGTATGATCATGTGAATCTGAAGTATCTCAATCAAGTTTTGGTAGAATTTGGATTCCCAGAGTCCATAGTAAACACAATAGGCAACTTGCTTTCCGGTAATCAGATCAAAGTAAATGTCAATGGTTTCTTTACACCGTCATTTGTCAAGAAGCGTGGACTAAAGCAAGGCGACCAATTTCCCCTGTTTTGTATAGCCTTGCATTTGATCCTTTATTGCGAGCTATTCTTCAAAACGAAGCGATTGAGGGGTATCAACTAAGACTACGCCCTGAGCTTCGAAATCAAATCACTGTTTGGCCAACCTCAATTGCTACCAAAATTTTGTGCTATGCTGATGATGCGATGGTTTTTATACACGATCCTGATGACTTGACGCGAGTGATGCAGCATATTGAGCGCTATTGTAGAGCATCAAATGCGAAGATCAACTATTCAAAAGTTGAAGCAGTGTCTTTGTCCGGACGCAATTCCTCTTCCTTTTGACGCCGTCATCTTCAACCGCTGCAAATTGAAAAACTATATTCCGCAGATGATCTACAGCCTGCAATATACTTAGGCTTTCCTTTCATTCAGTCAATTGCTCAAAAACAAAGCTTTTTCGAAGCCCTGTTTGTCAAGATTCAGTCTCATTTCCAAATGCATTCGGGTAGATCGCTTTCGTGTGTAGGACGTGCCACCATCGCCAACACGTTGATCCTATCTAAATGCTAGTACTTATGTTGAGTCATTCCTCTCAGTACACAAGAGCTGTCTCGTATTCGATCATTAGCAAGCCAATTTTTGAATAGACAGATTTTCCCTCGAATAGCTTGGTCAACGTTGGTACTTCTGAAAGACAAGGGTAGATTGGGTATCTTGGTCCCTCTGCTACAAAGAGACGCACTGTTTTTTTCGCTGGACCTTTTCTTTGCTTTTGAATCGTTCTTTAGCACATTGGCTGAAAATCATTCGGCTTCATATGCATAATGTCACAGGGGCCTCACATGTACAAGCTCCTTTGCTCTTCCCATCTACAAGAGAATTTATAAATCGATCCAATGGCGCCACTAACAAAGTCAGTACGATTCAACTGCTCTATGCGTCTATAGATAGACTTCCTAGAAATTTTGATACTATGGAGTTCAATCCAGCAGTTTGTATGGTACTACCAATCTCTGTGGTTATACATTATACGAATGTTCGACGACCTTTTTTGCCTCCTGCTATGCGTCAAATTCAAGTTAATGACCTCATAGTGTACGATCATTTTTCCAAGATTATTCTTTGGAAGCTCCCTCAAAATATCCCCGAAGAGTTGCAAACAATTCAACAGAGGTTAGTTCGTGGTTTAGCAAGAAGGAATATAGGTGTCGCTCCCTTTTTTTAACGTCATTTAGCGATATCTTCTCCCTCCAATGCCATCTCTTCAGACATAAATGCAGGATTCAGCTTTGCCTCTTTTCTAAACTGCTTTGCTGTTCTATCTACCAAGAAACCGAGTGATGGGATCAGCTCTAAGGTATATCGAATGACTTGTTTGGAGTCTTATCCTGCCCCTTCCACCCTGTCAACCATTTCCTCTACTTTTTGGGACTCATTTTGGACATTGTCCCTTACCGCCGTTGTGCAAAATGTGGTGTATCGATATATAAACTATAAGTTGCCTACAAAGATATGTATGAATTGTTTCTTGCCCAAACGATTTCCAACTCCTTTGTGCCAAATGTGTGGCCTTTATACTGAAAATGACAATCATATGCTCTTTTTATGCCCTCCAAAAACACATTTTTGGAAAGAGCTTATATTTGGATTTTTATGGCCAACCACTACTGTTGATGATATCATACAAGCAATCCGATATATGAACTTCCATTCCATTTGTTATACTCAGAATAGTGAGTTAGCTGCTCAAGAAATAGTATTCCAAGGCATGAGTCAAATTTGGAAAGCTCATTGGAATACTATCTTCAATGAAATTCCGTTTAATCCAACTCTACTTCTTTCATCCACTCGTGCTTCTCTCAATTCTCTGATTGACGAGAAACACTTGCATAAATGTTCATGATTAATTACTTTATGTATTTTTCCTTTGTATCTCTTAAAATTGTGACCACCTCTTGACAGGCTTTAGTCATAGTCTACGTGAAGCAAAAAATAAAAGCCTTTAAAAAAGTTTCTCAAAAGCTCTTCTATACCTCTAGCTTTGTTTTCTGTTGATAGGTCTTAAATTTCAATAGTCCATAATTTTGGCTTGTGGTGATATTGTTCACAAACATTTTACTTTTGATTAGTTGAACAAGTGGTCACAGCCCATAAGAAAGACAAACTAACTGATCAAACTAATTCTTGAGATTCCATCTAAGCCCAAATTCATATCTATCCCTGAAGGCCTGGAGCAATCATCCATTCATGAATTTCGCTCAACTATGGTTATGATATCCTTTGTTTGTGTCACCAACGCTGGTTTTTCTAAACTATTTTCCTGTAGCTTGCACCTTAAAGCGATTCACACTCAACTAGGATATGGAATGACAGTTACGCTTTCGATAAACAACTATTGCAAATTCTTGCAGCAAGCTCAAGGCCATCGTCTAAGAATCATTTTTGATAGACTTATAATTGTCTTGAAGAAAATAATGAGACATCCACCAGACTTGTTTATTATGCACGAACGAAATTAAATCCTTCAAGCAAATCCTTTCCTACTTGCTCTTCCTCCCCCCCCTTCCTTATAAAAGGCACTCTTTTTTGTTAACTACTACCTAAATTGCAACATCTTTACCATATAATAGCATAAGCCCTCGTGCTCTGTTCTCTGTGAACTTTTCTCTCATTTCATAATGCCAGTGCCTTTAAGAGATCATTAGCAATATCAAATTTAGCATCGGAAGTAGATTATAGCCATATGCTTACCTTGCGTAACACTAAAATACTCTCGTTCTGTTGTTCATTCCGCTTTCTTGACCCAACTCCGTGGCTTCCTATGGCCAATATCAATCTGAGTCGTCTAATTTGCTGGTAAATTGATTGATTATATGAGAATAATGTCAAGTCCATTTTTTTATGGTGGAAATCTCACTCGTTTACATGGAACTCAATTTCTTGATATATCCTCTTCTACTCCAGATTGCTTATATGCAAAGTGCTACTACAAGCACTCCACTTCTTCTAGCAACGGACCCACTACTTTCTCTCATTCTTTGGCTACATCTCCCATATACTTTTGTAAATCGACACTCTCTCCTCGTATATCTTTGTTCTGATAAGGCTTGTTTCTCAGTTTGAAAGAGTCATTCTTATGCATGAATCGCATCCGAGCAAATGAAGGTCAAATTAGGGCATATGCTCAAAAACATTGTTTAGGAAATCAATAAATAAACAAATGCTATCTCTAAGAAATAAACCTTTTCACTTTAAAGCAATAAAACATAATTTAAAGCATTAAACAGGTTAGTCATTTTTTTTTTCACACAAAGAAATTGTAAATCTTCAAATGAAAGTAGATTGAAACTCTAAAATGAAACAGAATTTTCTGTTGTAACTACAACTAGGGCTTTAATAAGATTAATTCGTTTTCTACACAAAAGGCGATGCAATTTTTTCCATGCTGTATGATAGCGTTGTGCAAATATTTGATTTTCCAGCAGCGTAACTAATGGAAGAAATCTGTCATCGACGTAAGAAAAAGGTGATTAGTAACACTGTAGTGACAGTGTTTATAAGCAAGTATGCATTCAGGTATCTTTATACGTCAGAAAAGAAAAACCGAACAAGTTCTACGTTCCTTTTTTCAACAACCAATGTGTGTGTATGTGTTTTTTTTGAAGGGTAAACTAGATTATAGACAGAATGAATTCAGATGTACTCATATATACACAAAGCAATCTAGTATTTTATTTTTCATGCCATGATAAACCATTTACATCATTTCTGGTATATGACGACGAATCACTTCAGTATGATGCTGTTGAGCAGAAGCATAGATTCCTAGGCCATAACGGCTTGTCGCATTGGTTTGAGGAACATAAATGTCGGTTTTCTTTGGCTTTGTATCCTTTTCTTTGTCTTTTTTGTTTTCTTCTTTAAACGGATGATGCACTGTTTTTGCAAGAGGGAATGAATGTTCTAAATCATAAATAGATCTGGATGACCAAATACCAGAATACATTTCCATTTGATCTTGTTTTGTTTCTGAAGAAGAGATGGGTATAGAATGATGAAAGGATAATGGTGAGTATAGAGAATCATGTTTATCGTTTGTAGAAGAAGCCGTGCTTGATGTAGGTGATATCAGTCCATAAGAGAATACATTGTTGGATGGGAGTCGTCCATGAGACCAGCTATCGTCCATAATCTCTTGCTTTGGAAGTGTGGTTATGGTCCTTGGAATGATAGGCGATAGTACATGAACCTTGGGGCTACTGTTGCGACTGTTACTATCACCTGTGTCTGCATCTATTAATGCTTTCTCAATCATCGTCGTAAATTCATGAATACTAGGAATAACACGTTGTTGCAAGACAGACCGAAGGCATCTGAGTGATTGTTGAAACATATAGCGTGAATGTCTTGCAATGTCTTCTCTTTCATCGGCACAATCCACAAGATGAATACGAGCAGCTGCCATAATGGCTTCAGCAACAAGAGTAAATGAGAAAATTAATGTAGGCTGATTAAGTATGGCGCACGTAAATTGTGTAGTATGAGTAGCAACCGTACTACATCGTTGTTGAATTAAAAGAGAGTTTGACGATAATGATAGAGACGTGGATGTGATAGGTTGTAGAACATAAATGGATATGTAGTTGTAAATGAGATGTAAATGCACACTATAGGCATGAGAACGAAGAGTAGTCTGCGTAGACAGCGTTGTCCATTGCAATGAAGGTGGCAGTCTTCTAAGCCATGATAGCAATTGCCTGTCCAGACTAAGTACAAATTGCTCGTTTTCTGCTGGTCGAACAGCACCTGCTTGTCGGTCTGGAAGTTTCATATTTAAAGCCTCTTCACTGATCTGCATCAACTGAATGTGTTCCAGGAAGCACATATTGATTTGGCATTCATTAGGATCATTCGTACCCAGCACCATAGGCAAGTCAATGTCAACATCTTTTGAAGAAAGCAGGAAAGGTTTTCCAGTCACAAGACTGTTCATCTTGTCCAAGCAATAGCATATCCAATACGTTCGTTTACGTAGCTCGATTTCATCAAGCGTTGCTACCGTCTGATGGTTGCTGTATCTCTTGTGTAGCTTGAAGTCGTAACACATACGACATGCCATGTCACTAAAGATACGAGAATGATTGGGTCCAGCATGAGGTCCTGCAGAACTTCGGTTGGATTCAAAGATAGAAAGCAAGCAAAGTGACACGACTGTACTGAGTGAAGGACTATCCAAATCACGCTCTAATAACAGTCGAGCATGACGGTAGTACTCGTTTGCTTTGTTCATGTTTTCATTATGAGCTGCATTGCAATAAATACTGTACAACAAACATGGTGTGATAAATGCATCTTGATGTTCTAACAGCCGATAAAATATAGATTTAGGCAGGATAGGAAAGACCGTATATAGATTGTGAAAGAACGTGTCAATCAAGTTTGCATTAATTGTTTCATGTGAGGGAACTCGACAAATACAGTTGCTAGCATCACCTTGAAAAATTAAGTTGATATCTACAAGCCAACGACCTCGCTTGCCTTCACCTGGAGACAATGTACTCAATCGATCTAATAGGCTGGAAGTTTTCTTTAGTAGCTCTTGTTCTTTAGATAGAGAAAAGGCTGATATGTTTGGTCTTGAAGCTTTTTTGCGATATTTTTCTTCCTCTAGTTGTGCCTCTGTACAGGTGCTGACTGTAGAATAAGTTGCTGCATTTTCGCTTGAGAAAGAACAATGTCTGTTTCGAGCTATTTGAATAAAAATAAGCTTCTTTTTTTTCTCTCTCTTTCACTCTCTCTCTACATTCTATATAGAAAATACCTTTACACTATTACAATACACATTAGTAAAATTTGGTAGCGTGTAATTCATTATTTACCTGCATACAAGGATGTAAGCCATCACACTAAGAAAAAATTGTCATTAGCAGCTTATTGCAATTAAAATATGACTGCTTACCTTTATTTTCTTTACTCTACAACCAAGGCAGGCTTTAGAAACCTTGTATCTTTTTTCTCTTGGTAGCTTCAATAAATTATCAGGTCGATAATTATAGTTCATCGCGTTAGTTCACTCTTCTTTTTGATGAGAAAGAAAGAAAGAAAGAAAAAGAAAGATGGAAATAGCAATCCATTAAAATTGTAAAAAAGGGTCGTAAACAATCGTTTATGTAAGCTCCGATCAACCAATGATAGTGATAGATCTCACATCTCCGAGGGAAAAAGGGCCCTTTAAATTGGGACCCTGTTTACCCGAGAACCCTGTTGGTTGGTTTATTTTGAAAATAAGGTGACATGTCTTTTATAGAAAAAAAAAATAAACTTTTTACTCTATATTTTTTTTTCTTTTCTTTTGCACCGAGTAAATAAAAACGAGGCGAGAAAGCCACATTGAGGATGAAGCTGGACATAAAAACGAATATTTTATCGTTTGAATAAATGATGTTTCAAGTGATTAGTATTTGTTTACTGCAAACAAAAACAAAAGAATGCTTATCAAGAAGATCAAAGTTTCTTATGTAGATCTTCTATTGGTTTAAGACATTTCTTTTGTTTTACCTAACAAATAAGTAAGGTTCTTATTGATTGTAATCAAAGATAATGTAAGAGAACTTGGTTATTCAAGTTTATGGTTTTCTCTAATACTTTGCATTTCGACAATATCTTTAGGACTTGTGAAAAGAGTTTATTTCAAGATTAGACCTTTTTATGCATAAAATATATACTCTTCTTGACATATATTGCTATAGACATTATTCTTGGCTTTATATTGTTATGCAGAACCATTGAGCTACTTATTTTTGAATTTGAGGTAGTCCTTTGACTTTGTCTAAAAAAGTCTTGCTTATTATCTTAGTGCGTTACATATTTCTGATGAAGAGAGCAGCTCTAAAAGAAACAAGTAAGCATTTTATTTGCATATCAATGGCATTATTTGCTTCGCAATCGATTGAGTGGTTTTTTGAATAGTACAAAGCTTTTCTCTTTCAGAATATTGATAGTTTGTTTTTGACAAGGTATGAATGTTGTTTCTATCATATTCTCAACACGGATCAAGACTTGAATGAATTTTTGTTTTTTGAAATAAAAGTATACACAACCAAAGAAAACCATTCAGCTTTCTTTTATCTGTACTAATATTTCAGTGAATTTAGAACAAGGCATTTCTTGCGCATAAATCTCGAATCAAAGCTATCCAATTCTTTGTGATTGTGCCTATAAAAACGTAAATATCTATTAAAAACTAACAGAATTATCTACACTTGAAATGGAAAGTGACACAAAGCCTCAACTCAAAAAAAATAAAGGTAATCATAACATGTATATTTATTATCAGTATATTAAAAAGTATTTAAGAAGTAGTATCCCAGTATAATTCACTTCCTTCTCGCGTAGGACCTGGCATACGGTCATTTGTCTGACCTCCCTTTGTATCATAAAGTACTTCAGCAGTTGGAGTTCTTACGTGCACCTGATGCTCAATCTCTTGGTCTCGATCATCGGCAGGTTCACTAACATGCCCTTGACTTGCATTGTTGTTTATAGATTCGACTACCGACCTGCTTTCATCAGCAGCAGCACTTGTGTCACCAGCATTAGTTAATTTAGCATCCTTGACATCATTTTCATCTTGCACTTTGGAGTGCATCGATCGAGCGTCTTGTTCTAGTGGGATAGTCTCTTGCTGAGTGATTTCTTGCTGAGGTGGAGGATGTGTGGCTTCTTGTTGAGGTGGAGGATGAACATCAATAACAGCTGTTTCTTGTTGAATAGCCATAGGACTCATCAAATCAATCCAGTGTCTAATCAGAGCAGGATCTGTACTGGACAATTGAACAATTCTCTTGCTTGCAAAAAGTCCTTTCAAAGGTTTACCCTCAAGCTGCAAAAGATCCTTATTTGAACTAATAAGGATTGCGCATTTAGGAATAAACATGGTCATGTCCGGTTTAAAAGGAGATTGAAGCAAGTCTTTTTCTGACTTATAACGATACAACAATCCAACTAAATATATCATTAGTTTGCACAAAGATATTGCTATACTTTACCTGGACTCAACACATAGAAAGCATCTGTCCATTTCTTGCTGTGATGCTTTTGCAATGTACTAATAGCTAATGGCTGAACAAGAGGATGAGAAGCATTAGGAAAATCAGGCTCTTGTTCACTCTTGTAGGCTGCTTTAGGTTTAACTAATTCATTGTCATGATGGTTGAAGAAATCCACCCATTCAGCATCATTTTCGATCGCATTAAAGATGGCAGCAACTTTATTCACACCTTCCAGATTTTCAAGATGGTGATTGATGCGATAGGTTTCGAATGATTGAAAGAGTTGAGTATAGGCACTAATAATCTTTTCTTGTTCAAATTGACGGTATTTATCCTGTGTTTCGAGGAAGTCTTTGTGCAATTGATTTTCATGCTGATAAAGATTTCTGACAGTACGAATAACAACTATAATTGAGTGGGTTGGATGCTTTATTTAAACTAGACTTACCGTATTTTGTCAATAAAGGATCGCGTTTAGGGATAACATAAGGCCCTTTTACTTTCTCCAAAGTCTTTTGTGTGTTATATATATCAGCATTCAGTCGAGTGATTACTTTATCAGCACGTTTACGACAATTCCACAATGTAGCTGTATGCAGTTTTTTGTCATGCTTTAATGTTTGTGTCATATCCTTGATATCTTTCAGCATAACATGCAATGTAGGCTTGATTTCATTCTCAATGAAATCAACAAAGTCCTGGTGAATTAAGCTATTTTCACGAGTGAATTGCCTGAATGCGGTCCATGCATCTTGTACGCCATCAGACGATTTAAACTGATTTTGAATTTTACTCGGGATAGTCGACTTAGTGTCAATTTTTCGATATCCTTTGCCTGTGGCGGATTCAACTTTTTTTATACGCTGAAACATGCTAAGCTATTTTATATGGATTAGTGTCATTTTAATATTAAAAAATTATAGACTCACCAAGTATTTGACAGAGATTTGCCAACTTAAAAGTCGACTACAGAGTGTCTTGACAGGATTCAGTCCTTCACGCATACTATAGATATGCTTCTGCATTGTTCTCTTTCTAGTCGGCAATCGAACCAATGAAGTAGCCTTGGGTTTGGCCATAAATTTAGGTGGAGGAGATGAAGAAGATGCTTCATTAAATCCTTCAGCATCAGCATCATGAGTCAACCAAGGTAAACCAGTTTGGCCTGCTGTTATTTTCGTATTGGGTTGTTCTGTCTTTTCATCAAAAGGAGATACTTTGTTTTGATAATTATTTTCTTGTTGAATTGTTTCCATTTTTGTAGAAGAGTAAAAGTAAAAGAAAAGTAAAGAAATGACGAGATCTCCTTTTTATTTTATTTTTTTAAAAAAAGGCTATTATACATGGTAGATTAGTTTATATATATATATATATATATATATATATGCAGCATGATGAAATAGATTTTTTCTTTAAAAAACTTAAAATTTCAACCAATGATCTTATTGTGTAATGCTAAGAGCATAATGATATCAGCTATGCCATAGTACGTCTTTTTTTGAGTACTTCATCATCTTCTTCTAGTTCATCATCGTCTTCCTCTATTTCATCCTCTTCTTCGTCTTCATCTAACGCAGAAGCATCTCTTTTTAGCGCACTTCCTCCTCCTCCTCCTTCTTCTTCTTCTTCAAGTTCATCTTCTGTTGTTTCAGGAACAACATTTGTCGTACTTGGCTGCTCTTCTTCAGACTCTTCTTCTAAATCTTCTTCTTCTTCTAGGTCTTCTTCTTCCTCTTCAAGATCTTCCTCCTCCTCCTCTTCTTCTTCTTCCTCTTCTTCATCATCCTCGTCATCACTATTGCCTAAATCTTCTTCCACGTCTGACTTAGTTTGAAGTACATCCAGAAAATTTCGTAATTTTGTCTTGAATATTGATTCGCTGATCACTTGTTCTTTTTTACTGGTATCTTTGGCAAGGACATGAAAGCGAGTATGCAATGTGCCCTTCAATATTTGTTCGCATTGAGCTGTCATTTGCTCAAACCTCTCTTTATATGTGCTTAATTCTTTTATTCTGTTGCACAATCCAACAATGTTTTCTTGCTGCTGTTCTAACATTACTTTTGGCCAGGATTCTGATGAAATCTCTATAAATTGCATTTGACTGACAAGAGCAGCTGCATACGCTTGTTCTTGTTCTTTGTAACTAAGAGAGTATAAGTCTATCTAAACTACAAACACATAACATTTACATTCCAATAGCTTTATATACATCATTTTTCTCGTCTATAGATATTAAGACATATTCCTGTGGTTTTCCTGATGTTTCTTTGGTTTGAACCATAATCAATGATGAGGATGACAAAAATAAACAAGGATGGAAAAAAATGCAAGTTAGCCCTTTTCGCTAATGAGAACACGGTCACACGCGTCTCTGTCTCTCTTTTTTTTCTCTTTATGAATCGATCCAGCATTATCTTGAAGCCTTATTTGAAAAAGCTCGTATTACAAACCCACCCAGACTTCTTCCAATTTGACACTCTAAGGAAAAAGACAAATGCAGAATCACTTCAAAAACTGAATGAGCTATTACAATTATCACACACAAAAAGAAAAAGTGTACCTGTCAAACTTGAATTCTACTCTAAATCACAAAGAAAGTCTAAGGCACCAACAGCTGTGGGCTTGTTTGATACACACGACTCAGAATGGGTGAAAGCGCAAATTTTTTTTCAATTATGTCAACAACTAGACATTCCCATTTTACAATCAGATCTCGATGCTGTGCAAGACATGATCCAAAAAGAAACAAAACCAACAATGAACAAGTCATTAGCAAAAGAGTTTGCAGAAAAGCTCTATCAACAGCATAGACAGCCTAAAATAGAATGGCAGTCAGAAGATGTTCTAAGGAATAACATGATTATGTTTGGTCCATTAGTAGATACAGAAGTGGTTGCTAAAAAATTGAGTACATGGTTGCCACAGTTACAGCCAGAAAAATGGTGGGGTAAAATACCTGTCTTGATCTTGTCTTCTCAATTTGAACTGCCTGCAGAGACAGGAAGCAAAGATATGCTGATATTGAAGAGTGATATGGGACTTAGAGGTAACTCAGAGTATGATATAGAGCCATTCTCATGCTTCCTTTTAGACATTGAGGAGTACTTGAATACGCATTTAGACAAAGTACTAAAAGAAATAGACGCAAAAAAAGTATAAACTTCTTGACAATAAATCAACGTACATTCACTTCGAGTGGTATCTAAATATTGTATCCAAATACTATTCTTCTTGATCTCATAAGTATCATGTATTACAGCCCATATTATTTGCCTATTTTTTATGCGTCAAATGATGCAAAAGTGCCCACTTACTAGTCAATATCTACTGAAAAGGGCCTCTTTTCAACTGATTATAGTGTACAATAAGCTTTGAGTGCAGATTCGAAGGCAATACTCAAATGAACTCAACTTTTTCATCTTAATAAACTCGCTTTCTTTTCCTCAGAAGCACCTAAATATTGTCTTATCTGTTCAATTAGTTTTTGAAAGCTACGACGATTTTCTTGAAATAAACATTAGTGAAATCGCTTTACAGTTTCAACTGTGTTTACTACGCTTAAGGGTACTAAGCACAACCCGTATAAATCTTCTTCTCTTTCAGACAAATGAAGATGCTTCAAGCCTATTTATACACATATAAATGCAATTAAAGGCCATTGCATACTGTAATTGAAAGAAAAGAGGCTCTTTTCAGTAGATATTGACTATTAAGTATGCACTTATTCTACACTATCTGATAAATCGTATGCTTTTGACTAGAATTTGCTATAGTACATGGCATTTCTAAGGCTAAAAAGAGCAACTTTTAGCACAACAATAGATGTCCTGTGGAGGATGGTTTTGTGCTCAAATTCCGATGTTATTCTGACATTTACAAATCGCGATTTGATTCGATTGTCACAAAGACTGGACTTCAGATGCAAAAAGAGAACGTAATTTTATAGCATATTGAAAGCAATATCGTTGTAGTTTATAAACGAACTATGGTCTGATCTATTCGTACTAAAACTTAAAGACAACATTAAAGCAACAAACGTGAGTGACAATATGTAAGCATAAAAATTATTCAACGACAAGCACTGACTGTCAATCAAGAAAGAGAGCTATTACTTACATTAAAGACACCAACAAAACCTTCCTCAATCCAAAGAAAAAAGAATAAACATAAATCGTTAGCTAATCAATATTGCAATACTTGCAAGAGAAGGCTTTTTGTAGCTTCTTTGGGAACGATAAAACACGAATTAAACGAACAACATAAACGGAGAAAAGTATCCAATCTTTCTGTAAATGCAACACAGATACAACAAAAAAGAGAAGTAAAAACTAGAAGGAGAGGGGACACACTAGTGAAAGAAAACACAGCACAAACATATTTTGGATTCGATGAAGATCAAGCCTAAACATCAGTTATTGTCCCTAGCCTTTGATTACACAAGCCTTAGTGCAACGTTGTATCTCAACAGCGCCAAAGAAGCAAAACACTGAACAGACACAACTACACGGTTAAAAGTCACTACTCTTACAACTCTTCAGGTCAACTGAACAAGAATTTGGGCTTATTGAGCAATATGAACCTTACCTAGGTATAGAAAATACCGTATTCGAAGTTGAATGGCTTATCCAATCAATGTGTTTCCCTGGCTACTTTGAAAGGTGCATGAGCAAATGACTTCTTCATTTCCTTCTCTTTTTTACAACAAAACACATTGCTCTCTAGCTGATGTATACAGAATCTAATACAGCAACTACTATAAAGTAATCAACTTAGCATATAAGCATTTTCAGATACAATTGTCTGCATTAAGATTTCTTAAAATCTACTATAGATTAACAAAATAGAGCGCTAGAGTGATAAAAGACGTATAACGAATTTACTCTAATATCCACTCAAACCGTAGCCATTTTCTGAGTAAACATGTCGAATTTAAAAAAGTAATTGTTGTAAGCATAACACTTAGAAAGAGAACCCCTCCTCCTCCCCGTTTGGATTTATTTTTTGATTGGCCCCATTCTATTGTTGTCTACTTAACAAAGAAACCTGTAATTTATCAAATAGACGGGAATTATAGACACATAAGCAGATAGGCATCATGGAATGAATTGAGGAAGGTTCAACGTACTAAAAACCCTTCAGCTATACTTTCTATCTATTCATTTTCTGAGTAAATAGAGTGTTCCCTCTATCACCTTCTTTTTATTTACCTCTCTGCTGCATTGCTCTCCATCAACTGCACAAGAAAATTGGTAGTCACAGCCAATCGAACTCATTACATTATCAAAAGTGTTCGGTTCTTGAATCCCAAGAGATCTTTGCTCGTACACCCTCCCCTCCTCTCTCTCTCTTTCTTTCTTTTTTCCATAGTGTGAAATCATAGAATGTCAAGCTTGCTTACTTCTTTAGCTGTTATGGCTGTTACCTCTTTTGCCTCTGCACAAGAGACCGAGAAAAAGGAACCTATTGAAAGTAAGTTGAATATACGCGTATAAGACAATCCATTGCTCATCATCTTTTCTAGTCTCTGCTGACAATGTTATGGTCAGACGTAAGCAAAACATATGATAGTTGCATCGTATATTAATGTAAAATTCAGCTTTTGAAATAAGAGACTTTAAAATGGAATTTGTGTTATTGTCTGCTTTCCTCGTTTACCTTTTGGTTTGGTCTAAAGGAAAGTCTGCTAATTTGTCCAAGGCAAAAACATGGTATGTTATATGTCTATCTACAATGACTAACAAAACAATAGGTTAAATGGTCAAATTGATTATCTCGAAAGTCAATTTGCTCTTGTGGGTGATAAAAAATCCAATGAGAAGTCTGTATTGATGATGGATGGTCCTGCTGATTATCTTTTGTACACTTCTGGTAGACGCAATCTTCAATTTGGTCACTGGTGGCTTAAGGTAATTTGGTCAAAAGAAGATGGTGAAATTGATACAAAAAGAACTAGTTGAAACCTAGACATGATTTGTTGACACTTTTCACTACTAAAGTTCTCTCTTTGACTGGCTTTACAAAGGCTTCTGTTGATCATGTTGTAAGTAAAAGATACTTAAAAGTAGTAGTTGTTTCTTAAACAAATATGTAGGATTTGACATTACATTTGGATAAGGGATTGTCTGAAAAGTTTGTATTTGCTGTTATCAAAAAGGACTTGGCTACTGAACTTTCCAAGACTCGTTTTGATTTGGTAAGCAAAGGAGGTCATAAAATACGGCTAATGTTATGCAGAGACGTGCTGCTAAAATTGCTTCTAGCAAAGTACTTCCTACCAATCTTGTCATTTACTCTGAGACTCAGAAATTAGCTGATTTGATTTTATCTACTCAAGTGGGTGATATTATCTTCGAGCATGCTGATAGACTTGAATCCTTGGTCATTTCTAGTTTGCCTGCTGAAGAACCTGAATTGTAAGCAAAGTTTGGTTTATGCAGGATACTAAATCAGTAATAGGTATCAAACAGATAACTATGTTACTGTCTCTCTTTCATTTGTCATGCAAAATTCTGAAAAATTCGATCCTTTTGTTGAATTGGCTTGTAAAGTACCTGATGTTGTGAGCGAATTGAGACTTCCTGCTGATGTAATATAACCCCACGATAGTGAAATAATAACTCATACTTTCTATTTAGGTCAAGAACAAGATTAACAAAAACCGCGAAGAACTTGCCAAAGAATATCACAAGAAAGTAGCTGCTGACCGTGCTGAAGAACTGGCCAAGAAGAAGGCTGAAGCTAAACGTGTTGAAGAAGAACGTATCAAGAAATTGAGTCCTGCCGAACAACGTAAATGGGAAGAAAAAGAACGTCAACGTTCGATCAAGAAGCAACAAAAGAAGAAAAAGATCTAAGAGAGATCATGTACCATTTAATAATAATAATTAAAAAAAAGTTTGTAGTTTTTATCGCGTTTATTTGCTGTTACGGTTGAGTTGATCATTGGCAATTTCCCAAGCAGGCTTGTTTGTTTCGGCTGCTTCTCGCATAAGATCCATCATATGCTGACCCTTTTCACGATTAGCTGCTTTGACTTGTTCATATTCTCTTCTTAAAGCAGGATCAAGACGCTATAAAGTTAGACGAGATCATACAAACTGAAATTACCTTCTTCATCGTTTCTTCATCGGGCACGGTATATTTCATGAGGCCATAACCAGTACCGAGAATGGCTGTGATATAGACGAAAACCTTGAATTCGTTTGCCATATTTAATATAAGTTAAAAAGAGCAGTTTGACTACCGGGGTTAGATTTTTTTATACCAACATTTGTATGCTGAATTTCAAGTGAACAAGAAAAAAAAAATCATGCATGTCAATCAACCGAGTAATACTTGTTGGAACTCAGTTGAATAATGGCTCAAGCTTGCATGAAATGGCAAGTATGGCAGAATCAAAATGGTTCTTGTTAAACCATAAGCATATGATATCAAACTGATTTTTCAGAGATAACAAAATTCTCACTTGAAAGATGATATCACTATCTGATAACCACAGAATTGAAATTATACGAATGAATTAAGAAAGAAAACCGGCTTCTTTTTTTTTGGAAAAAAAAAATCTAGAAAGAATCCTGTTGAAGTATGCCGAATAGATTCACCTGCGTAATCATGCTGCAATTCACCGCAGATGATTAAAAACAGTTCAACATAGCAGCGGTAAATTTTTTGATCGGAAAAGAAAGACGCATGTACTGCTTTCATTTTATTGGACACTTTCTTACTCTGAACAATAACGCATTTTTTTTTTTTTTTAAAAAACACATGATAATTCAAACGATAAGACAAGTTGTCCTTCATTGCTATAACTGGTTTAAAAGAGATCAACTCGTATTACTTTCAGTATCAATTACTCTTTTTTCTTCTCTCTTAATTTTATTATTATTTTTTTTTCTTAGTTTCTTTATGCCACATCCTTTGGTAATAATTAGTTTAGAACATATCCAAACAATTAACACTTGTAGAACAAGACAACTTGGTTAGACAGTAGCGTAGAAGCATCATGGAAGCACCAGGAATGTCATTTGTCTTCTAAGCAACTTCCAACCCCACTTTTATCTAATTTATCATCCTTATTCGTCAATACTGTTGCTTATTTGAATCTGACAAAACAAGAAGCGTTGGTAAGGAAATTACCAGTTTTGGGCATTGCATTCATAATAACATGTTGCTCGAATTAGAATACCATTGGCTACTTTTTACATGAACAAGACGATTTAGTACATGCGCAATTGCTCGACTGCTTTATCAATAACCAACTATTAAACCCTATCAAAGACTCCATTCATCTCGGCATAAACCAACAATACAAGTTTAATCTATCAGGCGTTTTTATACCACTGACTAAATGCTATTCTCCATCTTGCCAATCAAGCCATATTACATGTTACTCGCCCTTGTGTCCAAACAAGCGTGTATCGAGTCCATTGCGGATGACAAACCAACACAGCTTCAAAGAGACATTGAATGAAGAAAAAGTATTTTGTAATGGTTATACAAACGCACAACAGGTACAAGAATCGTACAAGGTTACACACTAAAATAAGATGTAGAAAATTCCCAAAGACTGGATTGAAAGTATTCCTCACCATATCAGAGACTCAACCAACCGAAAAGAACTCAAACGACAAGCTGGAATTGCAGAACTCTTGTTGACAGAACAAAACTACTGTCATGATCTTGATATTCTAGATCAAGTCTATGCTATTCCTTTACTCGAATCAACCGAGATTATCAGCCATCCTTCCCGTCGACAAAGGTTTCACAATAATGTATTTGGTAACTATCTTGACATTGCACACTTACATCATGCATTCTATGACAAATTAACTTGTCATAATCGGCAATCCAGTTTCTTTGTTGGACGTATTGGTAGCTTGATTATGCAGCATGCAACAAGTTTGGTTGAGCCTTATATTCAGTATGTTTCCAACCACATTAAAGCAATTCACTGCATGACAATTGAACACAAACATAATGCACATTTCGCTCGCTTTCTAGAAGCGCAAAACGCAAAAAAATGCACTCGAAGGCTAGGACTTGTGCATTACCTTACCTCTCCCACATTCTGGATAGGCAAATTTAAACTCATTGTAGAAGCAATTCTCAAAAACACCATAGATGATGCAGACCAACTCTCACTCAAAGCATCCTTGGCTATTCTCCATGACACGCTGTGCCGTATGAACTGCTCGACATTCAATGTGTCTCCTCAAGATCTCCGTTTTGAAGAACTGCTGATCTCAATCTATGTACAGAGCCATCAACACTCAAATGAACTGCAACTATTAGCTTTACCCAAGCATAGCAAATTGATACGTGAAGAAGTGCTGTGGCTGGCTCGTTCTAGTCATCCTCTTTTACCTATGCTTTGCCATATGTTCTTATTTTCGCATGCTTTGGTACTGACGCATCCTCGGGTGATGAATGAAATAACAGAATACATTGTCATTCAGTGCATTCCTATTCGTTTTTTAGCCATTGATTCAAACACGACTACTTCCATGATACGGCGTCTCTCATTTGCCTCTACCTCTATGGTATCTACTCCACTCTACTTGATCAATACACTAAGGCAACAAAAGAGTATCAATTCAGAGGGCTCTGCTCAAGAAGGACGAGAGACCATCAACCGCCGAAGCTACAGTTGGTATCCACCAAACCGCAATGATAAATTACTCGCCAAAATCAAGCACAAGCCAGACCCGGCCATGCGAAAAACCCAGATCTTTCAAGTCAAGACCAAGTTTCTCAAGTTGAAAAACAGATGGAGTACAGGCGCTCTCTCTGTTCCTAGTTCGCCTACTCATGTTGAGGTACCGGTGCTAAGAAGAGATTCTGCACCTGCGCTGTTATTCCGAAGTGGGTCTAAAAAGACAAAGCCAGAAGGAACGTCCAGTCAACAACAGAGAAGAACACTCAAGATTTGCCATCTGGCATATCCAGACAACACGTTCAAGCTAGAATTCAATGCCAGATCGGACCGATTGGTTTGGGAGACTATGATTCGAGATATCATCGTGAATTTGGACAAGCAACACAAAGCATTCAATAAGAAAATGATTTGTAAGTCGTTGCCTGTTCAGAATGATACAAGCAATGGCAATGCAATTGAAAGAACAAAATGTGCTTGTGCATTTGGTATGCTTTTAACAGTTGTTATTTCGATGTTAGACTCATGTTTCTTGTAGTTTATGATCAGCATGAATATTTGGTGGCAATAGGAACACAGACTGGTATCTGGATAGGCTCACGCAATGGTTCAAGCGCGTTTGAGTTAGTGCTACCGAACCGTGATGTACGACAATTGGCCGTGATAGATGACAAGCTGATTGCCTTAATACAAGACAACAAAGACCAATTCTTAATAGCCTACAGTCTACATTCATTAAGACAGTGTTTCCTGCATCAACAACAAGATATAGACAGCTATGTCATTAAGCAATCCAATATCATTAGTTTTTCAGTAGGCAAGATCAGAAATCAACCGGTGATCATGTACCTTACACGACGACTAAAATCAACCTGGCTTGTGGTTGTTGTTCCTACTGTTGAAGACGCAGCATCAAAAAGCTGGTACAAGAAGTTTGGATCAGAATATAAAGTGACAGTAAAGAATCCTACCGAGTTGCATATCATAGCTGATGCTGTCTTTGTTCGATCAGAACAATATGGTATAGAGAGAATTGATGTTCTATGTGAGCCTTCTCTGTTTTTGCATTCGGCCGCCAATTGGGTCTACATTGGTGCAAATATAGCACTTATTCCACTCTCCCAACACTATCATCATTATGGTATTGTGTGTGATGGACAATGTGTATATACAGTAGCTTTATTCCAAAAGCTATCGACTAAACAACTGACGCCTAAAATCAAGTTTGAGTCTCAAGTAAACTATGTTGCTTTCATCAACCATTACTTGATTGGGTTCTCTTCTACAGTGATTGAAATCAGAAGTATTGATAAAGTAAGTAAAGCACTTACTTTGTTTAAATTAACCTCAGTCTTTAGTATGAATTAATTCAAGTAATCAAGGGAAATCGCATCAAGTTTATCTCTTCTACAAATGATCCTAGACAAGCACTTTTTTTTAGCATGACAAACTCAAAAAACCCACACATGACATCCATCTATCAACTTCAAATATCCATTTGAACTTTTTTTTATTTCTTGTTTAAAATAAATATGTATAATCTGGTATGCGGTAATGTAAGAGAATGCTATGTAATTGAATGAAAGTATTAGAGAGCATAAACCTCTTCTGTAGTTTCATGATCGTTTGGTTTACTTTGTCTATGATGTTGACTATTACTACTACTACTACTACTACTGCTGCTGCTGCTGTTGTTGTTGTTGTTGTTGTTGTTGTTGCTATGGGCATGAAAAGGTGTTGTTTCATTGTCACTGCCTTGTTCTTCTTCGTGTTGTGGTAGGCTCATCCAGCCATCATGTGTATGTTCTGAAGACTCAATAGGTGTCCACACAAGATAGACTAAAAACAGAATATAAATGGTGCCAATAACACTGATAGCAATAGCAGATGTTTGGTCCACAGCATGCTTGATAAACAATAAAATGTCGAATGCAATCACAATCAAAGTCAATGTCCAACAAGCAATTTGCATTAAAGTGGAAGGTCTAAATTCGTTTGACAAGACATGAGGTGATGTTGAAATTTTGATGATTGGAATAAGCACCGTGGGTAAGCACACACTATGACTGTGGTCAATCTTGTTTTGTTTTTTTTAATAAATGTTACCTTTGCAATACATTCAGCAACTCGCCCATGGTATCAAAATGATCTACAGCAAAAATAGCAACCAACATACCAGGAATAAGAGAAATACTACGTGTGGCTGCAACACGATGCCAATCTTTTTTAAAGATATTACCAAAAAACCCTTCTGTCACATATTGACCTGCAAGTGTGCCTGTCATCGTTGAACTTTGCCCAGCTATGGTGCGTGTTAAGAGGTCGTTTTATATATCTATCTATCTTACCAGCAAGCAAACCAGCAGCCCACAGATATTTAGCAGCAGAACCTAATGTGCCACTCAGGACTTCATCAGCATCGTCTAGCCCAGGGATTTTGATAGGTCCTGTCTGATCCGACTTGTGAAAGACTTGAGCAAACACAACCACAATTGCCAAATTAACAAAAAAGGAAACACTTAATGCTAATATGGACTCAATCGCAAAGTAGAAATTAGCTTCCTTCAATTTACGAATGGAGGGCTGTTGACCTAAATCCCGAGACATCACAAGTGCACTATGGAGAAACATATTGTGAGGCATGACAATGGCACCTAGCATGGCCACTGCTTGGAATTCAGCGTTTTTCGGTACATAGGGTATCACCACGCCTTGAATGATTTTGCTGACATCTGGCTTGGATTGAAACAACTCGATCCAAAAGCAGGCAGCCATCATGGTAATAAGGACCATAAAGAAGGCTTCAAGACGTCGTATACCGTATCGCTGAATCATCATAAAAGTGAACGTATCTGTGGCCGTCATGAGTACACCCGCCCATAAAGGAAGTCTGAGAAGGATGTGTAAGGCGACTGCTGTACCTACAATTTCTAAAATGTCGGCGCCAATGATAGCTAATTGTGCAAATGTCCACAAGACAATCGTCATGCGTTTTGAATAACTTTGTCGAATAAGCTGAGCGAGATGTTTGCCTGTGATTGTGCCTAGTCGAGCTGATAATAATTGAAAGAATAGGCCTAAAAAGAACATTAATAGGCATATCTTATGGTGGATACCATACCTATGACATGAGCCCAAAATAAGAGCCAAAGTAGACTGCAACCAGCTACAGCACCTGTTTGCAAATCAGATTCAAGATTTCCCGGATCAAGATAAGCAATGGACCTATTTTAAATCAGTTATGAATGCATAAATCAAAGTAACATACATTAGCCAGCCTACAAAGAATGAATAAAGATATTTTGAATATAGTATTGTTTACCTGGTCCCATATACTTCCATAACTTCTTAAAAGAGAACATAGATTTGGATACTGCTCCTGTATCAATTTCAGGCTTTATTTCAAGGTCTTGACCAAATAGACCATTGTTAGTATTATCGAGACTTGTTGTAGAAGAAACACTATTGTCGTTGCTGATACGACGTTTGTTACCCTTAGACAAGTGTTGCTCGTATTCTATCAAGTTCAAGACGTCCAAGTCTTCTTCTGAGACTCGTCTGGCATCATGAGGAACCATGATGTATCAATGAGACGAGTTGAATAAAAGAGAGAGAAAAAAGTGAAAAGCATTTTAATCTGATTTTCCCATCCAATAGAAACTAGGAGTGACGTCTTAGATGATAATTTCCATTCTTGACCCATTAGTGAAACTATGCTATAAGACTGATCAGCATAACAGGCCATTATAACTCTTTCTCTCTATTTTCACTAATTTAATACTAGAGACTATAGGCAGAAATGCAACTTTTAAGGGCTCTTTTTTTTTTTACTATAGAAAGTTTTAATTTGAGCATAAAAGAAAGAACAAGAGCATACGTTCCTGTTTTCTGAAGGGCATGAGATGTTTAACAATTGGTCAAAACCAAATACAGTAGTCAACAATAGTGAAAGATAGTTGTGTGAATGACTATCTTCAAACAAGCTATATTCTGGAATAGTACAACTTAAAGGTGACAGTTTACCCACTGTAAAGGATAATCATTTTTGTGTAAATGTGCTGATTCTGAAAGGAAATGAATTTAATCAAGATAAAAACTAAAGAGAATTATCTATCAGTTCGCTACTTTTTTTTTATTACACAAAGAAAACAGTAATTTATCAAATGCATGCAAATGATTCGTTTGTACTAAAAACATTACGGAATGAGTTTAAAGCTTATAGCTAATATACTTATGCAAAGCGTTCTTGATTTAAACAATAAATCTAAATCAACTACCGAATGATTATTTTAAACAATCAGATCTTGATAGTTTATTATGCTTTGTGTTACAATATCACTTGAAAAGCTTCTTATAAGAGCCCTCCCCCCTTTTTTTTATTTATTTATTTATGCACAAGACGAAAGCATGAACAAATACCTTATTGGATTGCTTTTAAGTTAGAACTATTGATAATAATATAAGAATCCTCGAAAGCTACATCTCTCTTCATAGCCTATAATGTCAACTTGTCGAAATAGGAGAGCAGTATTACTATCTGTTGGCTCTTTGTTTATTTTATTACACTATCAATTATGGTTAGCCAACAATTAGCATTACGACAATATTTATCAGCCGAATTGTACAAACGCAACATGTAACCATCAAAATTAAGGTAATGATGTAATCGTCGATCGCAACATATAAAAGAAAGAATAATGATGTCGTTGTCTAGTCTACTTCTATACCACTCCGTATGCCTAGCATTTTATCTCCAAACACTATACCAGACTCATTTAACGAGAAGCACATCATAACGAGAGATCATGTAGAAGGAAGCAGTGTAGATGAGACAGGTAGGATTGTTTTGAATGTATGATGTCTTTCTTATTAAATATAAACAGATTCAACCACAAGTACAACACCTTCACTCCTACCTGCCAATACTGATACAAAATCAGGATCGCCCAGCCAAAACTCTTCTGTTTCCTCCTCTTCTTCTCCTATCATCAACCATCCAAATTTATTGCGTGAAAAAGCTGAATTAAGCAAATCCAGGAATCGACCTTCTAACCTTGAGTCAGCTCGTATCAACACATCCATTCGTTTTCACGATACAAAAGACGAAAGTCGACCGAGTATTTTCCTTTTCATATTTGTCAATCCACTCTCGGGGGATTGCAAGGGTGAAGACTTGCTTAATCTTCCTTTCCAGCATTTTCGTCCAAGACGATTTCCTCAAGTTCAGGTAGAAATCCACAATATCTTGGACGAAAAAGATCGTGCGATGGGTATAGAAAGCATCCAGCTTGTAGAGACAATGGCCAAGTTTAATAAACTACCTCCGCTTGACGATAAGGAAGGCAAACAGAACAGTAGAATCAGTGAGACTGTAAGAACACGCCATATACATGTCTGGTCTGCAGGTGGCGATGGTACTGTCATGAGTGTATTTGAAATGCTTGTTCATCATCGTGTCGACCTCAATAGCCTGTTCTTTTCTTGTAAGTACCCTCGTGTAAACAAATCGTATCTAACTTGAATAGGCATCCCGTTTGGTACTGGCAATGATTTTAGTCAAGTCTTGGGCTGGGGAAGAACAATTCCTCACCCAAACATTCTAGGCAAAAAACTGCGATACTTTGAAGATTTAATTACTGAGAGACTAGAGAAATCAGAGGCTGCTCGTTTGGATATTTGGCAAGTCGAGATGACAGCACATACTTCGGGCTATGTCAGGCTAGCTGGCCCTCAACGCGATGATGGGCATGATGCAGTAGAAATCAATTCGCAGGAACCGCAACATACTGTTCCTCCAAGTATAGTTCGAAAGATGTGTAATTATATGTAAGTGAAGCCTAATAGATGATCGTATGCTCATTTTCTCTCTCCCTCTTAGGAGTATTGGTGTTCAAGGATATGTTGGAAGTGGCTTTGAGAAACATAGAGCAGGAAATCGCTGGGCCAACATGATGGTCTATGCTTCGGAAAGCGCCAAATGGCTCTTTTGGAGACGTTTCCCTTCTGTTACTCATTTCATAGAAAAGATCGTTTACAACAATGAAACGGTGCTTGTCTGTCCTCCTCCTTTAGAGAAAAATCAGCCTAATCAATCAGAAGAAAATGAAAATACCCCAAAGATGACAAGGAATCCTATTGACTTTGTTATTCAAAACATTCCTCATATTTGGTATGTCTAGATACAAAATATAGATTGTTCCTAACCATTTTAAAAAAAATCAGGGGCAGAGAAGTTGATTTGTGGGGAGAAGCAAAATACGGCCTCGAAGTTGTAGAGAATCGTTCAAAGTACACTGATTCTGAGAACTGGACACCACAATTAGCTAATGATGGTAAGATGGAAGTCATGTCCATTGAAAACACCTTTAGCTACCTCAAAAAATTAGCCAACTTCCGTCAGCATGTATCCCGCATTGGACAGTTCGAAACTCCTTTTGAAATAATCTTTCGCGAACCACAAGATACCAAAAAGAAAAAATCGTGGTGGCCATTCAGTCGAGATAACAAGTTTAAGCGAGACAACATTATCTGTATTATGTGTGATGGTGAATTCTATGTACTCAAGGATCCTAAATCTTTAAGGTTTAAGCGTTTTGCTCAGATTTGGACGCTTGGAAAGCTAGATGAAAGGACAAAAGGCAGACTGGTGCAAGATGAACAAATATTGAACGAACAAACTACAAACAGTATCTAATATCTCTGAATAGCTATAATCTTAATCATAATTAAAATTTCAAAAAATGACTCTTAATTATTCCTTTGTTTTTTACCATTTGATGTCATGAAACTGCGTCGTCTTTTCATAGATTTTAAAAATGGGATGTTGGCCATTTAGTTCAGTCAATAGCTATCCGTCTAGAAGACCATGACCAAATATCCATAATGAAAACTTCTCGCAACTTGAATGATGTGTGTGGCATTTACTCTCTGGATCAATCAAAATTAAACTCAAGTTAAATGTGCAATGAAGCAAGACATAATCTGAGATGATAGCGTGATGAACAAGGCAAGAAATAAATGGCTCGGAAGAAAAGCCTTAAAAGATGCCATACTGCATCAGAGTAATGGTATTTCTTCCAAAAAAAAAATCCTTCAATCACTTTCTTTAGGCACACATGTTTACAAATAAGTACATGTCATAAAGCCTGCACTGATACCTTTCCTTAAATAACGCTGCTTGTTTTTTCATCCTGCCCTTATAGATTAACATGGTAGCTTCAATCAATACACAATATCTTTTAGAAGCCGTGTTCTAAAGAAACAGAATATTTAGAAGAATGACGAAAAAAATGCATTTTCTATCCAATTCTAAGACGCAGTTGTATATAAAAACCCAACAAGATATACCTGTATCCACATACATAAGCCCTTTCTTCTTTGGTTTCTACAACAATGCATCTTTGTCACCTAGTTGCTATCGTCTTTGCTCTCTGCTATATTTCATGTAAGTGCTTATCTGTTCTATATACTCATTATTTATATTAAAATAGTGTATGAAGCTGCTCATATCACTAAGCGCCAGCTTGTTTCGCCCACAATAATAGACTGCGTGGAAGGACTTTGTATTCAGCAATCTTAGAAATGATGTGGACCAATCAACCGGTTTAAGCTTTCTTCCTGTAAAAGGATTAAGTGACGTTTTACGTAATTCAGATGAAGACTTGAAGGTTTATCAAGACATGTTTTGTGAACAAACTATTGCTTATGATGAAAGCAAAAAAGAAGAAGTAAAAGCCTTGTTAAAAAGTATTGAAGCAACAAACAAGTATATCTCAAGCATTTTACTTCAATTGGCATCGCGCTTCTAAATAGATTCATAACAGGCATTCAGCTTTCCATTGATAAGATCTCATCTTGCTTTTAAATAAAAGTTTATTAGCTATAATCTAAATATGTGCCTTATTGGCAGAGAGATAGTCTTTCGAAATGTAAGGCATTCTACAGAGCAAGATTTCAATGATAGGATTGAAACTAAGCTTAAAGTCAACCACGCTTATAAAACGGAACAGAAGTTCACTATTAAGAGATGCAAAATGTATAATAGTATCTGTCAATTGCTCAGGATTTATTCAGGAAGAGTTGTGTGTTCCATCAGTAAAATATATCCTCAAAGCTCTTGAATCAAAAACTTGCGAGAGGAAGGATAGAATTAATTCATCAAAATTGTATTGGCAGCTTGTCAAATAAGTATTTTTAAAAGAACAATACTTTCTTTCATTCAAGTGTTTAAAATATGTACAGTTTATTCCGAAGCGCTTCTCTTTTTTACAATAAGAACTCAGTATCCTTGAGTAATTCGTCGATTGAAGAATCCATAGGCATTGAAGGAGTGTCCAAAATGTCAAAGATATTTGGCATTTTGTCTAAATCTAGCATGACATCGTTATTGAATGGTGCGCCAGACATAGCAAGAATATCATCGATAGAAAGACTTGTGTTCTCGGAGAATGGTGTTGTTGGTGTTGTTGGTGTACTACTACTACTAGGTGTGCTGACAACATTTGGTATGTTATTATTGGATGGTATGCTGTTGATTGGTTGGTTGGTAGCCATACTAGTAGCAGAAGTAGATGGCGGTAAAGCCAAGTCAGGATATGTATGAGTTTTAGTTGGTATATGAGGATTGACACATTTCGATGGTGTAGGTGGCAATACAATGTCAAACTGCGACGACGCGGCGCGTTTTAAAGGAGTCGTTTGTAAAACCGGACTTTGTTTCTTTTCCATAGAAGGCTTTTTGGTCGAACTTTGCTTTTTTGATGGTTGGGTGCTTGGATCTAACATGCCAAATGAGATGGACGAAGTTAGATCTGACTGATTTTTGCCTTGAAACAGCTTGAAGAAGTCTGCATTCTGTGTTTCTATGATAAAAGAGCTTATGCTTTGTTGATTAAACGGAAAAGGACACTATATAAAAAATTAGATCAAGTTAGATCTCATTTCCTTACCTTTAATTGCGAACACATCTTTACATCACAGTCTACATTAACTGTAAATGTTTCTAGAGATGAGCCACAAAGAGAGCATATATCTCCTTGCTTTTCTTTTGAGGTTAGCATAACACAATCACAAAAAGAAGAGAGAGAAAAAAAAAGAAGCTACTTTTCTATAGCTTATGCTGCGTCATTTTTTTATGAATTGGAAAAAAAAACAAGCCACCATTACCCTCTTCGCGTTTCAAGCTCAGAATACAGATTAGAGTAGTTTAGTTAATTAATGGCATACTATCGTCCTGTCATTGAATCGATAAATCTTTTCCAGTAAATATACTTTTGGCATAAATATATTTAGTTTTTATATAACTAGTATTGGAAAAGGCAAGAGCAAAATGTCTCTATGGAAACTGATGAAGTGAAAAATGAAGATGCATAAAGAAATAATTAAAAGAAGGAAAATAATTCATAAAATGATAATGAAGATCAAAACTTAAAGAGCTACACATTCAAAATAGCTTTAACATTTAGGCAGAATTGAATAATACTGTTAAATCAAAATGTTGCCGAAGTGAAGGTTGAAAATGTGGTAAATGCTCTCAGAGCCGCGCTTTATTTTCCATACAAATATAGTGATAAAGTTTAAACCCCCTTTCCTTAAATCTTTCAAAGTAGCAAATAATGATAATATTCAGTTTTTTTCTTTTTTTTTCGGGTGGGCTATCTATCTAAAACAACTTTCGAATATTGTAAAACCAAGACTTAGGGTGGGTATTTACCACATTTTTAACCTTCGCTTCGGCAACATTTTGATTGCTGATTCTTAGAACAATCTTAGTTGCCTCTGCTCCGGCTTCCAATGTGGTAAGGTTCTTCGCAGAAAAAATTGAATTTGTGATTTGTGATTCCAGAGTGTGTGTCGTCTTTGGTTTGTAGCAAAATCGCTCGAAAATCTGAGTATTTCTACTCCACAGTTTCAATTGAGTTGCCCTTCTAGACTGCTTTGGTACTAGCTGCTGAAGGGATTGAATGTGGACCATATTTTTCAGTGTTAATGCCAGCTTTTTTCATAATTTCTTTGACCAATTTGCAACGGTTGCTTCGTTGGCTGAACAAATCTTGTGAGTATGTTCAATATAGGCTAAGAATAACATGCATTCCAACGATAAGTTGATTCTCAAAGGCAACGTTCTTTCCAGGAATATGTGTAGTGTTAGAGTGCATCCATTTTTGAACCTGGAATTTTTTGGGTTTTGAAAAATGGGACACAGTCTAACCTATCATTTTATTATTCGATTTAACCAGAAACGTTACGCTAACCAAAGTTTTTTCTTTTTTTATTATAAATATCTTTACTGTCTTTACTGTTTTTCTTTTCTCTCGGAATCTTTATTATACTTAAGAGAATTAGAAAAAGTAAGTAAATATCTACATTATATTTTTCTATTAACTCAATAAATCTATTATCAACTATCATAAATTATAGCTCAATTCTATCTCTAGCCATTTCCCGTATAATAGATTTGCCCAAATATTTCGATTAAAAGAGCAATTCTTAATTTCTATTGGCTGACAGAATGCCACTATGATGGGTAGCAATTCCTGCATACATGATAACATTCACCTAATTTTTTTTTTTTTTTTTTTTTTTTTTGGTTAAGAGAGTTTTTGGTTTTCACTTAGTTTCTGTGAGACTTGTAAAGCTTTGGGAACTCCTCGACGATTTTTGTTGCTTGTTCGAGGTTGGATTTTTCGCTATAAGCTTTGATGTATGTAATGCTTTTATTAGCATACCGGCGAAAAGTTAGAGGAAGCTCTTCAACTGGACTAACACTATAAAGAGAACTGTCGATATTTCTACCTAAGCTTCTGAAAGTGTAGTACGTTCTTAGCTGCTCCCTAGGATAATTTCGGCAGAAATTGCTACAGACAGAAACATCGGCCATATAGTCGCTATACTAGGAATTCATTTCTCGAGATTGCAATTTCCCATTAGGCCAGCCTTTGCCATGACGATCAACAAATTCCAAGGACAAACGCTCGCCTTCTTTTGTTTTTTCCCATGGTCAGCTTTATGTTGCCATGTCCAGAGTGAAAACCCCTCACTCAATAAAAATACTTACAGGACATCCTTCTGCATTCAAAAATTCAACTGACAACATAGTTTACAAAGTTTTTCAATAAAGATAACATAAAAAAATCTCTAACAAATTACTGGCATAAACATAGAAGCTAAGGTATGAACTAATATGGCAAATAGTCTATAAACACTATAGCACCAGCTATGATCTGGTCCGCTTCGCCTTGGAAAAAGCTTATAATTTATAAATTTATAAATTTTCATGCTTTAAAGAAATGTTATATAGACGTGGCTGGTGACAAATAATAAATGGTTATCGACCACTAGTTGTAGCACAAATTTTTCTTTTTGGTAATTTTTTGTTTCAAGTAGTAATACAGATATTCACTATTGGGTATAGGTGTACCATAGTTGAACAATTATTAAGGAGCTGATAGATGATGCCCAATAATATCCCTTCTTTTTTTTTCTTACTTTCACGTGAAATTGCTAATTGCTGTGAAAAGACTTGAGACCGAAATACAATATGTCAAGACAGCTATTTGGCTTCTGATAAATTGGAATGGACAGTATTTAAAGAGATATGTAGTTTTCAAGGAAGTACATCACTTTCTCGCTCTTTTTTTTTCTTTTTTATTTGCAATATGCAGAGTGTTTGAAACAACAACAAAAAAAATAGAATTGATCGGCATGTGTAACACAAGCATCAACCATACAACTGTTTCACCACTAAACAACAATGTACTGCATGGCCTGATCTAGGAAGCTAAGGGATAAAAGCAACAGAAAGAGGGAAAAGCAACAGATCATGGCAAAAAAAAGGTAACAATAAGAAGAAGCACTGATATCGCATTCAAATACGACTTTGTTGGTACGGTGTCTATTTGGAAAATCTTTATGGATTTTGTCGATACTCTGACACAAAGTTATGTGAAGACAACAGCCAGTTTCCGAATATGCATAAAAACAATTAGACAGACACACATATCTATGGCTTACCGCTTTATTTCTGCAGCTTTACAGAGAGCTTTTACAGTAAATATAAAACTCTTACCTATCAGAACCATACCTTACTAACTACAAAAGTGATGTGAACCTCCTTAGTAAAACGTTGCACAAAGTTTTTGTTATAAGATGTACTTTTCTCCCTTTTCTTACGAAAAGCCTTTTAATATTTTTATATCATCGAATCATCTAAGATGCTTGACAGTAAGTTGCATCTACAATATCTAAATGATAAGATAACTGACAGAAAAAGCATAGTAAGACAGCTCCACAAAAACTTTGTAACAAATGAAAAAGAACCATATTTGATTTTATTCGTTTACGAATATATCAATGAAATTAAGCAATCAGGGGAAGAGACGGCAAAACTACAAGAGCTATTGGTAACTCGACATAAAAACTATCTAAATCAAAACAGACCTGAAATCAAAAATGAGTTGTATGCTCATCTGGACCTTCCCATTTTCCGAGCTTTGATAAAAAAGAGAAAAAGAGAACATAACGATGTAGATACTGCGCCTGTCATTACTGCCGTTGATGATGTGTCTGGCGATACTTCTCTCTCTGCTTCGTCTTCCTCGACAATAACCTTTGATCGTAGGAACAGCTTCCCAACATCTGTACTATCATCCAGTGCAAATGTGAGTCTTATTCTTTATGCAGCAGAATCTGTGAGTAATAATTGATCTTTGTTTAACTAGGATGAGCTTGTCGATAAACTAAGAAGCATACGGGAGACAGCTCATAATTTGAGACAGCAAGAGAAAAAGCTGAATGCCGTGCAGAATCTGTAAGAAACAGAACGCGTTTATCTTATCATGCTATATCTAACCTAAATAGTAGATGCTTGAATCATATCTACTTTGTATCTCCTCGAAGAAGCAAGTCAGTTGGACAATATATGTCTTTCGATCAACATACTTCCTTGCTTTCTCTTGAAACTGTAGCACTCCCTAAGGTCCCTTCAAGTATTGACTCACTTGTGAAGAAACTTCTTTTTTTTTTTTTTTTTTTGCTTTACAAAAGCTAATTCTACATATTTGCACTAGGCTACCGCGAATCTAAATGCCTGTTATGAGGATGCTATGGATGAAATGGAGACGATAATTGCCAAAAGCATTACTGCATCAGATCGACAAAGCAAACAATATGCCAGTGCCCTGGGCTACATGTGAGTGACTGACACGACATATTATCGAGAGAAACTCATCTTTTTTATAGAATACCTAACATTCACCAATGGAGCAAAGAAGGCGTTGGTGAAATTATGTTTATTGAGAGCCATTTTACGCCCATGGTCACAAGTACATTGTGCAAGCTCAATCAGAATATCTTTTACTACGACAGATAAATCAAGGGCAATTGTTTTATTTTTTTCTAAACACGTTTTCTCTTTAGACAAGACAAGCTAGCAAATAATGGAGTTCAAAAACCTAATTTTGTTCTTTCTGTTTGCACTTCAGGAGGTGAAAAGCTCAACATATACCAAATGGAAGCAAAGACGCCCGAAGCCAACAAAGGGAACTTAGACTTTGTCAAGCTTGCCAACAACATGAAGGTTATGGTTGATGAACTCGTCTTTCGTGGTTGTCCTTTAGAAGCAGCTTGTTCATATGGTACTTTGATTCATGGTCATCAAATCATGAATTATAAGATGCGCCTTTACAAGGATGGTGTTTATCTTTTCCGTGAGATATCTGTTGGTCATCTTCCCGAGGCATATAATTATATAAATTTGCTTGTCAAGAATATGCAACCATTAGTGCTGTTTAAGGTAGCTATACTTGATTAATGCCTATGATATGATTACTTATGGTTTTTATTTGCTTTCTGGTTGATAGGAAGAAATTAAAAGTAAGGCAGACCTAATTAAATATTTTAATAGCCTGAGCTATCTAGCTGCTATCAACAGAAAAACAGGAGAAATAATGTTTTCAACATCTTTAAAACCAAAAAAAAAAGTCACAGCAAAAGAGTAAACACCGCCGATAAAACGCACTCATTGTCTGATATCTTGTTTCAAACCATTTATTTCGTTTATATATATATTCTTGCTATGTCAAATCAAACAACACAAAAACAAATTAATGCATTAGTAAAAGCTGCCATAAGTAGCGAGAGCACTCGCTCTCTTCAAGAAGTTATCAAAAATAAAACCATTGTTGATTACTTCAGATCAAAATCCAGCTCTTTCAATGATTTCAAGTCACGATTAATTGCAAAATATAAGAATACGTTGTTGAAACTGTATCCTGCAAATGTTGATGATACTTTATTGCATGTTTCTGATGAAAGATGGAAAAGCGTTTACCACCAAGTAAGTTTTCGTTCTTGTAGGTTCTAGTTTTCCTTAAACAAAACTACTAGATTGATGATGCCAATCTAGACCACCCTCGCCATGAACTCATAGCATGGTATTACAAAGAAGTAAGTATCAGACTTGTTTTTGACAATTCAATTTATCAGATAATCTATAGGTGCTTAAATCTGATGATTTAATGACATATAAATTGAGCATTGAAGACGAAATCTCAAGAATTGAAACTGAAGAAGCTACCACCCTGAAAGACCATCTAAACAAGCTTTCAGTTAGTTTATTGAAAAACTTCAATTCTTTGTCTTCATTACAAATGGGCGTTTTGAAGTATGTATATGTTACACACATAGACTTTGTCTATCCTCATCGATCAGTTTGGTTAGTATCAAATATCAAGAATTCTTCAAACAAGCCATTCCTCTTCATGTCTTCTTTGGCGATAACCAAGTTGAAGAAAGCGTTATAAGCCAAGAAGACAAAAACAGAATCGAACATGCTTTTGAAAAGATGAAGGAGGTAAGCTTATGTTTGTTTGTATTTGTTTATACATTGGCTGACATAATATGCATGTGCAGGTGCTTGTTAAAAAGCCAAAAATAATTGCATATGAAGCTGATGAAGGCAGCGTAGAAGAGCAAGTGGAGAATGTCATGAGCCACATGTAAGAATAAGCTAATCAATTTAAACAAGCAAAAACTAACCAGTTATAAGTTACAAGAGTCTGCGCATCTGGCAAAAGACAACAATTGTTTCAGAAGCCTTTTATGTAGATATTTATTTTGTCAATTGACTACATTTCAAACAATAAATAGGCTTGTTTATCAGTATGAAGAAGTCTGTAATTTATCAAACGCATCTGAATTGAAGCTCTAGAATGGATAACAATACCTTTGGCTGCAACCCCTAATAAACTTGATCTATTTTTACATAGAAGACTATGAGCCATTTGTCATACTCTATGATAGCGTTAATCAAAGCATTTTAATCTACATGAAAAAAATTGGAAGTATGCATAAAAGCATCAACGACAGATCAGCAGCCCGCTGGAGGCGCTAGCTGGAAGCCCCTTAAATACAAGATGAGAATGTTTATCAAAGCTTGCGTAGGTTCAAAAGATTCTTACCGGAGCCACGGCGTTTGTAGCTACTGATAACTCAAAAAAATATCCTTTGGATTTCAATTAAGATTTCAAAAATCGCCCCACAATATTTAGATACGACACAATTTTCTTGAATCATTGTTTGTTCTTTCAACAATTCTTGTTGACTAGTCCTCGGTAACAAATTCCAAGAGCCATGCTTAATTTTCCTTTTATAGATAGAATAATAACAACACAACTAAAAATATATGTAAATCTTCATTTTCCCTTTATACCTACAGAAGTCGTAGGAAAATGAATTTTTTTCAATATATAGGGAAGAAACACATAGAAAAGAAGTAATATATGGTTTAGTCAGTGGAAAGGACTTTTTAACTGGAAAAAAAAACAAGAAGGATGGATTGTTACCAAGCTTTCTTCCTTGTCTTCATCAACTGACGCATTGTGCAACACACTTTTCTAAAAACATACGACACTGTTTTTTGGAACATCATTTTGGCAAAAGGTGTATAAAAACATTTACTCTTTTTATAAGCACTACTTTGTGAAGCATTCTAGATCTTTTTTCTCTTTTTCTTTTCTTTTGTTGTCATTTCATAATGAAGCTTTATTCATTGTTACTATCTTGCTTTATCCTTAATGCATATGCCATTGTTCTTCAACCACTGCCTACACGCACAATAGAAGCAGGCAATGTGCTAACAAAAACAGCTGTAAATGATCTGCCTACTGCCATGCCTGCCACACATTATGTAAAGCGTGATGATATAGATGATGCACTTAGTCTTTATGAATTTTGGGCCGATGCATGCAATGATAATGCTAATAATGCCAAAATAGCTGTCTCTGGCCTGAATAACCTTTGGCAAACAGTAACCACGACTGTCTATTGCGGCAACAACAATGTGAAGACGGTAACAAGAACAGTAACTGCAAGAGCCACTTCTACTGTAACAAAAGGTGGAAGCGGTAGTAGTGGAAGCAATGGAAACAAAGGCAGTGGCTGTGATGATAAATGCTGGAGTGACTACTTGTGGCGTAAGTCTTGCTCTATTCTTTCTTTAGTTCTGATTTGTATATAGACACTTATGGTTATGGTATTTCGGTGGCACAAGGTTTTACTGGCATTGTTATGATGCTACTTGGTATCTACTTTTTGATCTTTGGCTTTAGTTTCTTTAGAGGAACATTGGCTGCTGTTGGCTTTGTCTTCTTTGGTAAGTTGTTCTTTGATCTGAAGTACGCAGCTCATCCATTCATTTAGCTCTCATGACTTGGATTGGTCTTGTTAATAATGAGCCCTTGTATGGATACCCTCATAATGATGTTGTATATATCTGTGTCAGTGCTGGCATTGGTATACTCGGTGCACTCTTGTGTATTTTCTTGTACGGTATCTCCATTTACTTTATTGGTGTAGATGCTGGCATCTTCCTTGCCGTCTTCATTCTTTCTTGGAAAGCAAGCCTTGTTATTGAAATTGTAAGGATTACAAATTTGGTAAACCAACTAATAACGTCATATAGAAAGTGGCCCGAGTTTGTTTTATTGCGGGTATGGGCATTGTGTTTGTCATCTTGATCATTCTGACTGAAAGTTACTCTGTTATCTTTTGCACTGCTTTTATTGGTGCCTATCTTTTCATTCTCGGCCTTGACTTGTTTATTCATACGGGCCTTATCAATGCCTTCCTATCGATCTTTGATGGAAATCCAAATCATACGAATGTTTATATTATTCGCACACCCGTGTATGTCATGCTTGCTTTTGTCATCTTCTTGACATTGGTTTCTTTTGGCTGGCAATACTACTGGAATGTGATGTCTAAAAAGAAAGAGTTTGGTGTCAATGTAGAGGAAAAGTGTATTGAGAAGAAATAGTTTTGTTAATTTATCACCCTGTGGTTTATTAAAACACATATCGCTTATTTAATGTCTAAACAGTATTGCATAAGTTAGCCTTGTCTTCATTCAAGTACTCCTCCAGAATAATTGCATTGTATTTATGGTGAATACCATCCATAGTATTGTTGCCCTTCAAGCTTAAAGGCACTATAGTAATTAAATGGATTAGCTTGTACCAAAATTTGCATTGAGTCACTTACAGAACCATAAAATTATGTTACTACTCATTACTTCTAGCCAATTGTCACGCCAACCATGATTGAATACATTTTTTCCATGTTGAGTAAATCCTTCAACTGGCTTGCTTCTTTGACCTTTTTTTCTGTCCTTATTCCAGCTTTGAAATTGTGTATTTTCGATAGTTGTTCTGTTGATTAAGACTAGCCAAATATGTGCTAAAGTAAATGGCCCGACGAGTAGTAACACAGTGCCTGATCTATATATTTGAAATAAACAAACTTGACCAACTTTCAGATCTATACTTACAGAACAACGATAGATAATGCTATGCTGTCAAATTCAGACTAGATAAGAAATAGAGAGATGTGAGAGACTCAGATCAACAGACTATGATTCATACAAATCCATGGTACTGAATAAACACTGCTAGTGAAGTTGAAAAAGTCCAAGCAGCAAATAATGTGACATAGATTAAAAACTGAATGTAGTATCTATAATTAAAGCTTCCAACACAACCATTTACCCTAACTATCTTTAGAATGTATGATGTTATACTACTGCTACTTACCACGGACAGTGGCTGATTTTTTTTAAAGAATAAGAGTTAGAATATTTCATAATATAGATGGGCTTACTGATCCATTTTCAAAACACATGCATTGCATACACGGCAATGATGTGTTCTATCTGGTTTCCATAGTTGACATGTTGAACACCACCTAGGATTTCTTAAAATAGAATCTGGTATCTGCAGTGATGTCTTGATGTCTTGTTCTGTGCTTTTTAGATTTGCTTCCTTAAAAGAAGCATCTTTCCACACCTGTATATAATAAGAGAGAATGCATTCTATACAAACTTACTTTGATAGGATTCCCTGGTTTAGTTGAAACTATTCTTGCATACGTTACAACAAAAAAGACGAAAAACAAATTAAAAAATACAAGGTACACAATGGCTTGTATCTCAAGTTCTAACTTTCTTAACAATACAACTGTTCAAACAAGTAAATATAACCATATAGATTCACAATAACTTACGAACAATTCTGTCCAGATATTCATAATAGATATAAACGACAAAACAACTCACAATCAAGATAGGTAACCATCCCCAATCACGGTGCTGACCTGGTTTTTTACCTTTTGGTAAAGGCATCGGGAAATCTGTTACAGCCGAAAATAAGAAGATGACAGGCCATAGTTTATTGTAGAGCGGAGAATATGTTTGACAGCAAAAGCAAACTGTGGTATCATCATGCTTGTCATTCTGTTGCTGACTTTTATTCTGAAAGCAGATCTTCAAAGGATGTTTTCCCACTTTTAAAAAGGTATTTGATAGTTTCTCTATCATTTTATACGAGGTATTGATTCTGGGTATGATGAAACGAGAGTAAAGAGAGAAAGGAGGAATATAATTTTTATTGAGGTTTAAATGCTAGCGGCAGTTAAACCCACGTGAACAGCAACTATCTCTCGATCAATTGGACGCATTGTTTGTTCGCTCAATACCATAGATCAAATCATTCGATACTGTGAATGCATGGTACTGATTAGGGAATGTCACTGGAGGTAGAGTTTAGTATAGTATATCAGAGTACATATTTTACCAGTAATCCTCTCAATCTTATCTTGTTGCAGTGCTGCTGTTGATTTGCTTAAAAGAGAAGCATCTGTCAACATTTGATAAGCGGCTGTAGCCGCATATTCTGTGTTGCTCGTAGACTACCAAAGTGTTTTAGTTATTCATATTGTCGAGGTCATATATAGTTTACTTGGACAACTTTGCCATCGTGAGCAGAAGCTACAAAAGAAGATAAATGTCCAGGAACACTTGACAAAGCTTCAAAAGTCGGGTCAGACATGGTCTAAGTTACGTATCAATGGTGTAATCTGAAAAGAGAGAGAGGAGAGAGGAAAAGTGACTTCTGTAGCGGGCATTTTCATGAAATGGTGTGACGTTGGTTTATTCAAGATATTGGTTTCTATGATAAATAATAAAAAGGATCTGATTATTGCTGTAGATATGGTTGACTGATAAAACACCTTTTATAAGAAAACTTTGACTTTTTTCATGAGATGCTTACAACTCTTTTGAAAGCAACACATCTATGCAAAAATAGTCACTTTTTGGAAACAATAAATGAAGAAATCTTTTCTTGCTTATTAGAAAAACATAGTATACTAAAAAAAAGTTGTCGTACAAGAGAAAGACTTCCCTTGTCTTTCAGGAAAGAGACTTGTTTATACTTTATTCTGAAATACCAAAAAAGACTAGAACAACGAAGTTCTACTTGGAAAAGTTATTCTTTGTAGAGAGAATGGAATTGAAAGAATAAATAAAGTGTTTTGAAAACGAAAGAAAACGAACTGTCCTTTTATTGTGCTATAAACAGAACTTTTATTCGGAATTTGCTATGGCAATTATTGCAATTGGCACAGATGAAAGGCCCCAAAAAATTTATTTTCAGTAGAAATTCTCGGATCATCGAGTTTTTCTTTTTCTTTTCTTTCTCTTTCTCTCTTTCGGCACAAAATGGCTTCTCCTACTTCAAGCACGCACTCAAATGATGTTCTGCCTTCAATTCCCGGTTGTGATACAGTGATAGACTTATTGTATGTGAAAATAAAAATTAAAAAAAGTGTCTTGTTGACGATTTTTTAGAGTACTCAAAGGGGACGAGTTGAAAAGCAAGGTCCTCAAGCTAGTTCAGGTGCTTTTTCCTGACTGGGCTAATGGTGTCCAGTCTATTCAGTTAGATCGTGTTAGTGGTGCGATGACAAAGTAAGGAAAAACACAGTATTTTTTTCTAAAGTCATTTTTTTCAATATTACAGTGCAGTTTTTTTCATCAACGCAGCCAATAGAGACCGTTTACTTATGAGAGTGTATGGTAATGGTGTAGATCAAATCATTGATCGAGAAAACGAGTTGGATTGGCTTGCTCGTTTATCTCATTTGAATATTGGACCAAGCCTTTTAGGTATTTTCGGAAATGGACGTTTTGAAGAATACTTGCCTTCAACAACACTTACAAGCGATGATATCCGAGACCCTGAAACATCAAAAGGTATTGCTTCTTGTCTCCGAGAATTACACGATATTGTTACAGTACATCCTTATCAACCCTCAAAACATAAGCTCGAGATTTGGAGCAACATTGATAAATGGTACAGTGTTGTCATGGGATTCTTACCTTCTTTGATGAAAAAAAGTGATGGATGGGATAAGGTATTAAATACGTTTAATTTGGAACTATTGTCATTTGAAATTCAAGAGTGTAAGGATGTTTTGAACAGCTTGAACTCGCCTATTGTTTTTGCTCACAACGATGTAAGTTGATTAATGTTTATGATCTAGATCAGTTGATGGATCATTTGAATAGACTCAGTATGGCAACGTGCTTCGACTAGCCAAGACAGGCGAATTAGTGGTTGTGGATTTCGAATATGCAGGCTATAACCCTCGAGGTTTTGATCTTGCCAACCATTTTTGTGAGTGGATGTATGATTATCACTCAGATGAACCTGCTTCTATGCAATTCGATAAATTCCCTACATATGAAGAACAAATCCGCTTTTTGACATCTTATATCCAAACACCTTCTAAATTCATTAATCCCGATATAAACGACCAAAATATCACACCTGAATCATTACAAAAAGAAGTAAGCATGTGGCTCATGGCCAGCCATCTTTCATGGGGCCTCTGGGGCTTGATTCAAGCAAACCAGAGTGAAATTGATTTCGACTACTTTTTGTTTTCACTACAAAGATTGAATGCTTTTAGACAAGAGTTTGCTAAATGGAAAGCATAAAACGCTTTCAATTTTTTTAAAAAAAAGTATACTAGTAATAGACTTCTATATAATAATAAACTTGTATTCTACAGTGCTTATAGACATAACAGATAACAAAGACACTTTCGTAAATGATTTTGTACTTTTATATCACTCAAGCACTTTTCATAATTTCATGATATAATAATCGATTCCATTCATCTACTGGACCAGGGATACAAGTATGTAAACAATCAACATCGGGTTTAGAATGCGCATCTCCTCTTTGATTAGACATGCCAGCAATATCAAACATATCAAAGCGCGGATCCTTTTCACTTTCTGAGTTAAGCAATTCCTTCCAAATTTGATCAAACTTGGGGAACAAGTGCCATTCATATTCTCCTGTTTGTCCTGAGGGAGTTAATGGATTTAATTGGGGCTCCCTAAACTGTGAACATCTTGCATGACCATAGGGTGTTGTTCTGATCCATACTTTTTGATGTGGTTGAAGGTTTTGCTGAAGATAGTCAAGTACGACAGCCATTGCTCTTTTAAAAGCTGCTAATAATTCTTCTTCCGATGCGTTAGGTCCCCAATGAATATTAGGATGCCAATGAGGTCCCTATTTACTTGTTAGAAGAGAATAACCAACTTGGCCAACTTACTGTGTTGATAACAATATAATCAAACTTGGACAAGGCATGCACCCTAAAATATACTTTAGTATGGTCCTGTAAACATCTGAAAGAAGCATACCATGGATAATTTTCTCCACTTCCCAACTGTGTGCCTACTGGTTCAAATGGACTGATCATTTTGAAATCATCAAGACGGATGAGATAGTCCGAGCGAATATATGCCATAGCTGCGGTTTCTTTATCCTCAGGTGCAAGTTGGTTTACTCTGATCTTGTTGTTTCCTCCATTTAAATCTGCGTTTATAGGGTGTCTATTGGGTAAATGGCTACCCAATAAGCAGCCTAGGCTTTCGTACTGTAATTGTGTGATAGAATCTCCCACGAAGAGAATGGGATGAGAAACCAAGTGGTTTGCTAGTCGCTCTGTATTCATTTCCAATAGTTTGCAAGAGTCTGGTTGCCATTTGTAATCCATACTAAAGTAAGTCAGTTTTAATTTTTTAGACAGGTAATTACATTTGTTTAGCTCTTATGAGCTCGCTCTCTCCAGGTCGACGGAAGCATCTATGTGCAAACTTTTTAATGCAATAATAGCCAGCCGCTTCGGCAATGTCTGTGCTTGTGAAAGGAGTTTCAAGCCGTAATGGATCATAAACCCATTTTCCTTGATTGAATGATTTAGAAGTGCAAAGAGTCGTGGCATTCTCGTCACTGACAAGCGGGCTTGTTAAGTCATCCATAAATCTCTGTGTAGTTGATATCACAGCTGGTTTGTTGTACACAGTGATCCAGAGAATAATGCATCCAAAAATGGAAGCTGCATAGGTGTATTTTGCTTTCCAAGTATCATTTTTTGTATTTGAAATTGCTATCATTGCTTTATTGTTAGACTCTCAAAGTCTTAGTATGGAAAAAAAATAAAGAAAAGAAAAAGAAGGGTCAAGAAGTGAGTGGAGAACAAAAATCAAATAGAGTTGAAGCATTTCTAGTTCCCTAAAGAAGTCATAGCGTCCAAGGTTTCTTTTCTTGTTATTAAAAAAAGGAAAAGAAAACAAGCCAATTATCACTTTTTGTAATTTAAAATGATTCTATTCTTTTTGATTGTATTTGAGCATTTCTTCTTGTCTCCTTAACTTTTTTCTTTACATGTTAGAATAGCAGTTTTCTTGTGTTTCCTCTCACCTAATAAAACTGTGCAACTAGTTTTCCAAACTCAACGTGATATAAACTGAAATGCCTTTAACTTTAGATAAATTACATTCAGAATGTCATCACCTTCTAAATCATAAGCAATAAACCAATTTAATTATTTTCAACCAAAGTTAAGGAAGGAGTAAATGAATACGCATCAACGATAGAAAATTTAATGAGTAAAGCATCCTGGTTTTAATTAAGACAAGAGAAACGATTCAAATCACAACAATAAAAACGTTTTTTATTCAAAGAATGTTTTGAAAAAAGGAATCAGTTTATCTGCTTTTTTCTTCTACTAATTCATTAGTACAAAAAAGAAATATCAAAGAAAGTTCTTGTTTTAGGGGAGTTTAGTATTCTTCAAGACGATCAAAGGGCTGGATTATACAAGAAACCAGTTTGTGACACATTTGCTCAGATCATGGGAACAAAGCTTTATTGAAAATGCTATCCTCTGAAAGCCAGAAAAGTTCTTTTTTGATCCCAGAAGTGTCGAATGTTATAGTATGCCTTACTCGCCTATATTCTGTCCATTGAATGGTGCATAAACAAGTACCCACTTACGGGTCAAAATCTGCTGAAAAAAGTCTCTTTTCTTCTAATTATAGCGTACAATGAGCTTTAAATGCAGATTTGAAGGCAATACTCAAATTGAGTTGACCTTTTCGTCTTAGTAAGCTCGCTTTCTTTTTGTTGGAAGTATCTAGAGATGGTCTTACCTAATTTCGGTTGGATCAGACCTACGTCGGGTCGTTCCAAAAAAAATTCTGACCGAGTTTTGATTTTATCTTCACCCTCGTGCTCTTCCTGAGTCAAAACATAAATTTCACAAAACTGCAAAGCCAATGGTACCATTCAATTGCTGGGTTATTCTGATAGTCAGGTTGTCGAGCAATGGCACATCAAAGATTGGCTTGTTTAAGCTGTGTTTTTAGCATTTTTGCTCTAGGTGTCATATAGAACTTGTTATCAATGAACTTACGAAAGCCATCGCATGCTAACCAGAGTGCTAAAGAACATAAAAAAGTAGAAACATGGTTGATTTACAATGTAAATGTAGGGCTAAATGGACATAGGACATACAGGATGGCTACCAGGGGAGATTGAAAACCGATTCAACTCAACTCTTCTCCCGCCGCATCTGAAATCAAGCGTTTGCTGAGAACTGCATAAAAACGCAGCTATTGGGCTTTGGTGCAGTGACAAAAGCTGCAGATCTTTACTTTCCGAGTCTACCAAAATGTCAGAATTCTAGCAACTTTTCTGCCAAAACATTGAGAGAATAGGCAAAGACGTTTGGAAGGTTTTTTGCTCATATTTCGTCACGTTTGTAGTACAGTTAACAAACGAGTTCTACTATCAGAGACATTCTTCGTCTCTCAAAGTCCAAAAGATGCTCAGGATGTCGGAGAATGAAATAATTCTCTCGAGGGAATACCTATCGACAAAGGCAGTTTTTGGCCATTTTGGACATATCCTTATTTTCAGTCTACATCGACTGCAAAAGAGTCATGTATGTTATTAAGCAACTCCTAATGAGTTTTAGTGCATCTTTAAACAGGCTTAAAACTGCATTTATATGTTTAAGAAAACGAGCAAGTTTGACGCTCATGTTTGCATAATGTCGAGTAACACAATCTTTGTCCATAAACTTGAGGGTCTTTTCCAAACTATTTCGAGATATTCGTTAATGCTAGACTATCTGCTTATGTTACATCTAGGCTCTTTTTCTCTTGATTCATGTTAAATTTTTCAATTCAACAATTGCATTAATTTATTCGAGTTTATTCACTCGATACATTCGAACTTATGATATTTTTTTTTTCAAGGATCTAAACCTCTTTTTATGCTCTTTCTATTTGTATTGCACTGGGTACTTTTGCTTTTCGGAGTGGAATATGATAGATGCCTCATCCGTAACCCAGCTTGGACTGAATAAAGTTCGTTATACCTGGAATTCCTACCATCTACACAGAGCATCATCAGCTTCAGCTAGCTTGCACTGCAGTTGAACAGCTTTATCAATCTTTCCTTCTTCGTATAACCTCTGGATCTCAACACAAAGGTCAAGGAAAACATTTCCTGATTTAGCTATCAAACTAACAGCGCCAATAAACAATTTAGGCAGAAAGAATTTTGTTGAGACGTCTAACTATGCAGACTCTATACAGCATCGGTTTAATAATACATAGAGTATCCTTTTTCTTTTACCTTTGGGGTTGATTCTGTGAATTAAAGTAGTCATTTTACCAACATCTCCATCTGTATCTTTGATGCCGATTATGTTTTGATGCTTGGATAACTCAACAAGCACACTAGTGCTGATATCAATGCCTTGGAAAACATTAGAAAAATAGTAAATAACAATAGGTAAAAAAGACCCGCTTGCGTCTTTAAAATAGAATTCAAACAATTACACATCATCAATCATAGAGCGATAGTAAGAAGGAGACAAGGCCAAGGCAAAATTGGGACCAAATGCCGAAGCTTGTTTAGTAAAAGCAATGGTTGCTCTTGCACTTTGGACTAAAGATCCTGCAATTACCTTGAGATTCGTATGATACTTTTTCACTGAGTCAACATATTGTTTGATAACATGGCATCGTTCTTCCTCTGTCAAGTTAACAGCCTCGCCCATAGATCCAAGTACGACAATATCTGAGATACCAGAGTTGGAAAGAAACTTAATATGTAAATCAGATGCTTCAAAATCTATGTCCTCGTTTTCCTTGAGAAATGTAGGCGCAGGAAAAAAGATGCCACTTCCCAAGGAAGCCAAGAGAGTTGTTGCGAAAATAAAAACAGATAATGCTTTTTATACTGGTTACAAGTAAGAATATTCTTACATTAGTAAAATTTTATTCAATTAGGCTTTCTATACACTGCCTTTATGCCAGACATCAAATATTTAGCTTTTTCTATATCAGTCTTGAAAGTCTTGTTTGATTCTAAGGTTTGATAAGTGTATACTGCATCTCATTATGAGTTTAGACCATATATGCTCTTACTGTAGACAATTTAGTGATAGAAGTACACTGTTAAGGCCTTATGAGCACAATATAGTGTACGCTTCATATAAAATCTTGATACTAGACAATTTGACCTTGATCCAATAAAGAAAACAAAATTTCAAATTCAACTTGAAAATTAAGGTGCTACAAACTAATTAATAGACCTTTTTCTATTGTTAACTTATACTTGTTATGGTTCAAGACGAATCACCTTCATCAGCTTTAAAAGAAACACTTGCGAATAGTGATAAAAATGTTAACAAAACACTGTTAAAAGAAAAGCCCTCTCGGTGGAATACAAAAGGTACGCATAACAACACCTTTTGAATACAAAAAGGGACTTACTGTTTTACAGAGTTTTACTTTTATTATGCTTGCTTTTGTATTGTTGTGCCTTATATGCTCAAAGTGACATATAACCTCAGTAAAAGTGAGTTCTCGCTTAAAAAGATACGCGTCAAATGAAACACACACACTTATTTTCATTAGAAACACACCCAAATTATCCAGAATATGCAGATTTACTTTCAGAAGGATGGATTTTTGGACGTCAAGTGGTATGCGAAGCGGTTGAATATCATAAAAATATAGATTGACATTGTCAAAAGGATAATAGTGATGCTCAATATGGACAATTTCGAGATAATATACCCAAGCTTGTGCCGCTTGTTCTTGTACATCTTATGTTTAACAAGGCCAATCGAAGCTTTCATTGGATACAGTCCAATTTAAAGTTTTCGTTAATTACTTCAATGATTATCGTATTTCTGTTTCATGGCTCTAGTGCATTCAAGATCCTTTTTTTGATTTCTGCAAGTTTTAGCATTGGTCACTTTTTTAAAGGATCTAGCTTAAATCCAATCTTAACATGGTGCTTTAACTTGTTAGTGCTTTTTGTGAACGAATATTGTGATGGATATCGCTACAGTAACATGTTTGGAGCTTCATGGCAATGGCTGGATCAATGGGAAGGATTTCAGGCACGATGGCATATTTTGTTCAACTTTGCCATTTTGCGATTAATCTCGTTTAATATGGATTATTATTGGGCATGCAATAGCCAGCAATCTGTCGAGAACCACCAAGCACCACCCAAATCTGAAAAGGATCGCATTAGCTACCCCTTGATGAATAGTGATTATAGCTACTTCAACTTTTTGACGTACGTTCTCTATACACCTTTACTTTTATGTGGACCTATCATCACTTTTAATGATTTTATTTCTCAGGTAAGAAACTGCTTTTGTTAGCAAGGTTTGATTGAAGATGCCATAGTTCAAATTCCCTTCAAGAAACTTTACAAAGAACTATGTAGCAATCTATGCTGCTCGACTTGTAGCTGTCATCTTAGTCATGGAAGTTACTCTTCATTATCTCTATGTAGTTGCTATAAGCAAAAGAAAAGCATGGGCTGGTGATTCGCCACTAGAAATCAGTATGATTGGTTACTTCAACTTGGTGATTATCTGGATGAAGCTCTTGATTCCTTGGCGATTCTTCAGACTATGGTCATTGGCAGATGGTGTATGGGTTGATGAAAATATGGTTCGTTGCATGAGTAACAATTTTTCAGCCCAAAGGTTTTGGAAAAGTTGGCATCGCACATTCAATCGCTGGACGATTCGTTATATCTATATTCCTCTCGGTGGATCCAAGTACATAGCATACAATATGTGGATTGTGTTTACTTTTGTTGCTTTATGGCATGATATTGAACTCAAACTATTAGCCTGGGGCTGGTTGATTTGTTTGTTTTTGCTACCAGAGATAATTGTGTCCAGATTGTTTAGCGAGAAAAAGGTAAGATTTGGATAAAAAAAACCATGGATGCTCACTCGTATACTCAGTTTGGTGATAAGCCTTACTATCGCTTTGTCTGTGGACTCGGCGCCGTAGGCAATATTTTGATGATGATGATCGCTAACCTTGTTGGTTTTGCTGTTGGTGTTGATGGTATGAAAGAAATGCTGACAAAAGTGTTTGCTACTGCCAGTGGTCTTTCTTTTTTGCTCTCTGTCTCTATTTGTTTGTTTATTGCAGTCCAAATTATGTTCGAGATTCGTGAATCCGAAAAAAGAAGAGGTGACTCGAAATGGAAAATGTAATAAATAGTCTTGAGTACTTTTATTTTATCAAAGTCTTTATTAAATTGCTTGAATCTTCAATGATTACCTGTCAATATCTATAAATAGTTAAAGGCTTCTAGTAAATAAAAAAAAATTATACTCTGTTGTCAATAAGCATGTAAACTTAGTCAAGGCTTTTTAATTAGAGATGTTTGATGACTTGCAGCGTTGATTCATGGGTTGATGGAAACAAAAGCATTTATCATTGCATATCTGATCCTTGTTATACACTGGCTCGAAATAAAAACTAGCCCAGTTTTTTGTCATTCGGACTTAACAACAGAGGTATCATGATCCAAGAACCCTTTAATATGCCAAGATGATACTTAAACGCGCTCAGTTTTTTGTAGATGATTTGTTGAGATGTTTACCTTAAGTTAATCTGATTTAGTACTTGGTGGTACAGTATTTGGCATCAATGACAGTTTAGTATTGGCTGGTCATATTGTGTAGTAGTATGAATATAATGATTTGACAAGATAGTGGTATTCAACCACCTCCTCGTATCCGTGTAAGTGTTTTACATATACTGTTACAAATCCATCACCCTTCTATTCTCTGTTCTTTATTATAATCTAATATAAGTAACAATATAGATATTATTCATGTATCTCATGCTTTGCTTAATTATTTACGAAAAAAAACAACGCATAACAAACTACCATTCCAAGGTACTAATAGAGCAACAGAACACAACTGATTCATATACGCTAAACGAAATATGGACATAGCTTAAGACAAACATAATCAATATACACATTTTTTTTATTTGTACAAAAGAGTTAAGAGACATTAGCTATTGAGAGCAATACTCTTTCTTTTTTTTGTCTTCTTCCTTCATTTACAATTCACCACAGCTCTCGATAACAATCTTGGCCTTAGTGTTACCAGAGTTTGTGCCATAAGTTTCAACCTTCTTTACAACGTTCATACTACAAAGAAAGGAATTAGCATTTTTGCACGAATAAACTTTATCAACTTACCCTTCAACAACTTTGCCAAAGACAACATGCTTACCATCCAACCAAGGGCATGGAACAGTAGTGATAAAGAACTGCGAACCATTAGTGTTAGGACCAGCATTAGCCATAGACAACAAGCCTGGAACAGTATGCTTGATATTAAAATTTTCATCTTTGAACTTTTCACCTAAAAACTTGTCAGATGTGTTATATCAACAAAAGTAGTCTTACCATAAATAGATTTACCACCAGTGCCGTTTTGATTAGTGAAATCACCACCTTGGAGCATAAATTGAGGAATAACACGGTGGAAAGGACAACCCTTGTAGCCAAAACCAGGTTCACCAGTACAGAGAGCACGGAAGTTTTCAGCAGTCTTGGGTACTTGGTCCTTGAACAACTCAAAGACAATGCGCTACACAAAAGAAATTAAATATATCTTGTCTTCGCATGATTCTAGACATTTTATACTTACGCCAGCAGGTTGACCATCAATGGCAATGTCAAAATAAGTCTTTTGACAAAAAGTTAAATATCACTTTACTTTCTTCCTCTTCCATTTTTTATTTAATTACCTTAGGGTTAGTCATGTTAAATAAATATCAATAATGATTAGAGAAAAGAAAAAACGAAGCTAATTTATATTCGTAAGAAAAGAAGGGTAACCATCTTTTTTGGAGTATCGGAGTCGGCACCTCAATGCGACTATTATGCAACCCGTATTTCTTATTTGTGAAACTTACTCACTGTGCTAATAAACATTACCTCATTGGGTTCCCTCCTTCAAAAACATTTCAGCGCCAAACTTTATTTTATTAGTTTGCCATTCACAGCACTTGCTTCTCACACGTATACACATCTCATTTATGGGTAGTTTAAGAAATGTTTAAAAGTAAACAGAGCAAAGAGACGCGTTGAATGAAACGTATGCAAAACCCCTTTACAATAAATTATCTAAAACGCGTAAAATAGAAAACAAGGGTTCAGATTACAGATGAACAAGGCATTTCTTTATTAGTAATCTGAAAGTGGTAGTCTCCACTCATTAAGACAAGTTCGCTTTATTTGCTCTTGATCATACAAAGGCGCAGCATCCCTATGACATTAAGATTAGCCTGAATACCTCTAGAGCACTACTTACGGATTCTCAATAAAAAAGATCAATCGTTCAAGTGCTTCTGTTTGTTTCATAGCAAATTTCATATTGCGCATTTTGATGTAATCAATAAAGTCTTCGTCTTTTTCCAAGATGTCACGCGAAAAGAGTGAAGGACAAGTAGTATCTTTGTTCATATCCAACAGCGTTGAAACAAGTGCTGTTGGGTGATCATAAAGCAATCCTTTGCATACGACGTATCTTTCAGCATTCGCTGGTCGGCTGCTTAAGGGCTTAGTGATACAAATCTCATCAAACAATTGATACAACAACCAAACCAAGCTTGCTGTACATGTAGACAACATATCAAAAAACTTGCAGACAAAATGCCCACCCTTTTTCAATGTACACAGCATGGTAATAATTTCACATAACAGCAACTGTTGAACCAAAGTTTCTTGTTGTCCTTCATTCCCAGAGAAATCAAATCCACCATCAGCAACAGCCAAAAATACACCTTTTCCACCTGTTTCTTTCAGGACAGCTGATTCAAATGCTCTGATGTTCTCTTGTTTGTATAGATCACCAGTGCCATCTGGGCCATCTACAGTGGTCAAACTATGGCGTGGAATATCTTCTCTAAATTTCTCTGTATGCCAATTGACTTCTTCGTCTCCCTTCAGAGTGATACCAAATCCATGAGCGGAACTTCCCCAGCTATGAACTCTCCAAAGGAGATACTCAGAGAATCCACCTGGTCCACCACAAATATCAGCAAAAGTAAATTCATCTCTACTATTCTCTGTTACTGTCAGTCCAAATGTAGCATCTAAAGCAGCCATTTTAGTAGCTGCTCTATTCATAAAGATGCTGTCTCCTATTCTCTCAAAAGGGTTGCTTTTGGATCTAGCTCTTGATCGCTGCTCAGCAGAAACATGTCGAATTTTCTCCTAACGACACATTAAGATCAAGATGAAGCATAAAAATCTATTCTTACTCTTAGTTGATTCACCCTATCTACCAAACCTTTCGAGCTTAAGAATTCGTAGTCAATTTCAGAAGCATTTTTCTTTATAACCGAAACAAGGCTGTCAACTGAAAGTCTCTTTTCACACTTTAAGAAATCAGTACTTGTACGCATATCTAATGGTTTAGGCTTGACTGGTGCTGCTTGATTATAGGATAATGGGGGAGCTCTTTGTTGACTTGGTGGACGTTGTTCGGCGTGCTGAGGATAAGGTTGTCTTGAACGATCGTGATACATGTCTTGAGCTGGATAATTTGACGCGTTTTGACTCCCATATTGACTTCTGTATTGCTGATTTGTGGCATGATGCCTTTTATCTTGGCGAGCTTGATCATGATGCTCATAAGGAGAGTATCTATGATGAGCTTGACGTTGTAAAGAAGGATTGTACCGAGAGAGATCGTTATTACGCTGCTGTTGACGACGTTGATCTCTTAATGAAGGAGGTGGAATTCCAGATCGAACAAGCGTTGCGCGATAGTCGGGATCATTGTCTATTGCTTATATTAGAGTTCTGTAGCTTGTTCGTTAGTCAATTACCAGAATAAAGGTCGTCCATCGCGTTTAATCAATAGAGAGAGAAAAGTAGGATTGCTTTTTTACTCTTCAAAAATATGATTCATTTAGCCTCCGCTTCATCTTATTTGGGTTTTTGTGGATAGAAGACCTGACCATCATCATTTAGAACTTCCTACAAATAACAAAGGTGTCTGATGAGGCAATCATTATCATATTTATGGGATGAATGCATATATTTCCTTGAATTTGAGCCAGATACAAGGAAATACATATTTAATCATGAGCTTCTCCAAAACCATATCGCAGAAGGCAGGTAGCAGTACGCATGCCCCTTTTTTTTTAGTCTACATAATAGTACGTAATACATCTTTTATGCAAAAATACCTGTTAAGCCGGTAATAAATTTATAGCACTTTATCGTTACAGTTCTTCAAGTTACATTTGTGAACAGTTATCACTTTTAGATAGACATCCAATACATTACACTTACAAATAATTGGATAGAACTAAAAAACCTCTTTCTTTTCTGTGCTGTTCTCTATATCATGAAGTCCCAAAGAACATAACGAAAAAAAAATAACTTGGCCAAGCATAAATAAATTTCATTTTACAAGGTCATAATTACAGGCTGAAAACTTTCAAAACATGTACAGCTGAGTTAGTGATATATGGAGATAACTAGGGGCTTTCTCAAGATTATACGTCAATAGATTTATTCAGACATAAAAGTGATATTTTACCTTCTAAGCTAAATGTATCTTTACCAGAAAAAGTGAGTAATCAAATTAGGGCTATCGATATATACTTCTTTGTATCATATTCAATACGTACGCTAAAGGTCACCGCGTAATAAAAGTAAATTTCCTTCAGTTCGACGTTTATCATGAACATACATTTTTTTCTTTAATGTAAAGTATCAAGTGCCTCTTTAACAAAGCATTTGTTTGCGAACTAACAATTTGGTATTTCACAGGCAATTCGTGTGCAGAGACTCCCAGAAAATAGACAAATCTTTGCCTTTTTCTACATTATAAATGCATGATAAAGCCTATTTATGCACATTCAAACTATCCCAGATACTTACAAACCGTGTTTACTAACATCCACGGTACCTTTGGAGTTGATTTGGACAAAAAAAAAGCGACTTGTACAAAAATGGCCAAAATGGCCAAAATAACCTTTCGACCAAAGGATACTACTCATGGAAATATTCTACCTGACAACTCTTTGAGCTTTTTTTGAGGCTATAAGATGAAAAATGCAGCTGTCGACATGTTTAAGTACTCAAAATGAGCGCTAAAAGTCACAGTCTCTGATAGTAAAACTCGTTTGCTAACTGTACTACAAACGTGACGAAATATGAGCAAAAAGCCTTCCAAACGTTTTTGCCTATTCTCTCAATGTTTTGGCAGAAAAGTTGCTAGAATTCTGACATTTCGGTAGACTCGGAAAGTAAAGATCTGCAGCTTTTGTCACTGCACCAAAGCCCAATAGCTGCGTTTTTATGCAGTTCTCAGCAAACGCTTGATTTCAGATGCGGCGGGAGAAGAGTTGAGTTGAATCGGTTTTCAATCTCCCCTGGTAGCCATCCTGTATGTCCTATGTCCATTTAGCCCTACATTTACATTGTAAATCAACCATGTTTCTACTTTTTTATGTTCTTTAGCACTCTGGTTAGCATGCGATGGCTTTCGTAAGTTCATTGATAACAAGTTCTATATGACACCTAGAGCAAAAATGCTAAAAACACAGCTTAAACAAGCCAATCTTTGATGTGCCATTGCTCGACAACCTGACTATCAGAATAACCCAGCAATTGAATGGTACCATTGGCTTTGCAGTTTTGTGAAATTTATGTTTTGACTCAGGAAGAGCACGAGGGTGAAGATAAAATCAAAACTCGGTCAGAATTTTTTTTGGAACGACCCGACGTAGGTCTGATCCAACCGAAATTAGGTAAGACCATCTCTAGATACTTCCAACAAAAAGAAAGCGAGCTTACTAAGACGAAAAGGTCAACTCAATTTGAGTATTGCCTTCAAATCTGCATTTAAAGCTCATTGTACGCTATAATTAGAAGAAAAGAGACTTTTTTCAGCAGATTTTGACCCGTAAGTGGGTACTTGTTTATGCACCATTCAATGGACAGAATATAGGCGAGTAAGGCATACTATAACATTCGACACTTTTGAGGTTAAAGAGAGTAGATTCAGACATGATAAGCAAACTCCATTCTTTTTTACGAAAATCAAGGTAATTAATGGCATTAAATGTAGAAGAGTGATTTTGTTTAAAATGTGCTATATGAAGGTCTTATTTGGGCTAGTTGTTGATGATCAAACACCGAATGATAACGGCGGTCGCTTAACTTTTTTTTTCTTGGCATTGCCCTTGTAAGAATGTCTGACATTGCCTGAAACTCCAAGAAAAAAAAAAGGTAATTTAAAAGACTTTCATTGGCCAAGAGACAAGACTCTACCAGTCAAAAAGAAAGTATACGGCTCTTCAACGGGTATTATGTTCTTCCGTTACACTCTTTGAAGATCCATTGCCGATCGACAACCTGTTCTATTTACGTCAGGAGATCTCCAACATTAATACATTGCCTTATTATTGGCAATGTATCTCTAGAAGTCTTGGAATTATTCTGAGTTTGTCGATAGAAAGGATATGATATGCATTGTTTCTTCAGTTGACAGCCAGCGAATAACCTTTTTTGGGCATATGACGACAAAAATCAACTCCACTGAATCAAATACAAATGGACATTGAAAAAAAAACAATTTTCTTCTTCTTTAACTAGTTTATATTATGACCGAAAGAGTACTCCATACACCTCCTCCTGAAGAACTATCAAGTCATACTCATATTGAATATGCAAAAAAGGCTCGACATGGCCATGGTAAAGATGTCACTGACACTCATAACATCAGACAAGTAGCAGGTTGTTTGCCTATTGATCCACTTTCTAAGCGAGTTGTCCTGATTTCTTCTAGCAAAAACCCTGATAACTGGGTCATCGTAAGTTTGATTTCTTCGCTTCCCAATTTTAGTAACCTGTATTATTTTTTTTTGTTAGCCAAAGGGCGGTTGGGAAGTAGACGAGACACAAGAGCATGCTGCACTCCGAGAGACTTGGGAAGAAGGAGGCATTAAGGGCCGTATTGTTCGACATCTCGGCGTGTTTGTTGAGCGTAATAAAAAGAAGATCAAGGCTCATCACTGGATCTATGAAATGGAGATTGATGAGATTGCTAAAAAATATCCTGAACGCAAAAAAAGAGATCGTAGATGGTTTACTTATGATGAAGCCTTAATAGCCACACAAAACAACCGTTACATTCAAGAAGCTATTCGTTTATCTAGTATCAACCCCGACTATCAAGACACACCTAGATCATCTTTTGAAAAAGAAGGAAACACTGGTTTGCCCCAAATTGATACATCCCAACTCAAGGTTTCAAAGACAGACTCTAACGGTGAAAGATCAAAAGAAGCCTTTCAAGCATTACAAGAATTGATGGAGAATGCCTCTATTTCTTGATCTTGATACCAATTTCATTGCTTTGTAAATAAACACATTCTATTATAAACTATTTACAATACGGTTTATCGTTTCTCTTTAACTAGATATTTAAGGAAAACAAAAGACATGGTTAGAGTGGCAAGTACAAACCATATTAATCGAATGACATCTGCCCAAAAGGCTTGTCCATTAAAGCCAAATCTAGCTAATATGATAGGACCAGGTATCTGAATATCGGCAATTGATTTGTCTCTCAAGGTAATGTCTTTAAGTTCATTTACAATAAGGGCTTCGAAACCATAGTTAAAGAAGCTTAAATGTTGAAGCCAGCTAGACAGAGATCAATACATACACTCTGCATGGTGCACTTACCTTAACATGGATGGGATATGATCTAAGCAAGAACAGTCAGCATTCTTCTGCTAGTTTGTCTCCCTTACCTTTGTTCAACAAAAATCCACCGAATAGCATAGAGAACAAAATCACCAAGTTGGCCAACAGATTGGCTACAGACACACTCGTGAACGCAGTAGCAAAGCATAAACATAGACCTGCTGCTGCTAAGTTGAACAAGACAAGGACCAACAAGAACTTGCCAAAGATCACAAAAGATGTATTTAATCCAATCATATAATAACTGACAGAACCCATTACTAGAGGAGGCACTACACGCAAGGGTATGATATCAAACAATACTTTGGCGACAAAATAAGCACCAGGACTATAGTACCCATTCTCTCTTTCACGCATAAATAAGATACGCTCTTTGTTAAACATGTCTAATGCACTTGTGGCAGCAAAACCAAGCAAGGCACACATAAAAAACAAGACACCCAATCGATTCTGGACACCTGAAAGATCAACATCCACCTGCCAAAAGAGACAGCCAAGCAAGACAGCCAGCACAATAGAGAACGCAAAGTGTGCAAAAAACAAGAATGGGTTTCGATATAGATTGATAAATGTACGTGATGAAAGTAATGACTTGTACTTGTTAATACTGCTTGTTCAAAGTAGTGTATACTTACAAGTTCATGATAGAATTGATACATGGAAAAACTAGATGGTTCTGCTGGTATATCTACCCATACAGCATAATTTGTTTCTTGATCTGGTTCAATACGATCTTTGATTGTCTTGTAGAGATCTGAAGAGTGAAATGAATCTAACAAATAGTGCATATGATTGGATTCGTTCAGCAGACTGAATTCGCCAAACCCTTCGAGTTGCTCTTGATGATCTTGAGGTAGCTCAAAAGATGGTTGGGTCTCTTCTGAAGACTCAATAACCATTTCGATTTGACTATGGCTTGATGGCAAAGGTGTGGTAGGTCTAGTGACTATTTCTTCTGGACATTTCATTGTCAAATCAACTAATAGATGACATTGATTACTTGCTCACAAAAAAAATAGACTTACTTAGATAGTCAGCAACATTATAGTCTGTTGGAATAGGGAAACCAAGCCCTTTGAAGTAAGCTGAACATGATTTTGTAGGGCCAAAATAAACCTAAATACATTAATCAAAAATCTATTGAGTGCCTTGTGTTTACCAATTGACCATTAGCAAGCAGCATAAGCGAGTCAAACATTTTGAAAATGTTGGATCTAGGTTGATGAATAGTAACTATGATAGTTCTTTTACCATCTTTTGCCAGTTTCTTTAAGCATTCCATTACCACACCTGCGTTATAAGCGTCCAGTCCACTTGTGGGTTCATCTAGGAACAACAGGCTTGGGCTTGTGACTAATTCTTTACCAATACTAACACGACGTTTTTCGCCACCGCTAATGCCCCTTTGTCCAGGCATGCCAATCAAGCTATCCGCAATTTTAGAGATACCCAATTCTTGTATCACATCTTCCACGCGCTTCTTTTTGGCTTGAAGTGGCATACTGCGCGGTAGTTGCATCAAAGCAGCATAGGTCAATGTTTCACGCACTGTCAATGTACCCATTAAACTATCATCCTGATCTACAAATCCAGTCATGCGTTTGAATTGCTTTTTGGTGGGTGATTTTCCATTGATCAAAATAGTACCACTACTGATACCTCGCTTGTGCTTTCGAGATAAGATATCTAGCAAGCTGGATTTACCTGCACCTGAGGGCCCCATTACAGCCAACATGTGTCCTGGATCTACAAAGCCATTGATATTGGACAAGATAGATTTTCCATTCACAGTATAGCTGATGTCAGCAAATGTTAAAGTTACTTCTGTTGTGTTTGTATAGCTGAGTGTATCTTCCTCTTCGTCTTCTTCAGTCAGCTCAATACGAGTACCAAACATTCTCTTTTGTTGCAAGGCTGTAAACCGAGTGATAGCATACAATAGAATACAAGCAATAAAAATAGCGCCAATAATCATCATTTCTGTATAACTCGAAAATTGTCTTTCCTATGAGTCTGTAAGCTTCATTATTTATCAAATTATAACATTACAATAGGCCCAACATCCAGGAAGTCTTGTTCATTTGCACATTCGCCCACATCACACGCAAGCTGAATGTTATCGGGAAAAACGCTTACAAGAGTAGAGTATTCTGGGTGGAAAATGAGATCATGTGTAACTCAAACAAAGGTTACACTTACCATTGTACCAGCAATCTCCCCCGTTTTTACAGAACCATTCTGAAGGTCCCTTTACGTTCTTCACTAGTTCAGACATGTCTTGTACAGTTGAGTTTAAGAGAAGAGAGCCATATTCCATGCAACATACCTACTTCTTTACCACACATAAAAGCATCTTTCATACACCCACAGTTTGCCTTCGCACACTTGCCCTGCACATCATTGTTCTCGGATGCTAATTAATAAATAACTGACCCACTCATTATTTCTAAGAATTTACTTGTCTGTGTACACTCGCTTAATTCACAATAAAACTGTTCTTCGTCATCTTTCCAAAATTGAAATACGCATTCATTCTTTTCCCATTCACACGATAAAGATACGTATGTATTATCGATCCATGGTATGTCTATAAAACATAAGCAAACTTTTGTATCGTATCAGCATTTACTTGTAGCAGTGCACCAAGCATGCATTGATTTCAATCCAATAGCTGTCTTTATACATGTGGCATTTTCTCCTTTGAAGGGCTTACAAGCACTATTTTGCTGGCATACATTACAATTAATGCCTCCCCATCTAAATCATAAGTATACAATCTCTTAAACTAAACTTACCCTGAATCACAGGCACATGTTTCACCTTGCTTTTTCAATGGTCTATTTTCTTCATAAAGTGATCCACAAAGAGGTTGCCCACAGTTCAAATCGCCTAAATAATAAATTCAGTTGAAATTAAACAAATAGCACGGTATTTACCCCAGCCAACAGGACAAACGCAAGCACCACTCAAGTCGCAACGACCACCGTTAACACAAGAATCAACAGGTAGTTGACAATTGAAACAAACGGGACACTCGGGACACTCTTGTCGTTTCCCTAATCGGTGTGAGAATATGCTTTTATTTTTCATAAAGAGAAACAAGAAAAAATAAATTAAGTAATTCCGCTGTTCGTCTTTTTGAGCCTCCTCATTTAATCATGCCGGATAGGGTTTAGCCGAATGATCATCCTTAGTGACTTATCACTTTCTATCATATTTCGAATAGATTCATTACTTTCATGAAAGGTTCCTGGCGTTTACGAGTTTTTTTTTTGAAAGTCTTCAATTGCTTTAGTTCATTTCAAACTGTCTCTCCCTTTTGAAAAACATAAAACTTTAAAATTCTGTGTATAATAATGAGGCATTGAACAGCTAACCTTTTTCCTTTTATGGTCCTCCCAAAAGAGTGCATTTTCGTCTCTCCAGACCCCCATTCACTTATGAAGATGCTCTAGTGCTACTGTTAATTTAGATGGCATCTCCCTGAACTTGAGGAAACAGCTTGAAAAAGGCCTAAATTTTGTCTGGCGTGATTAAATAAAGAGTTTACAAATTCTGTGTACACCAAACGGAAAAATTATTCGCGCATTTTCAGCGCACTTTTAAAAAAAAAAAAATCTCGCAGAGAAAAAAGAAAATTTAGCATAGTATTTGAAAAAAGTTTAGCATATCAAATAGAAAAAAATGATGTACCTTTCTAGCCTTCTCTTCTACATTTTTAAACCAATATGACATTGAAGGAAATGAAGTTATTGAATTCGAAATGGAAGTTGACAATGAGATGTATCCAGTTGAAAGCGTAACAGACTACGACAGATACACAGACGAGAACACAGATTCCGTTACATTGGATGATATGCCTGACGTATTGACAGAAAAGTTTGGCAAACTCGATATCAGTAAAAGCGGGTTTAACAAATTTGTTAAGACCAAGTGTAAGATTACCTTCAAGCAGGCTCGTTTACAAGCATTCGAGAGAAACAGCCCTGAAAAGATCGAAGAGCGTTATCAGTGGGTAAAAAGATGGATGGAAACTGATATGGATTTCACTAGCAACTGTGTATTCATTGACGAAGCTGCTTTCTATATCAATCTCAGGCGAAATTTCTCTTGGTCTAAAGAAGGCAGGCGTGCAACTGTGAAAGTGCCAAAAACAAGAGCAAAAACCACTACCATTTTGAGTGCCATTTCTCCTTTTGGTGCTGTAAATATCAATATACGAAGACCAAAAGCATTACTTTCATCAAAGAAGAGAAAAGCAGCAGGAGGTTCGAATGCAAAAGCGACCAGCAACAATGGTACTGTTACTGGACATTACTTCAATTTCATTAGTAGTGTCTTTGATGTTATGGATCGTCATGAGGAATTTCATGGCCATTATTTGATTATGGACAATGCTCCTATTCATAAGCATCAAGACATTCAAAATCTTATTGAGAGCCGAGGCTATAAGTGCATATACCTTCCCGCTTACTCACCTGAGCTTAATCCGATTGAACAATTCTGGTCTATTTGCAAAAGCAAACTCAAGAGGGAACAGCTTTTAGAAGAGGAGACATTAACTTTGGGAATAGCCGATGCTTGCAATAGAATTTTGTACAATGATCTTAAAGGCCTCTGCAGATACTCTGCTGCTAAACTTGAAGACTGCCTTCAAGGCAGACCTATTTAATAAACTTGCGCATTTCGAGTAATTTTTTTTTTCAGATACTATGCTAAATTTTCTTTTTTCTCTGCGAGATTGTTTTAAATGATCATGTAGTTTTCGATTAATGGGGCATCAAAGTTTAGTGTATTTAAGCCATATTTTGGCCATCTCTGCTCTAGATGCCATATATAGCCTATTAGCAATTGATCTTTCGAAAGCACCCCATGTTACTTTGATTGCTAAAAACACAGAAAGATAGAAATATAGACATTGTGTAATGCCATTGTAGGTTAAATGAACATATTTCTTGATTACTTTTGCTATTTATTTAGTGCTTCCGAAGAGGTATCAAGCAATAGACTATTTAAAAACATGAAGATCATTGATTGTTAACATACCGCTCTGATATAAGGAAGTCTTTGCATTACATTGTCAATCTCTATACAATGTTATCCTAAAAAAGATGCCCTTTTTTAAGACCTTGATTACAACGGTACTAATATCAGAGTCTTTTGAAAACAAAAAAATAATATAAAAGCAACTACTTTCAAATATCCTTAATGCTTTAGATTGAACTACTCTTTATTTTTGGCGAGTGAACGATGGTGGGTATAATGCTGACTTGGGCTGAGTTCAGCATCTTCTTACTCAGGTCGTTTGGCAGCTTTTTGCTATATTCTAAGTAAAAGTACTGTGTATTGTTAGTTGTTTGTGACTCAAGAAAGAAAATTATAAAACATACCTTGAGCTCGTACAACGAAAGTATAAGCTCCTTAGTATGATTGGATAGGAGCTCATCTTTCGTGAAGGGGAGCTTCAAGTCTTTTACTTTTTTTGCCACGTAAACGCCTTCGTATTCTCTAACAACATAAATGTATCCATTTGGACCTAATACTATGTTGGTTGTATTACACATGGAATAAGTATGCTATAGACTTACCACACCAGTCCATTCCCATGTGTGCGTTGATTCTGCCACTAAAACAACACAAGACCTCATCAACAGAAACATTGATTCGGACACTCTTACTCTTTTGGTATATTGAGTCTTTTGAAGTGTCCGATTTTTTCTTGAATTCAAAGGCCGCGAGTTCAACTTCCTTGTCTGTGGCAATCATCATATCGACTTCGCATCCACAGAGATTATTTGTTGTTATTGTTGATACTCTTCGATTTGGGTGTGAGCCGTATAGAGCTTCGTTTATTGAGCGGATGTGTTTTGTTGAGTTGCTGCAATTTTCACCGCTATTTTTTATGCATAATTAGACATGCTAGAAAGAGAGTTGAAAGAAGTCAGCATACTAACCTCACAATTTGTAAATTAGTATCATCAAAAATAAAGTTCATGATGATCTTGACAATTTCTACATAAAAGGCTTCTGAAACAATTGTTGTCTTTTGCCAGATGCGCAGACTCTTGTAACTTATAACTGGTTAGTTTTTGCTTGTTTAAATTGATTAGCTTATTCTTACATGTGGCTCATGACATTCTCCACTTGCTCTTCTACGCTGCCTTCATCAGCTTCATATGCAATTATTTTTGGCTTTTTAACAAGCACCTGCACATGCATATTATGTCAGCCAATGTATAAACAAATACAAACAAACATAAGCTTACCTCCTTCATCTTTTCAAAAGCATGTTCGATTCTGTTTTTGTCTTCTTGGCTTATAACGCTTTCTTCAACTTGGTTATCGCCAAAGAAGACATGAAGAGGAATGGCTTGTTTGAAGAATTCTTGATATTTGATACTAACCAAACTGATCGATGAGGATAGACAAAGTCTATGTGTGTAACATATACATACTTCAAAACGCCCATTTGTAATGAAGACAAAGAATTGAAGTTTTTCAATAAACTAACTGAAAGCTTGTTTAGATGGTCTTTCAGGGTGGTAGCTTCTTCAGTTTCAATTCTTGAGATTTCGTCTTCAATGCTCAATTTATATGTCATTAAATCATCAGATTTAAGCACCTATAGATTATCTGATAAATTGAATTGTCAAAAACAAGTCTGATACTTACTTCTTTGTAATACCATGCTATGAGTTCATGGCGAGGGTGGTCTAGATTGGCATCATCAATCTAGTAGTTTTGTTTAAGGAAAACTAGAACCTACAAGAACGAAAACTTACTTGGTGGTAAACGCTTTTCCATCTTTCATCAGAAACATGCAATAAAGTATCATCAACATTTGCAGGATACAGTTTCAACAACGTATTCTTATATTTTGCAATTAATCGTGACTTGAAATCATTGAAAGAGCTGGATTTTGATCTGAAGTAATCAACAATGGTTTTATTTTTGATAACTTCTTGAAGAGAGCGAGTGCTCTCGCTACTTATGGCAGCTTTTACTAATGCATTAATTTGTTTTTGTGTTGTTTGATTTGACATAGCAAGAATATATATATAAACGAAATAAATGGTTTGAAACAAGATATCAGACAATGAGTGCGTTTTATCGGCGGTGTTTACTCTTTTGCTGTGACTTTTTTTTGGTTTTAAAGATGGTGAAAATAGAACAATAAACATAAATTGCTGCTCCATCGTAAGAAACACCAAAAACCTTCAGTAGCATCGAAAAACTCCTGGTTTTCTTCATCATTGTTAGAGCCTTCATCAAGCTGAACCATTGGTAGATCTACTCCCAGTACTTGGTTGGTAAAATCCACTGTCGATAAGTGTTCCTGTCGGTAATGGTTCTGAAATGTCTTTGAATCAACCCAGTTTCCCAGCGTCTGTATATCGTCAAGAGATATTCCTTGTTTTAACGCAATAGAGAATGCTGTTGTGAGATGAAGAGAGAAAAGATATAAAATAAGAGAAAAGGTAAGAACACAGAGAAAGTCCGTTAGAACTTGTATAGGTTTTTATTTCTCCAAGAAATGTTATTTTTCAATTGCTATAAAATGTCGAGGTATTTATACTTTTTCTTCTCGGTCAAAATATTGTTTTGGGGTTAGCTTGAGTACAGATTGATTTGTTAGATCAGGAGCAATGAAGAGAAATGCCTTTAGAGGAAGTTGTCAGCTCAGCCAATAGTACATGATCTGACCTGAACATGAATAAACTATTACATATTTGTCAAATGCCAATGCTAATGTATTTGTCAGCTCTAACTATCACTTTATCAGAGTTATTAATAATAACAGGGTCACTAGGTTCATATCTCTGACTATGAAGACGATGTAGTACTTCTAGTAGAAGGAGTGAATGTCAGTGACTATAGATCCATTGCAATTGCCATAGATGTGATCTGGTCTTTTGCCATGATCATCATGTATTGAACTATGCATATGAACTCATATATGTTCACAACACTAGTGATGCAAAACATTATCTCCTGGGGTAAGCAAATTCTCGCCTATCTTGATAGAACTATGACCATTCAAATAAGGGGCAGTACTATTGCCAGTTTTAAGAAGATAGTTTGCGAAGTCTTCGTATGCTCGGGCTAGGACTGAGTTGTTCAATTGAACAGCAGTTTGTATACGCATATTGATACGTAGTCTCATTTTTGTCACAACGCTCCAAAGGAATGATCGATTGATACATTGATCTACAATCTGTAGTCTGGTTGCTCTTGCGACAACGGGAAGCACTTGTCTGAAATCTCCTCCGAAGACGATCACTCGACCACCAAGAGGTACGTATTCTAAACTTGGATCTTCTAGCTTACAAACTTCTCTGAATGTTTGATCTACCGCTTAAAATATATTTCTGCTAATCATTGATGTTTCGTCCCATACAGTGAGCTTAGTTTGATGAATGAGGCGGCCAACAGCGCTTCTAGCTTTAATGGAACACATACTATTTCTGTGACAATCCAGATAAATCTTAAAAGCAGAGTGCGCAGTTTCACCACTTTGTAAAAATAGTGCAGCAGTTCCACTCGCAGCAACAGTGATTGCGATGCCAACATTACGTCAAACACTATCAGTTAGTGCATTAAAAAGGTAAGTTTTACCGGTACCACCAGGTCTGTCGACAAAGACTACTTTTAAGCATGATGTATTTGAAGCAGTAACCAAACTTAGAACATGATCAAAGACGGCCTGTTGATCTTCATTGAAGGAAAATTCTTGTGGAGGTTTTTGAGCAATGAGAGCATTGAGCAAAAGATGTTCCCTTATTTCTTTAGCCTAGTTGTTTTGCTCCTCGGTAAGCAGACCTTCATGTAACTTTCTAGGATCAATTGATGGAAGCTCAAATCCATAAAATCATGTCAATAAAAATTTCTGTTGTTGAAGACGCTCTTCTATATCACATAGACCGCATTCATACACAAACTGATCAGGTAATAGCTCTTGATTATGTAGCTGTTCTCGTCTTTTGTGTGAGTAGTCTTCTACTAATTAGTCATGGAATTGAAGCTAGAGAGCATAAGGATTTGCAGGCATATTGAAGACAATAATTATTACAAATAGCTCACGAAGAGCACTTGGTCGCTGATGAGAACATGCTTCTTGCAAACATTTTTTCTATTCCTCATCGTCTTCGAGTAAGTGCATAGCACATTCAGCACCTCTAAAGGAGCCGTATAGTACGCCATTGACAGTCTTTAAATCATCAAACAATGTAACACCCTTGACATGATGCAACAACATTCTCAAGCAATACTTTTCAACATCTTTTGGTAATACCAAATATATTCTTCCAATTGTGGTATTCAAGCACCTTTGTCTTTTTTTCCATCCACGTCCAGACTCATCCCATACAAACTTCTCAGGAAAATCAGTATAAAGATATTGTCTAGCTTCTTCCCACTTGCTGTTTGTTTTAAACCAGCCAGTCAAGGCAGTATCTTTTCACCCTCTTTGCTGAGCAAGTTGGATGTCTATAAACACACAAAATTGTTTCTTTTTTTAGGTCCCAGTTTTCTGATCTTGAGCAAAAATTTTCACCAGTCGTAGGGCCAAAAAAAAGTAGTCGTTATTTTCAATCAACTGTCGCCACTTTACTTCCAAAATAGGCTTATAAAAAAAAGGCTACATGACTATCGAACAATACCCTTAAAAAATTGAGTGATCTAGTTTCTGTAATACTACAATTAAACAATGTATATAATGTGCGGCAATTGTTATGATTCTTTATCCAGACCCCGCATATATAACTGATCTGCTTGATTTGCTATGTGTGATCAACTGCTGTCAAACTATGACATGTACACCAAGGTTTTTGGAGAAGCATACGATATGAAGAGCTGCAAGAATTGTATCTGCTTTGGAATTGAAGAAAATATTGGTAGCAAAAAAAAAAAAAAAAAAAAAAAAAAAACTTTCATTGATATAAGCACCAATGTTGCTCAAGAACAGTGGTTTATGGCTCCTGGATGTGCTCAAATTGCAGCCTGTACATTTGAAGCATCTGTTGCTATCTATGATAACAGCGGCAATTCAGTAACTTTTCTTCCTGTCATGGATGGATTCAATCCTGATGTGTATAAGGTGGGCTCAAAACCTTTCCCTTTGCTTCTTCATTTTGCCAACAGGAATTATTGGATCACCTTGGCCAGTAATCAAGCCATGCAAGCATTGAAGAAAGATAATAAAATCAAATCCTTTTGGAAAAGACATTTGTCTTTCAACAGAAACTAACAAACTCACATATTTCACGCTGTAAACAAAAAAATGTCAAATCGATGGAGCATTAGCTTAAAAGAGATAAGTTTAAGAATAATTTTCATTTTTCTATAGGTTTGGTAAAGGACCGAAAAAAAAAGATAGAATTTATTGTACTTTAGAAGTAAAGTGGCGACAGTTGATTGAAAATAACGGCTACTTTTTTTTTGGCCCTACGACTGGTGAAAATCTCTGCTTAAGATCAGAAAACTGGTGGCAATGTTTAATTTTTCACAAAGCAACTATTGTCATGACAAAAAAACTATGTGAAACCTATCATACTTTATTCACTGCTGGTATCTATGATCAAGATGCTTGTATGTTTCGATCCAAGCCATCTTAATTCAGGCATTGTTTAAGATCGCTGTATATCATTATTCATTTGTGTTTTGTTTATTGGTTTATTCAGAGAGAGCAATAGCCAGTAGGCTTAACGAAGTACTTTAGTAACTTGCACAATTTCTTGACTGCTTTTGATGTAGTTACTTTTACAATAGTACCAACATGTTGCATTTGGATGTAGCTATTCAAGCCTAACATGGGTCACGGTCTTCTGTTATGAAGAGTTTTCATATTAGGCTAATTCAGTCAAGATAAGCAAACACCTTAACGCAACAAAAGAGTCTGAACTTCATTCAACACGACCAACGCAATCTCTATTGTGAATTGTACAATAGCTTGCAAGATTCAACTGATGCAAATGATACGAACATGGGTTCCGTCTACAAAAAAGTGATCTTTCCATTCTTTTTTGCTGGCTCAATTATACTGTAAGACAAATTCTTCAATGAGCAGTTCTGTATTAGATTACAATAACCCTCTAGTCAACAAACGCCCCTTGACGCGCCCACTAAGCTACCTATATTTTACAAATATATAATTTCATTACTCTCTGTTGTCAAAGAAACCTTTGCCATCAACCGACTCGAGTAGCCTATTGATAAAGGTAAATACAAAGGCAATAAGTACAAGTTTAAACAATACAAATCTATAACAGTCTTCTTTGCATTTCACTCTTCAACAAGCTACATAAGACAGGCTTCTTATTTGTGCAACTTCAACTTAAACTTGAATGTCTACAAACAATACACCCTCAGCATGACCTTCAAGCCGCTGACATCATTGTTCATCCAACTTTTGTTGCACTAACACGAAGGAGACGTGAAGAGTTACATGAAGAGAAAGAGATGTGTTTTCTACAAAGAAAATAGTCGCAGCTTGTGAAATAAGAGGGAGGTGTCGGTGATCGAAATCGTTAAGATTTGAAATTGTCGTGAGCTGAACAGTCAGCATCAGCTTCAATCTTTCAAGTCTTAGCAGAAGAACACTTCCTTTTCTATTTGCTCTTCCTTATCTTCCTTTCTTGATCTGTTCTCCTTCCACTTAATAACTGGTTCTTTTCCTTTCATATATTATCAGCCGATTTCTGTAGTATATATTATCCAATAAAATCATTTGTGCACTTTCAAAAAATATTTTTAGAAAACTTTTATTTCTCTTCAATTGTACAGTTTGATATAAGTGATATAGCAGAAAACGAATTGTTCAAAGTATTCAACCAACTTCCTGAAATCCCTGATAAAGCGGATCGAGCAACTGCTAGTGCGATTATTGAAAAAATTGCTACAGAAAACAACTTCACACTTGTTACTAGCAAGTCTGAAAAGACTTGTATGCACTTCAAGTGTATCAAGGGCCAGAAATACAGAGACATAAAAAATTTGAAAGACGAAGATTGTCAAAGGGTCATAAAATCAATTCGTAATGAATGCCCATAACTTATTCGTCTTCAAAACAAAAACAACAGAGGTTATAAAATTCAACCTCTAAAGGAAATCAAATGATGGAAAAATATCATAATCATTTTATTAATGCAGCCAATCTTCTCAGTACTTTTAGAGGCCGTAGACAAAACCTCAACGTAGCAGAAATCAGTTCCATTAGTACGGGTATAGCCCAAAACGCAAAAGCTCGCGATATTCAGAATTCGATCAGCATCGGTGATGAATATAACAAAGTGTCGATACATGATGTCAACAACCTTCGATATGCAAAGAGGAGGCCTGAGGCTAATTCTAGAGCTTCAGAAAGTGAAGTAACCAACTTGATTTTGACAATGGAAAGCAATCGCTACACTATTGCATACCAGTATAATGATATTAACTATCTGGAAAGATAACTCACAGAGCTTTTTCCATACTTCATCCTGCTCTAGATAGTCTTGCTTGCTGCTGCTTGAACAAAACCAAGTATGGAATGTTGTATCATCATGATCTTGCCAAGCCAGAGCTTCAAAGGACCGAATTAAAAAACATCTCTCCTCACTAGCAAATTGATAACGCAGACAGCCTGAAAAAAGCTTCTGGCATAGTTATATTACCTGAAAAGACATGAATGAAGTATGTAGTTGCACTAGAATAAGATTTTTGTCACAGCAGCAAAAGTTTTCAGAAAACGTTTAACCTCATAAATGGCATCAAACAGCTTCTCAAGAATGAGCAAAACTTCGATGATGAATTAATGGAATTTGGTAAAAGTAGTAAAATCATTTCATTGCTCACAAGCCATCCTGAACTCTATCTTCCACCCTCAGACGCCATTTCTAAAACAGGGAAAGAAAAGAAGATTAGAAGGTTGGCGTCCTTAAAGAAAGACTTTCGAAAGAAATCTTTCAGAAAGAGCTACCTTTGTTTGAGTAAGCATGGTTCGATAAAAGAAGGCAAAAACCAGCTTCGACCCTACAGAGAAATAGTAGTCTAATCCATAAAAAAACGTATAGTGACGAACGAGGGAATTGCTTGTATTGATAAAAATAAAGCACACTTTTAACAAATGCCCCAAAATTTATCCCTTATACTTACGAATTCCAGCCAAAAAGGCAAGTTTTTCTTGCATACTGGGATCTTTGGGGTCAATTTCTAAAGATCTAACTTTTAATATATCTGCTTAAGCTATTTGCCTTTAGCATTCTAGCATTATCGTGATTGTACCCGATTCGCTATAGTATCCATATCATCTTTATCAACAGTCATTTCCATGAAAATATTTACAATCTCGGTTGAAATATAATAAAGTCATTATCTTCTTAATATGGTTAATTCTTTAGACCTGTTTATGTTTATCGAGTTTTCCGTATTCAACAGCAAATACATTAGCATTGGCATTGACAAATATGTAATAGTTTATTCAAGTTCAGGTCAAATCGTTTACTATTGGCTGAGCTGACCCCTTCCTCTAAAGGCATTTCTCTTGATTGTTCCTGGTCTGACATCACTATACTAAAACAATGGAGTGTTAAATCTACCACCTAACTGATACCTGAGAATCATTGATTCTTATTCAGGGAAATATTTTCCAAAAAAAAAAAAGACTATGCTGCTAGAGTTTTTTTAAAAAAATGAACCAGTTTTTCTTGACCTTCTACTCTAGTTTGGTTCACTTTGTTAGTTTTGGTGAAGATTAAGCACTTATTCAAACCAATCAGATGTAGTTTTGAAACTGTTTGTTATTTGATGTAGTACAGAAATACACTTTTACTAAAGTTTTCAAAACTTGTTTATCTGATTTCTCTTTCTCGGCCCAACTTTTGTCTCTCACATGTCAGATTAGTTTTTTCTTTTCAGGCCAATAACTGTGCATAAAATATAAAAGTCAACTGTTAATCCAGTCACATACTACAAACATTGGGGGGAAAAGAAAGATATAATAAATAAACAGCAGTAATGCGCTCTTTCCCTCTTTATCTTTTGTCTTATCATGGGCATTCAACAACGCACTATGAAAAAAGCAGTCAAAGACACAGACAGTCTATTAAAGAAAGACCATAAAAAGCTGATCCTCTCTTGGGACGAGATCCCCACTTGGATGCAAGATAATGTCTATATTACCGATGGTTATCGAAGACAGACAAACAGCTATGTAGAGTGTATCAAGAGCTTGTTCTATCTTCATAACGAGAGTGGTAAATTCCTATTTCCTCTTTCTTTATCTCATTACTTTCGAAGTCAACATTTGGAGTCATTTGTTGGCATTTTTCTTGTTTATAGGATTCGCTTTTCACTTCTTATGGACACAACCCCATGTTACTTCTTTGACAGCATTTGATTATACTTATTTCTTCTTGTTTATTACCGGTGCCTGTGCATGTTTAGGATTTTCAGCTAGTTTTCATTGTTTTGCTTGTCATTCGGAACAAGTAGCCGCTACTTGGAACCGATGTGACTATGCAGGCATTACTTGTCTTATTGTGTATGCATAAATTATGTTTGTAAATACGATACTCATTATGCATAGCGGATCATTTTTTCCTGTCATCTACTATGGATTCCATTGCCACCATATGTTTCAAGGTAAAAGATAGACAGTGGATATTTGATAGGAGTTACTTACAGCTTAGGATAGTGATTTATTTGACCACAATTGTCATCCTGGGATCCGTTACTGTAAAATCGAATTAGACGAATACGATCCATTGATATCTTGTTTAGGCAGCCATTACTTTGATGAAGCATTTCCGTACACCAGCTTATCGATGGGTCCGTGCATGTTTATTTATGGCTTTAGGTTTATTTGGCTTGATTCCTACTGTTCATGGTATCTTGGTCTATGGTGTAAGTTGCATAAAAAGTGCTTTAAGTAGCCAATAACTCGTTGATTTTAGTTGAGTAATTCTCTCAAGACAGTCTCTCTGGGCCATATGATTTTAATGGCCTGTACTTACATTGCAGGTGCTGTCATTTATGGCTGTCGCTTTCCTGAACGATCTTTGCCAGGCAAATTTAATTATTTTGTAAGGCACATTATAGCAAATATTCATACTTACATTTTGTTGATAGGGTGCTTCTCATCAAATATTCCACATTTGTGTTGTCATTGCAGTTATTTCTCACTATTTAGGTGTCTTGAGTGCCATGGCTTTTTGGCATGATATTTCAAATGAAGAATTCTGTTCAACCATGTTCTTTTAGCTTCGTCTGATACCCTCTTTTTCCTTTAGATATAGACTTTGGCAAGATTGTTTCAATATCCGAATAAAAATCAGCCCATTTGATATTCTAATGTTTACGGTGCTATAGACCGATCAAAGAAAAATATAAATTTAAATGTCATTATTTTTAGCTTTCTTGTCTTCTTCAATGAATTCAACAATAGAATATCAGCCAAGTTGGCTAGAGACACAGTGGGAGGATCTCTACCGAGACCGCAATGCATTAGTTGTCACAGGTATCATTGCCTTCACTATGCATGAACTTGTCTATTTTGGTCGTTTTCTTCCTTTTCTCGCTTGTGATTACATACCTTATTTCAAGCAATACAAGATTCAACCTGATAAAGTAAACTCGCCTCAAGAAGTGTGGAAATGTACAAAACTGGTGCTATATCAGCATTTTCTCTATGAAGGCCCTCTTATTTTCTTGTTTCATCCTATGGCAACTATGTTGGGTATGAATGTGTCTGCACCTTTCCCCGAATGGTAAGTAAGGATAAACAAGACGACATTGTGTTGATAAAAAAAAACGCAGGAAATACATCATGATTCAAATTGCCATCTTTTTCGTGTTTGAAGATGCCTATCATTATGCTGTTCATCGATTGATGCATTGGCCACCACTCTATAAAAAGATTCATAAAGTACATCATGAATACGCTGCTCCTTTTGGTATTGCTGCTGAATATGCACATCCTCTTGAAACATCCATCTTAGGTCTTGGAACTATTGGTGGTCCACTTTTATATCATGTTATTGAAAAGTATTACTATCAAGGCAATCGAAATTGGCAGCTTCATTTGTTTACCATGCTTTTATGGATCGTATGTCGTCTCTTCCAAGCCATTGATGCTCATTCAGGCTATGACTTTCCTTGGTCTCTTCGCCATTTTATTCCTTTCTGGGCAGGAGCTGATCATCATGATTATCATCATGAAAAGTTTGTTGATAATTTCTCTTCTACTTTCCGTTGGTGGGACTATATTTTCGGCACTGATAAAAGATACCGTGCTCATCGTCAACGTCAAGCAGAACAAAAGCATCTTTTAGAAAAGAAGGGAATGTAAACCCTTCAAATGGCATGTATTCATCTTAATCCCTTTAATATATATCATTTACAGCATTAATACAACTAATAAAAAGCCCATTACCATGACACACACACACACACACACTCTCTCTCTCTCTCTCTCTCTCTCTCTCTCTCTTTCTCTTTGTAGTTATATGTTTTAATGTAAAAGCTCTTTTATATATTGAAAAAAAAAGCAAACATAGTAAAAACTTCCACCAACAATGTTTACTTGAGGGGAACAAACTTGGAAGAGTGAGTGGCACCAATACCGGGACGACCGTGCTTAACGGGCTTGTAGGTGATGGAGAATTCACCAAGGTAGTGACCAGTCATTTCAGGCTTGATTTCAACTTGGTTGAAAACCTTACCGTTGTAGATACCAACAACAGAACCAATCATTTCAGGAACAATGATCATGTTACGAAGGTGAGTCTTGACAACTTCGGGCTTTTCACCAGCAGGAGCGTTCTTCTTGGCAGCACGGAGCTTCTTGATAAGACCCATGGGCTTACGCTTAAGACCACGTTGGAATCTTCTGCGGGCACGGCAGTGGACGAGTTCCATGAATTGTTCAGAGGACAAGTCCAAGAGTTGTTCGAGGTCAATACCACGGTAGGTGAACTTACGGAAGGTTCTCTTTCTGGGAGTTTGCTCGTCAGCCTATATGAATATCAGCATATGTATATAAACAACAAAGAGAAAGAGAGGGAATCGAGAAGCATTAGGTTGATCTATTTGCATTGTCTCTATTGAAAAAAAAAGAGGGGTCGCGTTGATGGAATGTAGTATCGTAATAGTGTATTATCCATTTTATATGAATGTATCCATCCATCCTACACTTGATCTATTGCTTCTTTGATTCCATCCTTTCTTTCCATGTCGTTGAAAGTGTCACTATATTTACCATGATGAGGAAAAAAGGGAAGTTTATTGGATTTGGGCGTCGATGAAATTCATATAGGTTGAGTCTTCACATCCACTATGCGCTCTCTACTCCTCTCCTCTCTCCCTCACTCATTTACGCTGAGGCTGTGCCACACACACTACTCTCAGCGCACTAGGGACGAAAGTGCGGACCGGAATGATGTCGGTCACTGAATCAACGAGAAAGCCTCTTTTTAAAGATTTTTTTTTTCGTCCTTTCTTTCTTTGAACCAGCAAACGACACTCATGAGACCCATTTTGCTTCAAGGCCATACTAGATCTTTGACACAGATCAAATACAACAGAGAAGGTGACTTGCTTTTCTCTGTTTCTAAAGATAAAGTTGCCAATGTTTGGTACTCTCATAACGGTGAACGTCTTGGTACATACACAGGCCATCTCGGTTCTATTTGGACTATTGATGTGAATGGTAAGAAAACAAGTGGTAGATCCATACTAATATTGATAGCTAACTCTACTTTGCTTGTCACTGGTTCTGCTGATAACACTTGTAAGCTTTGGGAAATCCAAACAGGTCGTTGTTTAAAGACTTGGGAATTCAAGACTGCTGTTAAGCGCGTTGAATTCAGTGAAGATAGTTCTATGGTATTGTGTGTTACAGAAGAACGTATGGGTTTCTCTGGCACTGTTACTGTGTACCCTATTAACAATGATATCAATGGCACTCGTAAGTCATCTATTTGTAAAGTCTATTGATAGTCACACTCTATAGAATCCGATACACCTATTGTGACAATCACCAACAAGGGCGGTAAAAAGGCTGTTGTGGCTGGTTGGACTTGTTTAGACAAGTACATCATCACTGGTCATGAAGACGGTACTGTCTGTCAATGGGATTGGAAAGCAAACGAAAAGATCAACTCAATCAAGCCTCATGAAGGTGTATTATCTGATATGCAATTCAGCCCTGATCGCACATATTTCATCACTGCCTCTAAGGATAAGAGTGCCAAGATTATTGATTCACTTACTTTGGATGTCAAGAAGACATACACTGCTGATACACCTCTTAATTCAGCTGCTTTGACTCCTAAATTTCAAGAATTTGTTATTTTGGGTGGTGGTCAAGATGCTATGAATGTCACAACAACCTCTGCTAGACAAGGTAAATTCGAAAGCAGATTCTATCATAAGATTTTAGAGGAAGAAGTTGGTCGTGTCAGAGGCCATTTCGGTCCCATTAACACCATTGCTGTTCACCCTGATGGTACAAGTTATTCTAGTGGTGGTGAAGATGGTTATGTTCGTGTCCATCATTTTGATCCTGATTACTTTACATTTAAGCTTGAGATTTAGAGAGAATAAAATAGTTTTTTTTTTATTTATTTAAGGATGAGGTTCAATTGTAAATGGTACCTGTCTATTTAATTGATCAATGACTGCTCTTGTGAGTGATGAATTGGCTCGTCCGTGCGCCTTTAAGCTACGTTGTTGAGGTGGTGCTGTATTGATCTGTGTTGAAGCATAGCCATTCTCTTGTTCTGGTGGTCGAGTGATATAAGTCACTGGAGGAGGAGGAGGGAAAGCACGGTTGGATTGATTGAAATGGACTGCAGCCCATTTGGGATATCGTCTTTCAATGTCCATCAGTGTGTTCTCCAAGATTTTGATTCTCTCAAATAACGAAAAGGGTGGTTCAGCTATCGAATCAATCTTGACATTTAAATGGTCTTGTATGTTCTGTAGTCGCTCTGTGGCATCAGCCCCTGTTTGGATGTTCTTGTCGGATGGCACTGCATTGGCTTTATGGTCGTGAAATGTCTGAAGAGAACGAGCCAGTGGTCCATCTTCGTTATTCACAATGTCAAACTTCATTTGAATATTACGATTGATCTCTCGCGCATCAGTTCGAGCACAAGTGATATCATCAGCCGTAGGATCATGTCGACTCAGAAACTCTGTACGGTTACTCTCGTCTAGTTCATTGCGTTTCACTTGAATGAATGTGTTGATGCGTTGCTCTACTTCACTGGAAGTGGCTCTGATCTGTATTTGTTCACTATTCAATCGTTTTGTGCGTTCTTTTTCTTCTTCCTCAAGTACTTTTTCTCGCTCTTGAGCGTCTTTTGGGCGTTTTCGTTTTGTGACAAGTAGGTCTTCATGGATCTTTTCTGGTTTGTCTACCACTTGTTCTTTTGCATCGACGTGTTTCTCAAGGGATTCCAATAGTCTTTCAACAAGCGACTCCAGTGCATCCGGTAGTTTCTCTAGTTGTTCATGTGACAATACTACAAGTTCTGATTCAAGGCACTCACTTGTTTCTACAAGGCCAATGCACTTGAAAAAAGCAGAAAGTTGTTTATCCCATGATTCAGTTGGCATGCTATTGTAAAAGAGAGACAGAAAAAATGGAAAAAATGACTTTGTGACTTGAAATCGTTGGATAATGCATAAATGCGTTTTCTCTATTCAAGGCAAGAAAGCTATCACTTGCCACCCTATAGAGTACTTGAGAAGAGACAGAGATGATAGCTAGTAGGATATACTGTTTATACGAGATGTCTGTCTAAAGCAGAAAGTACTTGGCATCTTTAGAGTACTAAAGTTGCTTTCTTTTTTAGTATGAAGAAATGACAATGCATACAAGGTACAGTACGAACATAGACAGGTTCTCAAGCATAGAATAAAGGCGTATTCGTAACAATCGTACTGTAGCACAACTTCCATGCGGGCTGTGATTGGATACCATAGATAGGGGAAGGGCTAAGAAAAAAGACTTTTTTTTTCTTTTACTATTACATGTCTGCACTTATACTTGAAAGATATACATCCAATCAAAAAATTGCCTTTTTTAGAACTACCTCAGTGTTAAAAAAGAAGCTTAATCCTTGTGATAGAGTGGAGTATGTAAAGAACAATAACTTTTGAATTAAATATTATCAGTAATAAAGCTTGGAAAATCCCTATTAAGTGCAGTAATGTGGAGACTAAGTCTATTCAAGAGATATTAAAGAAGATTGACTGTTGCTTGTACCATTTGATATAAATGTAACAATTGTCATGCCTTTTAGTAGTTTTGAGACTTCTCTTTCAGTCGATAAAAGTCAATAAGCAGGGACTTTATGCGAGTCATCCTTTTGTACTTCTTGGTAATTGTAAGGAATAACGGTCACAAGGCAACCTTTTTATTGGCTGAATTAAGTGGGTGCATAATTTTGCACGCCATATCGAAAAGCTTTTTTTTTTTCCTTTTCTACGCGTCTTTTCTTGAACAACGATGGTGAACCGACCTGATAGACGTACAGACAACACACAACTAAGAGCATTCTCTGCTTCTCAGAACATACTGAACAGAGCAGATGGTTCTTCTAAATTTGAATTTGGTAATATTGAACTCAATGGTTAATCCATGACTCATTAGACATAGGATCAACATCTGTGATCTGCTCGGTTTCAGGACCTATGGAAGTTCAAATACGTGATGAGAAACTAGATGAAGCTACAATCGAAGTCATTGTTCGACCTGCTAAAGGTGTACCTGGCACTAAAGAAAAGCTTATGGAGACCATTTTACGCACAACATTTGAACCTGTCATTTTAGGTGGTATGATGCCACGTACACTTGTCCAGATTGTGATTCAGATAACCAAAGATGATGGGTCTGTATTAGCAGCTTCTGTCAATGCTATCACTTTAGCCTTATTGGATGCTGGTATTCCTATGAAACATATGGCAGCTGCTATTACAGTCATGGTAGATAAGACATCAAACGAACTTGTATTAGATCCAATTGCTATTGAATTAGAGGTAACATAAAGACTAGGGAATGAAGTATTTATTTTATATAGAATGCAAAATCAATACATACATTTTCATTTGATCATCTTAACACAAAACCATGCATTTTATTATCAGATTCAGAAGGCATTTTTAGCGAAGAAGAGGTAAAAAAAAAAAAAAAAAAAAAAAAAAAAGGCGACTTATTGTAGGTATTTAACACATTGGCCTAGTATTTTTCATGCCATAATCTCTGTTTTGATGCTATAGAAAAAGTGCATGGATTTTTACGAGTGGCAGTAGAATCAAAGAAAGAAAAAGAATATCAACAAATGCAAGGCCATGAATAAATTATTTGTATATAAGCCAATTTACATATATTTACAATCATAATAATCAGACATTTTAGTTTGGAGATGGCTCAATTGATCTGATACAGCGCCTGTTTCTTGAATATAACTGAGTGTGTCTTGTACAAGATGCAAGAGATCAATTTCGAATTCTTGAGAACAAGTTAGATCTTCTTGACATGCTTGATATTGTATTTCTTCAAGATCTTCTTCAATTAGTACAAGTTCCTCGGGAGATAGGAACCTCTCTTTTTTAGGCAAGATGGCTGAATGATTTTCCATAAGAGAGTCTTCCGAGCAAGACGAATAAAAGCCAGAATCCTCTTCTTCTTGACACTCAATATGATCAACACATTGAGTTTGCTTATTGTCGAAATATTCAATCAAGCGAAGAGGTCGAATGGTCATGATAGTCGGATGTTTCAAGTCACAACGATATTCAAACATATGGAATAAAAAAGTGGCATGACGCTTCTGAGGCGATAATGAGGCTGATCCATAATGGTATGTTACACGAATGAAAGTCAAGGCCAGTGGTATGAGAAGAATGAATTTTGGACAATGCATGACTTGACTACGGATAATCAAAGATCTTGATGATGATGGCGAAGGAACAGCAGCGACTTGTTTCATCTGATCGGAGATGAAGTCATTGACAGGATATCTTGGCCAAACAGTGAATGTTGGATGCTGTATTTTAATCAATGAGAGAGTATCACAAAGGATTGGAATCTTTTGTTCAAGTGGGCTTTGAAGAAATCCAGCATTCAAAGGACTTAAAGGCAAACCAAGTGGACGCATTCTACCAAACTGCTTATGTTTCATTGAATACATTGTAGTCTCTTTTTTAAAATTCACATGAAGAATAAGAAAAAGTGAGGAACAAAAGAAAGGGAGAGATAAAAAAAAGAAGAAGATATATATATACTCTTTTTTTTTTTTTTTTTTTAGGCTAAATTGAAGAAAAAAAAAAAAGTTCTAAACCTTAATAAGCTTGACAATAGTGGGTTCCGTCTCTTTCCTATACGACATTCTTGTGTATTCAAAAGATGAAACTCAGGTACTTTTGTCACATTTGGGGTAAAAAAAAAAAAAATACAGAGAAGAAAGGTTTTTATTGTCAAAGTTATTCAACAAAACTTGTTCAACCACAGGTGCCTCTTCTGTGCTCTTTTCGCGTCTTTCTTTTAGCGATTGATAGATTGTATCATCCAAATAATAGGATTTAAGGACAATTTCCATCATTTGGTTTCTTGCTTCTAACCGTGCAAGACGTAATTCAACACTCTCCATTTTCTCTTCTTTGTTGTATACTCCTTTTTCATCACTTAATTTATAGAATGCTTCAGAAAAGCGTTCATGCACTGGTTCAGACAATGGAATAGCCGTCATTTCTTTGTCGCCTTTGGAGTAAAGTAATTGATCGTCCAATGTCTGAGATAATAAAGCACTTTGTTGGTTACTCGTCATCCAATGCACTAGTCCCCAGGGTGAAGATGGTCTACTTCCAAAAAGAACAGTTCTCAACAAACTAAGTAAGCCAATAATACCACCTAACGCACCTAAAGCACCCAACACAGTATTATTTCTCTTTTCTGTCACAGTTTCTTGTTCAAATACAAGAGGAGATATCAAAATTTCAGATAATTGATGTTTAGTAGACCCTGGACCTGCCAGAAAGGAGTTTTTAGCTGTAGGAATACTATGCTGTGTACTCAATTTGTTCATGGTAAGATAGCGAGGAAAAAATCCACCAAGGTAGTTCCAACCCACGGTCGAATCTACTTTTTTGTATTCTGTTAGCTTGTATTTAACAGAGGCACTTGATTCAGCATAGAAAGAGAAGGTGTTCTCGACATCACTGATATCGTTGTCATTGATAGCCCATGTCTCTACGTCTTTTTTATCGGTAGCCTGACTTGGCAAGGGTTCGTCAAAAAAGATGTAGCGATTTGGATTGTTTTTAGGGTCATAGATGCTGACATAAATAGCTTCATTATTATAGTTGATGATGCCTGATATCTGGAAGGAAATGGTGGGTAAAGTAGATGTTGAGCGAAACTTTTCACTATCTGATCGAAACAAGAAGCATTTGGCATATGTCTTTTGATCCACAAACAGAGGTAAATGAATGGCGCTATCTAAAGGTTCAATCATGCCCGAGCAACTAGTAATGGTGCCATTGTTCGATGCAATGACTGAGCAAGTGAGATCTGGCATAACTAAAGTTGAATTTTGCGCATCACTTATCCAACCACCTAGACAGATTCGAACATCTTGACAATAAACACAGTTAAAATGGTTTCGTTTTCTATCGTTCTTACCTGGAAAATCCATTTCAGTGACTGGAACACTACTTGAACTAGAAGAAATACTACTGTTCTTGATATTGGAACTAGAAAATACCAAATAGGCAAGAATCACCAATAAAGAGAATAGCTTAAAGAGTAGTCTTCCAAATTCAGTCCAATAAGGCTCGCCGTTTCTCTTATCCCATAAAGCAAACAAGACCATTTTCTTTACACCTCTTTTAAATTTAGACCGTTTCCAGACCAAACCTGGAAGAACTAGGAAGCAAAATACGACAGGTATGACAATAGCCACAATGTATTTTCCCTCAAGTCCGTTTCTATTGACACTTTTATCAGACGGCAATACTGAATCTAGCCAGTCCATGGTAAATTCAGAGTAATTGTAGCCGCCACTGGATGGCTCTTTGGGTATACGTAGTACATCAATATCATTTGAGTCTAGAAAACTAGTAGCTTGTTCAGTCATTCCTAAGAAACACTACGTAAGTTCAATTGCACTACATGAAACAAGTACATACCAAAAAGAGTAACAAAATACTTGTCCTTCACAATGGCAGAAGATGCAAGATATCTTACTGTCACATTACCCATATTAGGTGGTAAGCTGCTTCTTTCAAACCACTGCCCTTTAGCTGTATCTAACGTGGACACTGTTCGAAGCGTGTAGCCAGAGCCAGTTACATCAAAAGCATATCCTCCAAAGATGTGAACTAGACCTGTTCTGGGATTGTACTGACTTGTGGCGCCATAGCTTAGAGGTGGCGCTCCATTACCTATGAGATTGACGCTCAACCATTGATTGACAGAAGTATCTAGCACACTGGCAAAATAAGGCATGATATAGTAGGTTGAGTAACGATAGAGTACGTATTCAAAAGCGTGTGTCACATTATAGTCCGAAGGTCTTGTAAAATTTGCTGTCAATCCAGTAGTTAAAGCAATATAATTACTTGATCTAGTAGTACACACACACACACAAAAACAATTAGTAAACTTTGATTGTAGTGAACATGCATACATTGCTGTAGGAAAGGCAGTAGAGTAATGGTAACACATGGGCGCCTCTATAGGTAATGCATTGTAACTAAAGTCGGTTCTGTTGTAATACCATGTCGAGGTCAGACACTTTAGATGTTGCAAGTTAGATCCACCCCATACTGCACTACCGCCAATCACGTAAATCATACCATTTTGAGCCATGATGGTGTTGTGTCCAAATCGAGCACCGAATATATCTGTGCTTTGGTTTCCAGGATAAAATGTGGGATGGGGTGTCTCAACAGACCATTGTTTAGTCTCAAAATCATATATATAAGGTAGAACTGGCGGGATATTTGTTGGATTGTCAGTCCATGTATCAATCAAGGAATGATCATAGGTCAATATGAGCATCTTGCTTGTGTTAGGCAACAAGACTGCGCCACAACTACTGCAATTGGGACCTTCATTCTGCATGTTTTCAAGTGAGAGAGAAACGCTGCCGTTGTTCTCAAAAAATTCATAGACGTACATTTTGTTGGAATATTTTCTCCCATTGAGCTGTCCTCCGCCATAAACGTATATCTTGTCATTATAAACAACTGTGGAAGCATCGTGAAGAGCAGGACTGATTTTGATGCGAGGATCCGTGATTTCAACCGGAAATTTACAGTCTACATAGAGCACGAAACAAAAAAGCAGATATAACAACTGCTTGATCATTTTTTTATAATTTTTGAGTCAAGCGTTTAGGTAAGTTCCTGTCCATTAAAAAGAAAGAGAAATAAAAAAAAAGAGAAACTTGATGCTTTTTATACTTTGTAGTTAAGCAAAAAAAAAACTTTGTACCATTAAAAATGCATTACAGGAAAGGCTTTCTCAACACATAAGGTTTAGGTGAAAAAATTATCGAGTAACACTGTATTACCTAGTAATGGTTTTAAAAAAAAAGCTCAACTTATAAACTGATTTTTGCCATGTTTGTAACAATCAAGTGACATAATCAATATCTCGAAGAGACACTATGCTTTTATATGTTTATTCCTTATGCTAACTACATTGATGGCTTTACTTTTCAGCGAGTAAAAGGGATAGCGGTATATGAATTTTGCAGATCTCTTTTTTAAAGAAACATCACTTCAGCCGTAAAATTACCAACCATGTTAATCCCTTTTTTCGTCTATAATCTATGTATCAAAATATACTAGAAACAGCGTCTATTTATTAATCGATACCTACTAAAAAGGGCCTTTTTTCTATCGATTGAAGTGCGGAACAAACTTTGATTGTGGATTTGAAGGCAATACTCAAATTGAGTCGACCTTTTCGTCTTAGTAAGCTCGCTTTCTTTTTGTTGGAAGTATCTGGAGATGGTCTTACCTAATTTCGGTCGGATCAGACCTACATCGGGTCGTTCCAAAAAAATTTCTGACCGAGTTTTGATTTTATCTTCACGAGCCCTCGTGCTCTTCCTGAGTCAAAACATAAATTTCACAAAACTGCAAAGCCAATGGTACCATTCAATTGCTGGGTTATTCTGATAGTCAGGTTGTCGAGCAATGGCACATCAAAGATTGGCTTGTTTAAGCTGTGTTTTTAGCATTTTTGCTCTAGGTGTCATATAGAACTTGTTATCAATGAACTTACGAAAGCCATCGCATGCTAACCAGAGTGCTAAAGAACATAAAAAAGTAGAAACATGGTTGATTTACAATGTAAATGTAGGGCTAAATGGACATAGGACATACAGGATGGCTACCAGGGGAGATTGAAAACCGATTCAACTCAACTCTTCTCCCGCCGCATCCGAAATCAAGCGTTTGCTGAGAACTGCATAAAGACGCAGCTATTGGGCTTTGGTGCAGTGACAAAAGCTGTAGATCTTTACTTTCCGAGTCTACCGAAATGTCAGAATTCTAGCAACTTTTCTGCCAAAACATTGAGAGAATAGGCAAAAACGTTTGGAAGGCTTTTTGCTCATATTTCGTCACGTTTGTAGTACAGTTAGCAAACGAGTTTTACTATCAGAGACATTCTTCGTCTCTCAAAGTCCAAAAGATGCTCAGGATGTCGGCGAATGAAATGATTCTCTCGAGGGAATACCTATCGACAAGGCAGTTTTTGGCCATTTTGGACATATCCCTTTTCTTGTTTAAAATGCTCGTATGTCTTCAAAATACTTAGTAGTATCAGAGATAGTCTGATTTTGACTTATTTCATGAAACAAAAAGAGCTATGGTGCTCAGGTTGCATAAGAAAACAAATCCCAGTTACCAAATACGGAGTTGAAAAAGCTATCGAGCAGTAAAAGTAGTCACTTATCCAGCCACTTCTGCCTTGATTTAACTTTTTTTTGGGTAATTTTTGACGTCTTCGAAGTTTTTTCCTCTAACCTAGTTGCAAAAAGAAGATATGGCAACCACAACACTTCAACTTTACTGGGATCTCGCTTCTTTTGATCCCAGTGCTAGACAAATAGCAGCTCATTCACTTATAAAGACACTTGCCGAGTTTCAAAAGAATCACGAAGAGACTTTGGAAAACAAGCAAGATATTGTTGATACCGAAGAGAAGCTTGACCTTCTTTGTGCTTCTGACGTCTCTTATGCTGTCCGCCGTCTTCTCCGTGGTCTTGCTTCTTCTAGACAAGGTGCTCGTCAAGGTTTCTCCCTAGCTTTAACTGAAGTAAGTGTTTTTTGTAAAGAAAAAAAGTTTAGTAACAAAAGTGTAGCTTCTTGCTATTGTCGATATTATCTCAGCTAAACTTGTTCTTGAACTCTTGTTCAAATACACCGAACGAACTGGATCTATGAGTGGTGACGAGACTCGTGATATGTTATTTGGTCGTCTTTTTGGTTTAATGTCAATAGTTGCTGCTGGAATGATCGCTAGAGATTCTACTTTTACTGAAGACATCATTCGTATCATTGAAAACTTACATGAAATGGCAACTACTAAGTCTTACCTTGCTGAAGTTTGTCACCATGTGGTAATCAACATGCTCCCCTACGTAAGTAATTTTGGGCAATAATAGCATAAGATGCTGATATGATGATAGTTGAAGGATACCAAGCATCAAACACAAACTGCAGAAAAGATCAAAGAGTTGTTTTTAAATGGACCTATTTCCAATGTCGATCAACTTAACCTTGTAGTCGGAATTCAACGAAAACTTGACAATGTCGATTTGTCTGCACAGTTTGCTAAATGGAAGAGCACCACCATCTTGGATCCTGCTAACTTGAACATTTTGTCCAACATTCTTAAGGAAATTCCTAGTGACACACAAGAAGCGTTAGCTGATTGGAAGCCTCAGCTTCACTCTGTTTGGGATCCTCTTCTCTCTGTCTATTTCGAAAAGAAACAACCCAAGCAAATTGCTTCTTTCCAAGAGTTTTGGACTGCTGCTGTTGACAGTAAGTATTCGTATGCCAAAACGAATTATGTCTTAATAAGTGTGTAGACACCATGTTTGACATCAATGCTTCTCATGGTCGTAAATATTGGGGTTTTCAACTTGTTGAAAAAGTGTTGCGTCGTCTTTCTCCTGAACAAATGCCCTTGATTTTCACTGCTAATTTCATGAGAACTTTTATCAACAATCTTTCTTCTGAAGATCGTTTTTTGAATAAGGCTGCTAGACACACTGTAAGTTTTGATTCTAAAAAATAATCTAGTTGTACTGATATGTTTTAAATAGGCTCAAGTCATTCAAAGTGTTGCTGAAGAGAACAAGCAAGTTGGTTTTGCATTGATCACCCAACTTTTGGGCAAAAACGGTCACCAAAACTTTGATCGTATCACTCGTACCAAGATTGTTGAAAACTTGTTAACCACCTTAGACACTGAAGGTGTCAAGTCCTACCTTGAATACCTCGCTCAAACCTTTGTCAAGAGTGATGAAAGCTCAAGTGTTACTAGCCGTGAATGGGCTTTGAATCAAATGACTTTATTGATTACTAATGTCAAGGTCCCCAAGGAAGAAAGCTGGGTCACCGAACTTGTTCAGTTTTTGATGGCCCATGCATTTTTTGAAGTAAAGTCCACTGATAAAGCTAAATCTTACTTGAGTGGTCTTCACAAACTTACTCCTGAATTGTCTGAAGCTTCTGTCAAGACATGCCAAGAACGCTTCCAAGTTGTCCTTGTTGCACTTAGCAAGTTGCCTCCTTTGAAGCAACTTCAAGCCGAAACTCCTGTCAAGTCCCGCAAGTTACATGGTATCACCAACAGTGGTGAATTATGGGCTTACCAAGTTTTTGAAATCTATCAATCCCTTGAAAAAAACAAGAAGCTTGCTTCCCGTATGACTCTTGCTCCCAAAACTCGTGAAGCAACAGAAAAGGCCATCAAGATTGTCAAGGAACTTAGAACCAAGATTACCAAGATGGATAAGACCGAAGTTCATGATAGTGTCGAACGTGGTTTTGAAATTCTCTTTCTCAACATTATTCTTCATACGTTGATCAATGAATCTGAAGGTGTTTCTGTCTTGACAGAATTGACTGATTGTTACGAAAAGACCTTCAGTGCTCCTAAAAAAGCCACAAAGAAGAAGTCAAAAAAGACTGAAGATGACGAAGAAGAGGGACAATTAGACCCTATTGATGTAATTGTTGATATTCTTGTTTCTTTCTTGACCAACGAATCACCTGTCCTTAAGAATCTTGCTGAACAAGTGTTTGAAATCTTCTCTCATAAACTGACTAAGCAATCCTTAGAAATGCTTTTGAACATCTTGTCTTCTGGTGACGATAAACAAGCTGATGATCTCTTTGGTGAAGATGACGAAGACGAGGAAGATGACGATGTTGAAATGATTGATATGGATGATGTCGAAGAAATTGAATCTGAAGATGATGAAGAAGTCGATGAAGAGCTTCGTCAAAAGATTGAAGAAGCCATGAAAGCTCAAGGTATCAATGCTGTCGACGATTCTGATGAAGAATTAGACGATGATGCCATGGCTGCTTTTGACGAAAAGTTGGCTGAAGTATTCAAGCAAAAGAAGATTGCCAAGAGTGAAAAGACTACCATGCAACAAAATGTTGTACATTTCAAAAACAACGTAATGGGTCTTATTGTGATTTATGCCCGCAAAAACCCTACCAATCCTCTCGTCTTGTCTCTTATTGTTCCTCTCTTGAATATTATCCGTGCTACTCCCGCTAAATCTGTCACCAACCAATTTGTTGAAAAAATCATTGCCTTCTTAAAGAACCGTCTTGCTAAAGCTACCGAATATCCTAAAGAACAAGCTGATTTTGTGTTTGATATTGTTCAAGCTGTTCATGACTTTGCCAAGCATTCTACCTCCAAGGAGCTTTCAGAAATGTGTAATCAACTCTCCCTCTATTTGCATAAGTGTATCTTGGGTGGTGCTGATTTTGAATTGAACAAGCAAACACCAGCAAAGACAAAGAAGGTCGTCAGCAAATACATTGGTATCTACAACGATTCTGTCAAATTATACTTGTCAAAGAAGTCCACATCCTTCCATCCCAGTATCATTCAACAAATGATACAGCGTTACCCTTTGAGCTCTTGGGATATGCTCGATACTCTTGCAACATATTTGAACCGTGCCCATTGTGCCAACATTTATAGACTTTCCATGGCATGCAAATGGACAACCATCATCATTCAACGTACTGTTGGAAAGGTAACATTTTTATTATTATGAAGCTATGGTACTTATTGTTTTTCTTTTACTAGAACTCTAAAGAGTACAATCAAAAATACATCGCACTCGTTCCTAAACTTGCTGAATCAGTAAAGGCTACCATTGAATTATCCGTAAAGGACCAAGACAAGAGCTTAGACTATGAAGGCATGAAAAACTATTTGAGATTTGTGACATTACTTGTCAGACTTCATAAGAAGGTTGCACCAGAAACAATCGATGTAAGTTTAGCGATAAAATATAAATTATAGATACTAATGGCTCTTTAAATAGTTGAAAAAAGTGTGGGATGCTGAATTGATTTCATCTATTTCAAGCAATGATAAGTTCTCAAAGCCTGCCATTTCTTCCTTGATCAAGTCCTTGGACCAATTATGGGCATAATCCTAACCTAATAAAAAAAACTTTCTCTTTATTTTTTCAATTTCTTTTCCCAAAAATAACATGAGTGAGGAACACGAAAAAAGCACAGTCTTGATCAGAAAGCACAACCGTGGTGATCACTCTAGCCAACATTATGAGATATGCCCTATTTGCTATACTCGGCCAGGTATGCCACTTGTGCCTCCTCTCAACTTTGCTATGATTGCATCTGGTGTTTATAGATCAGGTCATCCCAACAAGCAGAACTTTGCATTCCTTAGAAAACTAGGACTTAAGACTATACTGTATGTATGCTTTATTTATCTATCAGGTCACTTATTCTATACAGATATTTTGCCATGGAAGAATATCCTTCAGAAATGCAACACTTTGTTGAACAAGAAGGAATTGAAGTATTGCATTATCGTACAGAAGGCAACAAAGAACCCTTTGTGGAAGTGAATCCAGAAGACATTTCACATGCATTAGTCAAACTATTAGACAAAAGAAGTCATCCAGGTATATATTTTATAGTAAAAGAAAAAAGTATTTATGAACACATCCTATCTAGTGCTTATTCATTGCTTAAAGGGAAAAGTAAGAAAAAATGAAGAGAAAAGTCTAATAATATGCTGAATCAATTTGAGTAGCATCGTATAGGGTGTTTAGTAGGTTGTCTAAGGAAGATACAGAATTGGTCAATGACTTCAATATTCGACGAATACAGAAAATTTGCAGATACAAAAGTATTAGCTGATCAAGAAGTAAGAGGTCTGAAAGGGAATACTGATACTGATTTCAAACTAGTTTATAGAGACATTTGATCATGAATTAGTGCCGTATGATCAGAGATATCGACCAAAATGGCTGTAGTTAATTTCTCATTTATCAATGACTGATAATTTGCTATAAAGTACTCTGATTCTTTTGAAAAGTAAAATCAAAAGACAAAGACCAATTTTCTGTCTAATATGGATTCACCACTGTTTGCAGACAAATTCTTATTCGTCTAAACAAAGTCCCGATTGTCCTATTTCCAGTTAAGAGTCTTTCAGTGCTTTTTTTTTCGTTCTTTTATCTTTTTGCATTAAATTTAAAACATGTTGATAGTTTGTTACTCTACGCTCAAAAAGAGAATAAATAATAAGCCTCTCTTAATGAGAGCATTCTCTATTTCTGCTATGAACCTCAAAGGCATCTCACTCTCTTGTAAGATCAGCAAGACTCGATTTCCAACGCGCTATTTACTCTTGTTTTAAAATAGCTTACCCTTATGTCCATGCTCACCAAGACAAATCTAAAGAAGGATATGCAATTTCATATGTCTCGACGGATGATATCAAAGGCAAATCAATAGCTTCGACTCCTGATGTCATTATTGGCTGGACAACCGAAAAAGACCAAGTAGATCCAAAAACTTTTGTTGAAAATCAAAGATTTGTCGATTTTATGAGCAAGGTTTTTAGAAAAAATATTCATCAAGTGGATGATACAAATCTGAAGGCTTTAGCTGAATGGCAGAAAGAAGGGTAAGCAAACTGAACATCTGCCTAGAGCTATCTAACTGATCTAATAGTTGGCTTCATATCGGCGATGAACGCAATCCCCCTCCATGGGGTAGAATCAACTTTCCTGAGGATATTATAGGCAGTGTTCAATTAGAAGAAGGCAAAATTAAAGAAGGCACCTATGAGCCTATGCCTACACATCGCATGGTCACCAATGATGGTCTTTTTAAAATGTCTGAGCCATTGACTCAATGTGTCATTAATGCTGCTAAAAAATACGTTTCTAATGCTTAAGTTTCAAAAAATAAACAATGTCTTTCTCGAAATCCAAATTTGGAAATGAGCGTCACATAGGACTGTGGCTTTCTTGACGAAGCTTGACAAGGGCATACTTATATTTTTTTCTTTTTTCTTAAATACACTCACCATGCAGCCTAGCAGATTGTTGACATCAGCAACAGGTCTTTTCAGAGTTACCACTACAAAGACCTTTGCAGCTCCCGTGTTGAGCAACCAAAGACTCTTCTCTTTCTCAGCACACTGTAGAGAAGAAGATAACACAAAGACCCCTGAAGCTGTTGAAGTACAAGCCAGTGAAGAGGAGGTAGAGCCTATCAAGATGTCTAGAAGAAGACGTCGTTTTCATGAATGGGCCAACGGTCCTGGTTCCAAGTTTAGCCGTCCTGCCAAAGGAACTACCAACTATTTAAGCTCTACTGTAAATATTTTTACATTTAATGTTTTTGGTTTTTTTAATCTCTTTTTCTTCTCTTAGCCTTTCCCCAACAACCCTCTATTTCAGCCTAGACCTCCTCTTTCTGATGCTTCTCGTCAAGGAATTTATGATGCCTTTGTTACTGATCCTGAAAACTGGACAGTCCGTAAACTTGCTACCAAGTATGGCATTTCTTTAAAGCGTGTTGAAGCAATTTTGAAATTAAAAGCCAACGAAAAAGAGATGGAAATGAATGTAAAAATAACTAAATCAATGTGAGTAGGTAGCTGACTACACATTCTATAGGGTGTTGCCTTACAAAAGAAGTTCAACAAGGGAATGGAGCAACTTATGGGTGTAGATCAAACAGCTGAATTATTAAAAGAACCTTTGGCCGATGTTTTCCCTCCTGTCGGAAAGCCCAAGTTCAAGACATTAAAAGAAGATGCTCCATTCACTCCAAGAGATGCAGCCAAGGAGCTTAACCGCATACCCTTTAAGGATCTTGAAAGACGTGTTATTGAGTCCGAGCAGGCAGAATTCACTTTATCTAAACCTTCAGCAACATCATCAGACAACAAAACTACAAAGCGTACCAAATTTGTTATTGTAGATACTAGCGCTTAAGTCGCAATTTCTTTTAGAATATTTACATTTTTGGAAAAAAAGTATTATGAATTAAAAAAAAAGTGTATAGTAAAAAAAAAAAAAAAAAAAAAAAAAAAGCAGGATTTATATTAGTTCATAATCATCATCTTCAAAATTCGAAACAGTGGATTTGACTGATTTGGGTGATCGTGAACAAGTTAGCATTGACCTGTTCTTGGTATTTGAAACAGATAATTTATCTTGTTGACCAGCTGCTGTCATGTTACTTGCAAATTTTTTGCCTTCTACTAGCAATGCTTCAAATATTTCATGTCCTAACCCTTTTTGTCTTTCCACAAGTGATTTTTGCAATTTGAAGCTTTGAGGAAAATCAGTCTGGATAAATTGATCTAAACTTTCTTCGGTCAGGACAATCATGCGGAACATAGGCAAAGTAATTTCAATCATTGGTGCTTCAGTTCCCATTAGCACTTGATGAAAGTCATTTGTGAATTCAAAAACTCTCTTCATATCCAGTTCGCCAGATTCTGATCCAATATCGTCTCTGTCAAACACATCCAACTGTTGATGCAAGTGCTCCATGGCTTTGGGGGTGTTTGTTTGTTCTGCGCTCAGACAAATAAAGTTTGCAATGGTATCTAGTGGATGAGGTATTTCTAAAAGGCATAGGATCAAGTGGAATTCACTTGCCATTGAATAAAGCTCTTGATTGGTCAATATGTCCTTTTTATCTTTATCATACAGCGCAAAAAAGAATGCTGCTTTTGACATGATATCCTACATATGAATTAGATTTTACTGGCGTATATATGATGCTCACCCCTCGAAGGATTTCCCCTAATTTTGTCACTGTATCAACAAGTGCGATACCTGTTCGACCCTCGGCTCTGAAATTTTCAAACAATCTCCGTATAAAAGACTGTAAGATGGCTTGAGCGATTCGCATAGAATCACTACTATTGCCTGCAATGACACTGCTAGTATTATTGCTATTTTGATTGTTGAATTTGGCCCAAGTAGTCATGCTTTCCAACATTTTAGTAAATGCTTTCAGGTCCATTTCAGGTACGATAGATTTGCCTTGATTGTTTGCATAATAAAGAGCAGAAGAAAAGTAGTCGTATATGATGGAGATCTCATCGTTACTGAAATAAACTGTGTTCTTTACGTTTCGAAGAGCATTGCGCTTAGTGAAAGTCTCTACACCTCCGATCACTCTTAGTTCGTTTTGTCTACGGAGTTCTGTGATCTGGTCAGAAGTGACTTTGTTAAAGTCAGTGTACTAGGTAAAGAAACATGAGATTCAAAGCTCGAGAAAAAAAAAACAGAACTTACGGCAGACTTCATTAAATTATTGAATATGTCTGATGGCTTTGTATGATGCTGTTCTGTAGCTGTATCATCCATTGGCATATTCAAAGCCTTAAAGAACTCTTTTGCAATGACGAGTAGTTCAGAGTCATCATCAACTGTTAACAGTTCTTTCTCGTTTATCTTCAAAATGGCTATAAATAAAGATTAGCCCCTATGCAATTTTAAAGAGCAGTTTTACCTAAGCTAAATATGAAAATTAAGACAAGCATGTTTAGGAGAGTTGGACTTACGCAATTTGAAAGAGTATTTTTGATCCTTCTAAAAAGAAGCAATCCAAAATACGGAATGCAAAAGGCAGTGGCATAGAATTGATATACAAGGTTAAGAACCAAGGCAGACAAGCAACGGAGAGCTGGATCTGTCTTTCCTGAAAGTGTTCTGTGAGCTTTGGCATATACTTTTTCACAAGCTCCTCTAATACAACTTGGTCCAAAAGAACACCATACATGGAAGAGCTAGAGAGCAAAGCGTTAAATGATGTCAAAGAGAAGAAACTTGCCTATAATAACCAGGACAAAGGTGATCAACTAACGAGTTCAGTGCCCAAAACGCCTGTTCTTCCGTCATGTAGCTATGGTTAAAAAAGGTCAGATTTGTTCATTCTATGGGATTAAATACATTAATAAAGAAGAGGTAACTATATTCATAGCTTGACAATAACCAAGTTCAGTATTCTTCCAAGAATACGCTGTCAGTACTCTTCGCAATCTAGAAATTCCTTCTGATGTTTGGTAAGCTTCATACTCAGGGAGCGACCTGACCCATATCATTAGTTTACATTCGAATTTTCAAGAATCATTTACCGGTGCAAGTCCTTTTCGATTTCATCTTTTACGAATGAATCAACATCTTTATGTGAATCTAAAATTTGCTGATAAACACCTTTGTTGGCAAACCGAAGGTAGATTGACCCAGAACACATTTCCCAAACTTCTCCACGAAGAGCATTTGGTAAACCAGCTCTCACCATTTTTCCAAAAATTGGTTGACGTACCAAAGTCAAGTTCCTACCATTGTCTATAGCTACATTAAAGTAAGTGTATATCAACAACCAACATACCTTGGAAATATCGTGTCCAAATTCGCAGCTTCTTTTCATCTTTCACTTCTGTTGCATCACTACGATAACCGAATTGCAATCCTAACCCACCAATAGCGTCCTGGATATAAATAGGTCCCTCTGGAGTCTCTAATATTTCCTCGGATTTACATGTCATCAAGAAAGGCCGTAAGGATGTCTTCATTTTGGTCACATTTTTGTTGAGTCCCTCTTTCAAGATATCACAAAACTGCTCGCATGCTGTTTTCTCGGCCTAAATCAAAATAAATAACTTTTTACGTCGTACAATTGTCTTACATCCACTTTCAATACGTGTGTCATTTTATGCCATGTTGTAAAAGACAATGCAGATCTATAGGTATCGTTGTTAATGCGTTCAAATCGAGTGATGGTATATAATGGTAAAATAAAGGTGCATATGGATTTCTGATGCTCAGTAGCTGGCAAAGTTTCAGATGCTTCAAAAACCAAGAAATTCTGTGTTTGGTATAGTGTTCCTGGATATTGTGTTCTTTGGATGGTATGGTCCTGCTTATTACGAGATGATTCCTCTGCTCCAAACATGTAGCATGCATTAATAGAGTCCATAATTTCTTCTTCATCTGGTATGCTAAACAATCGACGAAAGTTTTCATTCCGCTTACGGAGCTGAAGGACATTTCTGAGCGAATCTTTAGGAGCCGTCAAGTCAGAAGGTCGATAAGTACTCATTTCGTCATTATCCATAGACCTATCACTGATTGTCAATTGTCCAAATGAATCACTCTTGAATGCACTGGAGTTTGTATTCTTCAAAAGTCGATGAATAGAGTCACCTGTTAATTGGACCAAAAGTTCATAGACCTACAAAAAAAAGGTTAGTAAGGAAAACAAAAGTGAATAAAGTTACCTCACATCGCTTGAACATATTTGTAAACAAGTACTAATTGTTTTGTTAGTCGCTTTTTGTTTAATCAAAGTACATTGCTTTACCTCTTGCTCTGATTTCGTCACAATTCGCATACTATGTCGAAAGAGTTTTCGAATAGGTTCATTGATAATGCTTTTAACCTCCTTGAGCTCAATCAGTATTTTGAGTTCAAATCCAAGCAAATAAGAGTAAAATCCAAGATAATTTTCTGAAATGTACATCCATCCTTGTCTACTATTACAAGCACAGGAATAATCTACATACATTTCTGTCAATAATCCCAGGCAAGTAAGTGTACATACAATTCACAAGACGCTCACTCGAAGGAACATCAAATATTTGTCGAAATGTTCTTGAGGCATTGCGGATAGTATCATCATGTAACAAGTCATCGGTATCATTGTCTGAAGTAATACAAGCATTACTTTTTTTGTTTTTACAAATACTATTTTTACCTGCAATCGTGGCTGATATAATATTGCTCATTTGCTTAACAATCCACTCTTCTTTTTCAAATGGGCTTTCCATTTCTTCCAGCTCTGGTACCATGTTAATTCTTATCCAGTCCCAAGCTGCTTCTATTGTATCCTCTGTATCTGAAATTGCTATTTGTAAACACGCTGCATTAGGTTCCCTTTGAAAAAGGATTCGATAGGGTGACTGTTTTGCATCAAACCTAAAGAATAATTATTAGTTGTTTACAGTGAGCCTCGCTTACTTACAGGTTTGTAATAGTACTGAAGACGCTCTTGAATACTGTATTTTTGGGTTCTTGATATTTTTGAAGCATGAAATACTGGTTCTGTTGTTCAACTGACCAGAAAGACATAAGGCTATTGTCTATCGAAGTCGGCAGCACAAACGTCTACAAAATAGTCTATTTCATTGTTCAAACAATCGAATTTTCCCTACATTTTTTGGTATCTTGCTAAAGGGTGTCATTTTATTTTTATTCTATTTAGAAGAAAAGAACAAGAAGAAAAAAAACAAATTTCATGGATTTGAATACCTACTTTTTTTTCCTTTTTTAGGTTTTTTAGCTTGATATAATTTTCCCTTGCTAAGGCTACAAAGCAATATGTAGTGGCAAGCGTTTAATCTAGCATAGACTTTTACTCAGCAAACGTATAGCGTTATAATCTATGCGCTTATTAGACCAAATGATGGTAATGTATTCTAAGTCTTTGCGTAATACGATATTTTTCTTACGTCTCGAATGAAAATTTGTGATTTTCAAGTTCATGTCAATTCATAGCAGACTCAAAAGCGAGTCTGCTGTGCTTTTTTTGATTGCTCCATACTAAAACTAGTCTCCATATTCTTGTTTCTTTGGATCAGGTAGTTACCCTTTCCTTTCAATGCAAAGGATATATAGTGCTTTCATGAATTACAATGTATGTAAGAAACACCTTGTTTTATTGGCATTCAGAAATCACATATTAGAAAGAATATTTTTCTGAAGTACTTTTCGTTTTTGAAGACTCAACAATTTTTTATATGAAGTTGGACATGGGTGGTTTGGCAATGAATCCTTAGTATTCCTCCATAGCAAACATTATTTAAACTAGTGGGTCTAACACTTTTTGATAAAGAAATCAGGTATCACATAGCTTATTCACGCAGTAGAGACACCAGAGAAATGAGGATCCTAACGATGTGGAAGACAGATATTGATGCAAACTTTTTTCTCTCGTAGACACATGAACCTAGCGAATAGCACTCTAATTTACGAATAAACACGCTAGCTATCTAAAAACTATGTTTACTAACATCCACGGTGCCTTTGGAGTTGATTTGGACAAAAAAAAAAAGCGACTTGTACAAAAATGGCCAAAATGGCCAAAATAACCTTTCGACCAAAGGATACTACTCATGGAAATATTCTACCTGACAACTCTTTGAGCTTTTTTTGAGGCTATAAGATGAAAAATACAGCTGTCGATAAAATCAAAACTCGATCAGAAATTTTTTTGGAACGACCCGACGTAGGTCTGATCCAACCGAAATTAGGTAAGACCATCTCCAGATACTTCCAACAAAAAGAAAGCGAGCTTACTAAGACGAAAAGGTCGGCTAAATTTGAGTATTGTCTTCAAATCTGCATTTAAAGCTCATTGTACGCTATAATTAGAAGAAAAGAGACCTTTTTCAGCAGATTTTGATCCGTAAGTGGGTACTTGTTTATGCACCATTCAATGGACAGAATATAGGCGGGTAAGGCATACTATAACATTCGACACTTTTGAGGTTAAAGAGAGAAACTTTGAATTTATCAAATAATAGATGCATTCCTGGTTTAAGCTGGGGGAGAATAAGGTCTCAAATGCAGGAATTAAGCGCAAAGTACTATTACTCTGCATGCTTGCTGTTTTTAGAAAAGAACTAATCATTAATAATATCTTTTTAAGTGATATTCAACAGCTAGGCTCTTTCTACCATCGCTTAAAGGCTCTCTAGCACTGCTTTTATCATAAAATAAAAGAAGCTTAAAGTAAAGACTCTAATTCCGAACTCTTACAATCCAATATACATGTAACTTCTTTTGATAGAATAATCATAAGCAGGAAGACATGTTGTTTAAATTTTGGATCACTAAAAAACCTCTTCCCCAAGCCTTCTCTGGAGTGCTTCGATAAGAAAAACCAAACTCGATTGCTCCCAAATACACTAGTTTAAAAGAAAAACCAAATGGTTAGCTTACACATATTCTTTTTATGCTAATCAACATATCAACAGAATCTAATTATTCTTAGAATAACTTAGCATATGAGATAGCACTGTGCTTAATAAATCAATGGTTGGATATATTCGTTGACAAATCTGCTTTCCTTTTTCCTTTTTCCTTTTTCCTTTTTCCTTTTTCCTTTTTCCTTTTTTCTTTTTTCTCTTATTTCTTTTTTAAACAAAAATGTCTGCTAGGTAAGTTGCATATTCATGAGAATGAAGATGTATTCATACAGGAACAAAGTAACGAAGTTGATCCGGGCACTTCTCCTATATACTTGTTTGACGATGATGATGATGACTTTGTAACTCACCATGTTTATAATGACTTTGATTCTCAAGGAAGCCTTTCCGATCATGGATCTTATTCCCATATTACTTCTGCTGTTAAATCCTTTAAACGAGTGGAAGAAAGTGTGCAGCAAATGCCTTACCCTTCTATTTCTCGTGCAAAGGAACCTGATCCCTTCCATGATACACAAAAAACTCTGTCTCCGCATGGCCATGATGAATCCAACATTGAAAGAGACAAAAGAACAACTCACGCAGTAGTAGAAGAAAGCCATCAGTCTCATTTTGCAGAAGATTCATCTAGCAAAGCTCAAATAATAAAAGAAAAAGAACATAACACTCAAGTTCAAGACTTTGATGGTGATACTTCTCAAGAAATCTTTAGGGAAACAACTCCGGCTGCGCTTGATAATGATTCTTCTACACAAGACATTGACAACAATTTAAACAATATGAATCAGCAAACCAATGGCAAGCAAGAGCTTCCCAATTTGGATAATGTTCAAGCAAACCAAACTCGACGCAACTCTGTCGGCACTCTTAAGATTTATCAAAAAGTCAAATTAGTCTTACAGTCTGATGAAGAGCAAGTACGTCAAGGACAGCCAACTAGCTTAAGTCATTATTGTAGGATTACTGCGCCTGTCCGTGAAGGTCAGAATACTGTCACTAACACAAATATCAAGATTCCCATCCACAAACAGTGCGCAAATCCTCGGTATCAATCTAAAAAAGAAGAACATACTAATCAAGAGCTTCCTTTGAAACAACAGCAACAATACAATCATTCAATCAATTCAAAAAAGTGAGTACTTAAGGCATGTAGTTATGCATTGCTAATTATATGAATTAGAATGGTAGAAAAAATTTTACAAGGTATATTTGATGCATTCTACCTTATTGCTATTATTCTCGTAGTTTGCTACCTATTTTCAGAAAAACAATAACTTGTCACGTATAAATACATGTTTATGTCGAATAAAATATTGCTTCATCTAAAACATGCGTTTATTTATTGTTTTTTGGTTGTAGTAAAGAAGCTTGTAAGGGATTTCATGCCTTTGGTATTCACTTTGGATAAGCTTCTTGGTACATCAGGTTTCTTTTTCTGTACACAAAAATCATTGATAAGATTGCAAAAGTTTACATTTTATCATTTACCTTCGCGACTGAACTATTGACCAGCATTTCATCTGGATGAACTCTTTTAAAAAAGGCAGCTGGAGATGCATTCGTAGCATAGTTAGTCAACAGTTCTGCCTCTTTTTCTTTGGGCTCAATCAGATTAAAGTGATTCAATAACTTGTCGAACCATTCTTTGTTTAAATAGTTTGAGATAATATATACTGCTTCTAATTTCATTAAATCCTGGTCTTGCTTTGTAGATTCAAAAGCAGTTTGAAATGCTTGCTTTGACAAAATTTGATCTACTTTTTTGGTAAGCCAGTCTAAGGCAAGTTTTGGATTTAATCTATATACAAACAAGCCAGATACAACCTCTGTTTAAATGCATAAGATAATATGTGTTGACCGTCTACTTATACCTTTTATATCGCACATATGAGCTAATTGTTCAGTAAATCCTGATAAAGTGATCAAACGATGGACATCAATAGGTTGCGAGTAGGCTTCAAATTTTTCTTCTTCTTCTTCATCACTATCTAAGTCTAATTCTAAGTTTATATTCTCTCGACTAAAAATAACATCTAAGGTGTTAAATTTGCTGTCATCTTTTTTGTACACTTGGTTTAAGATAGGGAGAGCCATAAACAATGGATCCATACGAGTAATAAAGCGAACAGCACCGTCTTTAGAGGCGATCAATAACTATAAACATAGCATGTGTATCAATATACCTTTATAGATATAGCTGTCAATCAAAAAAGAAGCCTTTCTACCGGGTCCTTTCACGTTCTGCACTTCATATAGTTGACCTTTATTATTTTGAAAATAAATAGATCGTCTACTTGATCGTGGACAGGGCAAATAGATCTCAAACAGGTTATTACTATCTTTTTACTAGTTAATATCGAAACAAACCAAGTATATTGTTTGTGTACCTTGATCTGACGTATCTGTAAAGGCAATCAATTGTTTTGACATGTTAAAAAAATAAAATAAAAAGAAAGCGCGTTTTATTTTTTAACCGCGTTTAAATTGAATTGTAGTTTGTGTTACTTGCTTCATTCGATAAATTAGTTCTCCTCTCCTTGTTTTCAAGGCTCTTTCTCTCTCTCTCTCTCTCTCTCTCTCTCTCTCATTTTTTTTTATTACATACTGTCATTTTTTCTTCTTTAATTTATTATCTATAGAAACAAATCCTTTTCGAGATAATGTCAGCCATAAAGCGGTCTTCTCTTATTCGAGATGATCTTGCTATTGGATCTCGAGTAGTTGTAAACGACCTTGTAGGAACAGTTCGCTTTATAGGGAACACGAGTTTCCAAACAGGAAAATGGATTGGTGTCGAACTCGATGAACCACAAGGCAAGAATAGCGGCGTTGTTCAGGGCAAGCGGTATTTTGAATGTAAAGCAAACCATGGTGTATTTGTCAGACCAACAAATATCAAGTTATATAATGAGGTAATGATAAATATTTAGTCTGCAGCCATTCATGTCTATCTTTAGGATGCATCAGCTGGATCTGCTTCTCCTTCACCTCCTACTGCTCGAAGAAAATCAATTGCTCCCACTGCTTCACCACCCCCACAACGAAGAAAATCAATAGCTGCTCCTGCTCAACCACAGCTTCAGCAGAGAAGGAAATCAACCGTAGTTCCCCACCAGCAGTTAATACAAGAAGAAAATCTATCGTTTCAGCAGCCCCTTCATCTCCTGTAACTCCTACAAATGGCGCACCGACATCAAAAAGAAGACCAACGTCACTTTTACAGTCATCACCGATCAATGCAAGTCCTCGTACTGCAACCAATAGTAAAAGTACGGTGATTCCAAACACAAGAAGAAAATCCATTGTTCCTCCTAAACAATCGACGATACCAAACAGTAAGAAAACCAAAATAAGTACACAATCATTACCTCCTACTCCCGTCCCAGCATCCCAATCGCCTCAACCTGGTACTACAATCAAGCCAAGAACACCTATTACAGCTCCTTCTACTCCAGATAACACTATAGATGAAGAGCAAGCCAGATTAGAGTTAGAGCAAACTGAGTTTGATAATCTATGTCAGCAAAATACAAATGCAAATTCGGGTATGGTTACTAGTCCTGTATCCATGGATACAGAAAATAACGTGGTAGAAATGGAGAATGTTTATTTAAATCAGGAACCAGAAGAAGAAGAAGAAGAAGAAGAAGAAGAAGAAGAAGAAGAAGAAGAATTTCAGCCACAAGAACAAGAACAGCTACAACCGGTGTATGGCTCTTTAGCGTCTTCAAGGCCAACTAGTAAATCAGACCAGGTGTGAAATTTGTATGATGAAGAACGTGCTTTTTCTAATTTGTTTATTTTATTATTTTGAACACAGACAGTGCCATTAAAGGATTATGAAGAACTTCGGTTTAAACTCAAGATACTTGAAGGCAAACGCCATGAAGACCGAGAAAGATTTAGAGAGCACGAAAAGGTTAAAGAAGAAGCAGAGCAATTCTTGACACTTCGAAACAAACTTCAAGGTAAGAGTACACTATCATTCTATAAGCACTGACATTCCCTATAGATAAGATTGCAGAATTACAGAAAGATGTGCGTGATACTAAACGCGAGCTTAAAGAGACAATGGCTGAAAAGGAGACATTCGAATCAAAATACAACGATCTACTTGAATCTATGGAAATGCTCACTTTAGACAAAGAAGTGGCAGAAGAAAGAGCAGAAAGCTTACAACAAGAAACCAACATGCTTAAAGACAGAATAGAAGAAATCAGTGTTGATTTAGACATTTTGAAAAGAGAAGCTGATATTCTGAATAAACCACCTGAACTATCTAATGCTGAAAATGAAGAAAGAACTCCTCTTGAAGTCATTCAACTTGAAAGACATAACGAAAGACTGAAAGAAGCATTGTTAAGGTAAAGATAGTCTATTATCCATAGCTATGATTCTAAAAAGGGAACCGAATAGACTACGAGATGCTACTACAGAACAAGAAAATGAACTCAACTACAAAATCAAGACATTAGAACAAGAAAACTATGAATTAGAAGAATATAAGCTACAATATGAAAAAACTATGGAAAAGCTGGTCGAGGCAGAAACTTTGGTAGAAGATTTGAAAATGCAGCTAGATGATGCTTTGGGTGCAGAAGACTTGGTGGATCAATTGACCGAAAAGAACTTGAATTTGACTGAAAAACTAGATGAACTCAGTGCTACGGTCGATGATCTTGAAGCATTACGTGAACTCGCTGATGAACTGGAAGAAAACCATATTGAGACTGAAAAACAACTTCAAGCAGAAATTGATCATCGTGACATGTTATTAAGAGAACAATTGGAGAGACTAAGAGCAAATGAAGAAACAGCTGCTGATTATGAAGCAACTATTCAACAATTTAGAGAACTTGTAGCTCTCTTACAGAACGACCTGAAGGAATTTAAGAGAAAAGAAGAGAGTGAAGAGTCTGAAAAGCTTACATTAAGCAGTCAATCACAAGCCATGATGTCCCTTAATGTCCAACTCCAGACAACGGTGATGAAGGCTCAAGCAAAAGCTATTGACATTGAATTGCGCAAACTGGAAGCCTCTCAAGCTAATGATAGACTCAATATGATTCAGCCTTACCTTCCTGAATCGTTCTTCAAGACAGAAAACGACCCCATCTCTTGTCTCCTGATGTTCAAGCGACTAGAGTTCAAGTCTGCTTTGATTGTAAAGCATTTAGACCAAAACTATCCTATTAGTGAGAAGATTATGAACAATGTGACAGAAAATCTAGTGACTATTTGTGAGATCAAGCAAAGAGCTGGCTGGTTGAGTTCATTGGCTACGCGATTCCAAACTCATATCAAAAACTGTGATCCTGCTACCTTTGCTATGATGGGTAAGGTCTATCATGAATTGATAGGTGTTGAAAGAAGGTAAAAGCTTAGGGTTAGTCATACGTTGCCTATTTACAATTTATGGTAGAATGAATGCTATCATTGAGTTATTTAGAATAGATCAAATCAATGAAGCGCATTGCCTTACAGAACTCCAACGAGTGATTTCACAAGTAGAGCATTTAGTTGAGGCTTATTTGCAGCAACAGCAAGAAAAGAACAATTCAGACCAGTTCTTTGGTCTCACAAAGGCTTTGGATTTGAATGCTGATCGTATGATTGTTGTATTTACGTTTGCAAAACAATCAGTAAGTAATGCTGTCCAGAACGAAGGATTGGTCATAAGTGAAGGACTGGTTGAATTGGACATGAACTATCATGAGCCTCTTGGACGTCTCATTGCACTTGCAAAGAATAGTAAAATTATTGCCAAGTATGTACGTTTGTATCTCAACAGATTTATTTATATTTTGACATAGGAAATTGATGCGCCAGTTGGAAGACAAATTTGAAGAAGCTATGACACTCAAGTCAGAGCACTTGCATCGGTTCAAAATGCTTCATGCTATTAGTACCAAGTTGTGTACTTTCTGCTTTGATGTGAGCCCATTAGAAACTAGACACGATAGACAATATTAACTCTCTAAATTAGACCTACAAAGTGATCACTGCTTATATCGATACAAAGCGAGGCAGTCATGAGCAAATTGAACTCTCTCATATTCAGACATTAATTCGGGAAAAGGGCGATCAGATATTTGAAATGGTTGAGAGTTCCATGTGGGAAAGTGCTCTTAGAACTCTTAAGACGCTTACAAGTGAACTTGAAACCACATATGCACAGGTTGAGCGAGATGATAAACTAGACAAGAGTAAGTATGACCGTTTTTCATACATGTTTATTGACTGTATTATTAGTTACAAGCAAAGTTGCACCTTGGATTCAACGTGCATCTGATATTAAGGCTGAAGTTGTAGTCAACCATGAATTAGAGCATAAATTACAACAACACAATGAAGAGATTATCAAGCTTATTAAAGATGTCCGACTCAAGGTAACGCAAAACTGATATTTATAGTCAACCTAATTTTGTTTGTGTGTAGGACCAAGCACTTCAAGAATCGGATGTGAAGATTAGTTTGCTTGAAAAGAGAATGGAAATGGCTAAAAAGGAAGCCGAGCAAATCAAGACACTAGAAGAGGACTTAGAGAAGTCAATAAACCAAGAACAAATGTATGCTGAAGCAATGGAGAACCTTCAGCATGAATATGATGCCTTGGAATCGGAGAACATTCAGCTGAAGAAGGAAGCAAGCAAGCGAGAAGAAAAGCGACAATCTTTGTTGAGAAAGGCAACATTTGATCTAGCAGAAGTAGAAGGATCAAGTGATGTTCAAGAAATGGCTGGTGGCTATTACGAAATGGCTGGACAAGTAGAAACCTTACGAGCATCTATACGTTATCTTAGAGCAGAAAATGCCCAATTGAAGAGCGTTGATTTTGCTAGAGCACTTGAATTATTGCCATTACCTGCTCCAAAGAAGAATGAGGAGCAAAAAGAACCTCTTGCTGATATTGCGAGAGAGACACGCATGCTACTTAAAGATATGCGTGTTGCTAGTGCATCTCCACGTATTGTTCGTTTGGAACACAATGAAAGTAAAGCCACAACACACATGTGGCAAAGTGTAAAGAAATCACCTGATTATCAATACCAAACACAGCATTCTGTACTATACACACTTAAACAACGTAGTCTTCAGCTGAGACACAAAGTAGACAGCTTAAGAGAAACCAATAATAACTCCCTTCCAAAGCAACAAAAGGTAAGAAATGTACAAATAATCACTGTATTCATTTCTTTTTAGCTATCTACTGAAGAGCCACAAAGACAACTGCCATTAGGCATTATCAAGATACCAAGACTTGCACAAGACAATACCATTTCTAATACTCCTTGTACAAATCATTGCATCGATATTCGTAGTGTAGCTGATTTTAAACGCTTACACTCTGTCTTTATTCACTAAACAAAATTCAGTTCCCCGATTCGACGTCATGAGCCTTTTTTTTTATTGTGTTTGTGTGTGTGCAAATTTGTGTATAGGTTGTTTTGTAAATCCTTTTCTTCTTTTCCTCTCTCTCTCTCTCTCTCTCTCTCTTTTTTTTCTTTTTATCTCCTTTTTTTATCGTCTTCTCTTTTATCTCTTTATTGTTGTATTTTAGCTATATACTTTCTTCATTGCTTCACTTTCTTGCAATCTCATCATCTAAACCCTCTAAAAAACAATATCAAACAAAACCAAGAACAACAAAGTATGTCTGGCAACAATATCAAAGTCGTTTGTCGATTTCGGCCTCAAAACAAACTGGAAATACGAGAAGGAGGTGTGCCTATCATAGACATATCGGAAGACGGAACGGGTGTGTCTGTAAAAGTAATGATATTTTATCAGGAACCCGAAAGTTGAAACTCAATCGTTTGCTCATAGGGAAAAGACTCTAACTCGTTTTCATTTGACAAATGCTTTGGATCCAACACAAGACAACAAGAAATATTCGAATACTCCATTAAATCTATTGTAGACGGTAAGCAAGCATAAGTAGAAATAAAGCTGATAACATGTTAGATGTGGTTGCTGGTTATAACGGCACTGTTTTTGCTTATGGCCAAACAGGTTCCGGTAAAACATTCACTATGATGGGATCAAGTATTGACGATCCCGAAAATAAGGGTATTATTCCCCGCATTATTGAGCAGATCTTTGAAAGTATACAAATGGCTCCTGCTAATATGGAATTTACGGTAAAAGTTGCTTATATGGAAATCTATATGGAAAGAGTCAAGGATCTTTTGGCTCGTAAGTTATTCGGGTTTCATCTCTTTTTACTTATATCTATTAGCTGCAAATGATAATTTACCTATTCATGAAGACAAAGTCAAAGGTGTCTATGTCAAAGGCATCAAAGAAGTGTATGTAGCCGACACAAGTGAAGTTTATGATGTGATGAGAATTGGTGGTGATAATCGTGTAGTTGCATATACAAGTATGTTATGTCTATCCATGGTTTTAAACTAATACTATGATTGCATGATAGACATGAACGCTGAAAGTTCAAGAAGTCACTCTATTGTCCTTGTTACCATTACCCAAAAGAATCTCGACACAGGCGCCGCAAAAAGTGGAAAGTTATATTTAGTCGATCTAGCAGGTTCCGAAAAAGTAGGCAAAACTGGTGCTTCTGGTCAAACCTTGGAAGAAGCAAAAAAATCAATAAGTCTCTTACTGCTTTGGGTATGGTCATTAACTCATTGACAGATGGAAAGGTAACAAAACACATAATCACCCTGTCATGCCTCTAATGATCTTTATAGTCTAGCCATATTCCATACAGAGATTCTAAACTGACACGTATCTTGCAAGAATCTTTGGGTGGCAATTCCAGAACAACATTAATCATCAACTGTTCTCCTTCTTCTTATAACGAAGCTGAAACCATCTCTACTCTGCGTTTCGGTGCTCGTGCAAAGACAATCAAGAACAAGGCCAAGGTCAATGCTGACTTATCACCCGCTGAACTTAAGGCATTACTGAAACGTGTAAAAGGTGATGCTGTTTCATACAAGAGTTACATTACTGCTTTAGAAAATGAAATCAGCTTATGGCGTTCTGGCAAAAAGGTACCTGAAGCTAACTGGGCAAGCATGGATAATCCCAAGCCTACCAAAACACCTGCTTCTCCTACTATACCTGTAAATGGTGCACCCATTACTCCTCCTCAAACACCTGCACCTGCATTTAAACTATCCATTGACGACGATAGTAGACCTTCTACACCAGCAATGGCATTGGGGAAAGACGAAAAAGACGAATTTTTCAAGAGAGAGCAAGATTTGCTTGAGCAAATATCTGAAAAGACGACGGAGCTTAATAATCGTCAAAAGCAAGTGAATGAAATCCAGGACTTATTAGTCGAATTGAAAAACAAAGAAAAAGAGATTAGCCAAAATAACAAGAGTCTCTCTTCAGAGCTAAGTGAAGCTAAACTTCAACTTGAGAAAGAATTATATGAAAAGAAAGAAGGCGAAATCAATATTGACTCACTCAAAGAAGCCAACCTCGAATACAAAGCAGAACTAGAGGAACTTAAGGTTACATTGTCAAGACTAGTAGTAGAAGAAGCCAAAGTGAAAGAAGAACTAAAGATTGCGGAAACTGCAGTGGTGAGTTAATCAAAACAGTGATAACCAATAGCTGAATAATTGTGTTCTAGGAGGATGCTCAAGACAAGAAGGAGGGTATTGAAGCAGACTTAGATGCTCGAGATATAACACCAGAAGCTGTCGCCAGTCTTCGTCTCGAACTCAAGACAACGAAAGCAGCAATTGAACAACATAAAGTCACTATTGAAAGCCTAGAGCAAGAAAGAGAAGCAGTAGCACAAAAGAAGGTCGATCTTGAGACTCGACTTCACAATTTAGAAATTGACTATGAAGAACTCTTAGACAAAACCATTGCAATGGAAGAGCTAGGAGTCAAAGAGACAGAAGACATTGCAGAATCTATATCTGAACTGAAGACCAAATTGGAGAGTCAGTTCTCAATAAAAAGTCAAGTACAACAAAAGGAAATTGAACAACTAAAGGCTGATATTGAAAAGAAATCAAAAGAAGAAGATAGACTGCAAAGTGTTCTGAAAGAAATGCAAGAAACACAAGAAAAGTTATTGAAGATGAAGAATGAACCCACAATAACCACTGCTTCAAAAGAAGCTATTGAGCACAAAGAAAGAGAGTTGGAACGAATGCGCAAGTCCATGGCACAGGAATTAGCTGACTTTGAAACAATGAAGAAGGTGCTTATGCGTGACCTTCAAAGTCGATGCGAAAAAGTGGTTGAACTAGAAATAACACTAGACGAGACTCGCATTCAGCAAAATAACTTACTAAAGGCGACAAGCAACAAAGCGCAACAAAAGAAAATGGCTCTATTGGAAAGAAACTTGGATCAACTCACAAATGTGCAAAAGCAGGTAATGTGAGGTATTACAAACAACATGTGAATATTAAAGCATTGTACAGTTGGTAGAACAAAATTCGCAACTCAAAAAGGAAGCTGCGCTGTCGGACCGCAAACTAACTGCTAGAAATGAGCGCATTCAAAACTTGGAGTTCTTGTTAAAAGAAGCTCAGAATAAGTTATTGATTCAAAATGACAAGTAAGCTTGTAGATAACAATATATGCATTACTTATGTATTGCTAGGTTTGAATCTCAATTACAAGCTGTTAGAGGCCGTCTAGAACAAGCTCGTACGCATAAATCGCAAGGTGCGTCTATGTTAAGCTTCAATAGAATTGCTAAACCTCTCCGAGGTGGTGGTACCATAGTCGAAACGTAAGTATATAAATAGGGTTTATCTTTTTGTTAAAAAATTCAACCATTAGTTTTCAACAAGAAGAAAAGTTGCCCGAAAAGCGTGAAAAGAGAACATCTTGGTTTCGTTAAGTTTGATATACCCATTTTTATATCACAATACGATGACCCATCTTCTTCATTTTTTTATTCTAAAAACTAAACTATTCAATATATTTGTGTGATTGTAAGTAAATATCAACTAGCACTCAAACTCTTGTATATTCATAGAGAACTTGAATTGTAAAATGTTGGTATCAACTTTATCAGGAAGATCTCACTTTGTTATGTTCTGTATCTATTTAAATAAAGCATTATAGTCTGTATACATATCTGTGCAAATGAATGTATCAAGTCAGCATGCCATGATTTGGGACATTGCTTCTATAGACAGCCTTGTTATAAAATTTACAACAAAATATCAACTTGACAGTAACCGACTATATTTGGATCAAAGTATGACAGGATGTTTTGATCAACAGTCTTAAACTTATTGAAACAAGTAATGAATGTTACTTGAGCTCTTGTAAAATATCATTTCTTTGGGACCTGTTAGCAACTCAACATTGTCTATTTATTTAGATTTCAATTTGCATGATGCACAATAATGCATTCTGAGATTCAGCACAGGCTTAATCTTAAAAATTGTACTTACGCGATAATTTTAGCAGCCAAACCCAACTTTGAAATATCTTTTTTGATGATAAAAGATGACTAATTACATGAAGACTTGTTACGAAGATTGCTGTCACATACAGTCGCACCTGGATTTAGTAGTACTGGGTTTAGTAATAATCTGCATTTAGTGATACGAATCTCGTTTCTCAATTGACCGTATACTGTGAGTATTACTATACCTGGGCACAGAAACATTTTAAGGTCAGAAAAAAAACTAGTGATATTCGATTGTTTGGTACGTGAGTTAAGCAATATAAAGGTGATGAAGAAAAGCGTCTTTCAGGCCAAAGAAAACGAGTTCAGCGGGTAGGAAAGCTTGAGTCATACCATACACACTTTATTTGTAACTTTTCTGCTAAAAGACTTAAGACAGTGCTTTGTCAAGCAAGGAATGCATTGCTTGATAAGCATCTCCAAATTGGGCCAATCAATCTGTCAAGTCTTCACAAGTATCTTGTTATTCATGCCTCGTTGACTTCAAAGAAATTGAAGCCTGTAGTAGCAGTAAGAACGGCTCAAAGAACCTTGGAGATGAGAAGAGAAAGAGTGTTGGAATGGAAGAACAATGACAGCATGAATTGGAGCCAAAAATGCGTCTTTATAGATGAGGTAGACTTCAACATGCACATCCGAAGAAACCTTGGGTGATCGAAGAAGAGTATGCCGGTCAAATCTGTTGTACCCTCAAACAGAGGAGCCAGAGCGTCAAGTGTTGGCGCAATTTGCGAGAAAAGGCGTTGTTGAACTTACGCCTCGTAAGACTAAGGCTGTTCAAAAGAAGAACTACGGGACGAAGAAGCGTAAGAGAGATAATGGAAAAGCTAGCGAAGTTGATGTCAACGCTCGAGTAAGTACGGGAAGCGAGTATTTTGTAGATTTCTTGAGTTCCCTTATGGATGCTTTAGATCAATGCAAAATGCAGGGCCGTTATCTTGTTATGCATCATTCTGCTATCCATAAGGTCAATGAATCTCAAGAGTTGATAGCATCATGAGGCTATATGATTGCATACCTTCCTTATTACTCGCCTTTTTCTTGAATCCCATTGATTTGTTTTAGTCGAAGATCAAAGGTAGTATTCGAATAGATTGCCTTAGTGTTAATGACAGTCTCAGCCTTTTGAATCGCTGAAGTTGCCAAGAAAGTTTCCCAACAAGACTGCGCAAATTATATAGCCATTCTAGTCATTTTTTGACAGATGCTTGTTTCTTGAGCCAATGCTTTAAGTATATAAATTTGTCCGCAAAATAAAAATGAAAATCCGCAAAAATTCATAAGCTCAGTTAAAGACTGCATTAGCTTGAGTAAAATGAAGATTAAAAGATAATGTGTATTGATATAATTATTCTAGATATTTATACTACAGAAATCGGCTGATAATATATGAAAGGAAAAGAACCAATTATTAAGTGGAAGGAGAACAGATCAAGAAAGGAAGATAAGGAAGAGCAAACAGAAAAGGAAGTGTTCTGCTAAGACTTGAAAGATTGAAGCTGATGCTGACTGTTCAGCTCACGACAATTTCAAATCTTAACGATTTCGATCACCGACACCTCCCTCTTATTTCACAAGCTGCGACTATTTTCTTTGTAGAAAACACATCTCTTTCTCTTCATGTAACTCTTCACGTCTCCTTCGTGTTAGTGCAACAAAAGTTGGATGAACAATGATGTCAGCGGCTTGAAGGTCATGCTGAGGGTGTATTGTTTGTAGACATTCAAGTTTAAGTTGAAGTTGCACAAATAAGAAGCCTGTCTTATGTAGCTTGTTGAAGAGTGAAAT